TATTATTATTATTTTCTATTTGCAGCACACTGAGTTGCCTGTCCGCCCAATGCATCTTGGTTCTTTGAGAGGGCAATGTGGATGCTTTTTCAAACTGCCTGCGTTAAAGCTCTTTCTGTGAAAGCTGCTGTGTGTAGCAGCGCCACTTTACTAGCACACAGATCTGTTGCAATTGCAACACACGAGTAGGTAACACAAAGCTCTCTTCCACAACCCCGTCGTGGGCACAGCTTTTTCTATGCTGCTGTCAAATTTCACGGGAGAGAATCATACGTTTTACAGAGAAAAGGTGAACGCTTATCAAGTAAAGCCACAAATTGTGGTTGTGTGTGGAGGGTGTCCAACCTTGTCTCTCTGTAAAGCGATCCAAGACTTTACCCTACGTGAAGGACACTATATAAATGCAAATTGTTGTTTATTGTCGATATATTTAAGCAGTAAGTGTTGATGCAATTTAGGGCACATCAACAATAACAATAACTTATTTTACTACCCACTCTGGACCCCAGATGTAATTGGCAACGCTCTGACATTTTAGTGTTTGTATTCTCATTTAGTGAAAGACATTTTGGCTGTTCTTGGTCTCTCTGGTGCTTATTTCTAGCTGAGATGACAGGAAAATGTCCTCCTGGCACATGTCCTACATCCCTGTAACAAGCAAACTACGAAACTCAAACCTTGAAGGTTGGCTGAATCTTAATTAAACAAAACAAGGACTGCATTGAAGGGGACACATCGATGTTTCCTCAGAAGATTCAAGGACCCATTCATCCTCTCGAGATTCTCCCACGATCAATACATCCTGATTTTTTTTTAAATCAGGAAAAGCATTAATGTTGTTGCTCACCGCTGGAAGTTGTTGATCCTGTTATTTCTGGGCAATCAGGACATTGCAACATAAAAAGGTAACAGTCCATGCGGAAACCTGACTCAACAGTCCCTCGTGTATTAGTTTTCAAAAATTGACAAATTATTCATCTGATCGTTTCAGGCAGAAAAGATCTCACCCTGTATGATACGAGGATTCATTCACTTCATGCCTTTTTTTTTTGCAGGACATTGCTGTGCACAAAACTGGCTGCCCCTTTCTCCTACAAAAAACACACTCACCACACACTTTACAGAAGAATGCACTGTGAAGCACTTTGAGGCGCTCTGACATTATAGGTGGTACATCAAATGCAAGGATTACTATTATAATCACTGTGACAGGAGCAGCTAAGGAAATACACAGCTGTGTATCCTTTGGAACTCCATCCCGCAGTCCCCTCGCCTCACTCCCTCCCTCGTCTCCTTCAAGGGCCGTCTCAAGACCCTCCTCTTTGACCACGCCTTTGGTCACCCTCCTACCCTACTCTCCCTGCCCTCCATCCCTCCTGATCCCAACCCGCAGCTCGCGTCCAAATCTCTTGACTGTCCAGTGCCTTGGGACGTCCTCCTTATGTGAAAGGCACAGTGTAAACGTCATTTATTGCTGTTGTCGTCGTTGCAGACCGGGTGATGTCTTTGGATATAAACTGACTGGTTGGTCATGTTGTTCAGTGATGTGACAATTATCACGAGAGTTAATTAACAAATCAACAGGTTGCAGTTTTTGGGCCAATGATTCTATGAGAAGATCTGGCAGTTTGCACTCTCTCTTCATATTTGATTGTTCTTCCAGGTTTTTTTTTGATACTACACAAAGTTCTCCTACTTTAGTTTACGAAAATCCAATTGCCCCAACAAAATGTAAGCCGTAATTTCAAAAAATAAACCGATATTGAAAAGATTGTTCCATTTTTTTCCTCTCGATTGCTCTCTGATTGTGTGGAATAAAATCTGAATTGACTGTAGCTTTTGCTGACCCACACTTTTACTTGGAGTGAGATCAGAGACATATGGCTTTATAATAATAATCCTTGCATTTGATATAGTGCTTTTCACGTCGGGAGGACGTCCCAAAGTGCTTCACAGAATATACAGTAAAGTGAATTGACTGTATATTTGTGGGCGAACGCGGCAGCCAATTGCGCACAGCAATGTCCCACAAACAGTCATGGATTAAAAATGACCAATTTTTATTATTGTTTTGTTTTTTTGGAGGGATTATTATTAGGCTCTGTGTGGAGTAAGGAAACTTGCTCAAGGTTTCGCCCTCTGCCTGGAATTGAACTCAGGTCTCTCGCTTGCAAAGCGAGTGCTCTAACCACTGAGCTACAGGACTCCACAGGCCTTATGGAGGCAACACGACTGAGAAATGCTTCGATTAGTGTCGGTTCTTATTCTGGATACTTTATGAAATAAAATATGAATTGGGTGAAATTAGAATTAATATCCTTTATGAGTATGAAAACACTGTGGTTAAAGAAGCGATGTTTTGTAACAAAATTGATGTGACAACCAACGCATCAAATCAGTTACGAAACATAACCTTTATCACCCTCATGTCTCTTAGCTCCAATTTGTCTTGCCATATTTCTATCTAGTTGTGCAGTACATATTACAGTTACCGAGTAACAGTACCTTTTTTTTAGGTTTTAATACACAACCTACAATTTATATATGATAATAATACTCCTTGCATCTGATATAGGGTCTTTCAAATTGTCAAGACGTCTCAAATTATATCACTGTAAGGTGTAGAAACTGTATTTATAGGAAAATTTATACTTTTATTCATTTTTTCCCCTCTTAAGTTCTTTTTTCCTACAATTGGCGGCTGCAATAAGCTGATATCTTTGAGATATAAATAAACTGCCAATAAACTGGCAGAGTTGATGCCGGTCTCAAAGTGATGGAGATGTCTGATGTTGTGATGCATTCAGTTTTGATTCAGTCACTGAGGAAACAGAACTTAATGAAATGAGAAAGGAGCATTCATCCATCCGTGGTGCTCGGGCTACTTATTATAGGCAGTTATATTTAACAATCGTATTAGCAATGTTTTATGGCTGAGTATTTTGTTTTGGGAGGATGAGGACAAAGAAACAAAAAGGAAGAAGTGAATTAAAAGTGTTTTACTTTGTTATAAACATGAAACTAACAGACTCCATTCACAATATAATGGTCCGCAGGAACCACTTTATTTTAGTCTTTATACAACTTGGAATCAGTGGACTTGCTGGGAAAGGGAGTGCAAAATAGCTCAAACAACCCAACTTATAATCAGGAAGCTAATTAGTGATCTCTTCTCTGCCCCCCACCCCCCTCACACACACACTCATCCTAATTATTAGTTGAGCTACTGCCTTTCCAAAGGTTCAAAAACCTTTAAAACTCAGAGTTACTGAGTTGGCTGTGTGACATTTCAGTTTGTTTGACAGTGATGCATTTTGCAATAGGATTGAGGCAACTAATCAATTTTCATCAGTTCTTGTCACCCGTCTTGTGAGGTTATCGAAGGTCAAATCAGGTTCTGTGCCAAACGCAGCTGGCATCCAATCACCTTTTGCAAGTGGATCAATAACTTGTTTAAGGATTAACTCCAGACCGGGAGCTCTATCGGTGGTGGGGAATGAAGAGATGTGATACGATTACCAGTCGACATGAGCTAATGGAATCCGATCCCACCCCCCCAACCATCCACTCTTCCCCCAAAGAAACCCTCCGAAATGTTTAAATACAAGCAAAAAAAAAATCATTGACGATAGGTAATTTTTGTGTGCTTTCTTTTCTCAATCAAAAAGAGCGAAATAAGAGCAACTTACATGACATGAAGTTATCATCCACCCTCAGGCCACTGAGGTTAGTCCAGGAAAGGCTGATTCCCAGGGTTGGTGGGTTGATCCATCAGTTGCGAGATGCAAGCAGAGCAGATCTCTGATTGCCCAGCCCCCAATGTAATTTGTTTTTGCTGCTGCTGTTCTACAGCAGGTGAGGAGAGTTAAGAAGCTACACGTTCAACACAACAGATACTACCCTTTTGGATAGAAAATGACCCTCCATTAAGGAGACACACGCTTGTTAGTTTAAACCTTGATTTGGGCTCAGCCACTTTAACGTCCAGTATCTGGACCTGTTTATGATGATCACATTGTTTCTTCAAAGTTAATTTCTTGCTCCTTTATACACTCCCCATGACTATATACACTCCTCATGCTCGGAGTTCTCATTAGGTCTAAAATGGACACATGTCCTTAAGATGCAAGTTGATACCGAGAGTTTGGCTCAGCCACTGAAAGGTCTGTAATGTTCTGAGTTGGAACACGAGATCCCAGCGATGATTAAACTACAATCAATTCCTGCTTCTTTCCTCCAGAGCTGGAAAACTCATTAGCCCCACAAAATTACACAGTTGAATAAAATCTGAGATGCAGGTTAATCGAACTATCGGCCCCAAACCATGAGGAGCCAAACAACGACCAAAAACAAAAGCCTTATTCCAAAGTGTTCATTAAACTAATAGGGGGAAAAAAGGGGTCAAAGTACAATAAAAAAACTGCCATTTTTAATTATAAAATTCCGAACCATGTAACGACATTGTATTGATGATGTCAGGGAATGGCAAGATTCAACCGAAGAAAAATGATCTTGAACCAGTTAACGCACTGAGCTACAGCTTCGCACTGTAATTAGTTTTCTATCCCGCATTCCCATAATACAAATCGCCGCTTTAGTTCATTTAAGCCTTATTTAAAACTCCTGCGTAAATAATGTATCAAACGTGCGACCATTAAATGAAACACTGGTTTAAACATTGATTTTTTTTGTGTGCAAAGTGTAATCTGTACTTGAAAAAAACGTAACTAAGCAGACTAAAGTGAATGACCTTATACGTTATAGTTTTGTCATTTGGCGTAAAGGACAACTTAAATTGCCATTAAAAAAAACACTGATGTTACAACAAGAAGAAGATTGCATTTATAGAGCGCCTTCCACGTCGGGAGGACGTCCCAAGGCGCTGGACAGTTGGGTCGGGACCCGAGCATTGGGGGGAACTGGTCAGGGCGAGGGGAGGGAAGGGAGGGAACTTCCAGCTGTAATGTGTGGATGTCTTTTGCTTTGTTTCCTCGTTGCAGATGCCTTGGTTGGAGCTTTGATTGGCATCATTTTTGCCTACCTTGCCTACAGACAGCATTATCCATCAGTGAGCCACACAGATTGCCACAGATCATACGTCAGCCTTATGGTACAGGCACCAGCAGAGCGGGAAGAAATCTCAACGCCAGACAAAGCCACCAGCCTGCCACTGGAGGGTTTAAACGAAGGCCCTGTATGACTGATACACTTGTCACACGAACTCTTAGCCCCTTCTTACATTCCACTTAAAAGTTAAAAAAAAAATCTCTTTAGGAAGCGAAGGAAGTCCATCCCATTACCATGTATGTTCGTCCTTCACACACTCATTTCTTTTTACTCCCAAAGCGAAATGGGCTGTTGCAAACGTGTCATGCATAGATGTCTTTCGAGATAACAGATTGATTTCTGTCAAAGGGTTTATCAAATATTAAGCAAGGCGTAAACAGTGAAGCACTTTAAATGCAGAGTGAATAAGAAAAAAAAAATGATTTTTGCATGAAATGTAACGGGCAGAAGTAATCACAGTCCAAGACTGAAATAACGGAATGATTTTGGGCAGAATATTAGAAAAGGAACGCTTTAATTAAATATAATTAAATGGACAGTATGAAACTACCATGTAAAATCTTTGATTAAAATGTAATTAAAACCTATAATGAATGCATTGAAATGAATAGTATGAAACGATTAAAGAAGGTTCCACTGAAGATGTAATTACAAATGACAGGGAATGTGATACACGTATTAATCTGAACAAATGTATTGAAATTCCATTTTTCTAGACTCAAGTGAAAATGTGGTGTTGTTATCCATCATTAAAATTGACATTGTAGAAAAAACACCAGTCTTTGCTTGTTTATTTTCCCACCAGCATTCAACGGAAGCAGATTAATGTACAGTGTTGGTCAGGTTCTTGGTTTGAAAGAGTGGCTTAGTTTTCTGTCTTCAGAATTCAAATGGCAAAGCAGGGTCTGGATATGGTAAATGTTTCGAACAGCAGAAGGTACCGTTTAAAGCTTTGCAAGTTATGGGTACGTAGGTTAAGTGGAGCACTTGGGTAAGCTCGATGGCCTAATTCTGCCAGAAATTGTGCTGCTTTACCAGTAATAAATATTGCTACTGCAAACAATGAGTAGTCAGGCAGAATAATATTTTTTTTNACACACAAACGTCTTCAATAATAAGCTACCAGAAGGCCAATGGAAGCAGATGACATAAATATATATATACTTGTGTGTATACTCGTTAGTGATGTTCACATTCATTGTTTCATTTCAACCCTCATTACTTTAAATAAATTACTTTTCTTGGATCTGTGATTTTCACTTTCTGCTGCTCCCATCTCACAAAATTAAATCAAATGTTCTAACCAGTATTTAGGTGATCCACTCCCTCAAATTTGTCACCACCTCAGGCTCACTAATAGGAAATCCACTATGGCCATTATTTACAAAGTGTTTTGTGCAATGAGGCTCTTAGGGTACTGCAATCGTTCTCTAGAATCCCAATTCTTTTTCCCCCTTAAATCAATGGTGGCCAACCTTTATGGTTGGCTAACAAAATATATTTTCTTGATTGAATATTTCTTGACTTATACCATAAATCAATTCATTGGCTGCCGATTTTGCCCACAAAATACAGTCATATCATTTTACAGTACATGTAACCTGTGAAGTGCTTTGAGACATCTTGACGACATGATAAGGCCGTATATCAAATGCAAGGATCATTATTCTCCCAACATGAAAGGCCCTATTTAACTTTCTCCCCCTATTTGTTTAGTTAGAGTGCATTAACTCTGAAATCGGTGTCATATTTTCGATCAAGTCCATAGTAGGATCTCCAATTAGCGCACTGTTGCACTTAATTCTGGGATTGACTGAGTATCTCTTCTGAAGGACAGCAAGGAATAAGATCTGGTATAAAATAATTTCAGTATGAGGATAAAGTATAGGAATCTGATGTTAATATCTGCAGGACCAAGAAGAAAAAANTAACAAGAGGGTGCCAACTTACATTTATTCCAGATCAACTTACTCATCTGTAGAAATTTGACTGCTTATCTATAAGGTTTTCGTACATAAGCCTGGAGCAATTTTATTGTAATTATTATAGGTTTCAGTCAATCCCTCCAGCGGGTTCTTGCTGTTATCACCAGTCAATCTGCATTCTGTGAAATGGATGTCCAGGCACCATGCGTATCTCGTAATTACTAAAGTGAGATAATTGACAAGACTATATATCACAAAGCCAATTGAGGTGTAAACCAGAGTCGTTTTCGTCTCGACCCCACGCATCCTGCAAAAGTAAAAGATTTTTATAGTTTTGCAGTAATCTGATTTGCGAGGCAGTTTCAGTCGTTGTGATGTGTGGAAGGGTTTGCATAAGAAAGTAAATAGTTTTCTGCACAAATACATGAACGTACAGCTGTGGCACAGCACTTCCACAAGCAATGGCGTTTGAATGCAATACAACGCACTGCTGCCTTTGATTTGAAAAGCTATTATGACAAAGGGGAGGAATCCTAACTAAAAGTTGCAGTATGAAATAGGTGGTGGTAAAAGTAAAATTTAAAAACGTTTAGCGAGGAAACACACGCAAAAGAACAAAGAGCATTTATTACCTGCTTGTGCTGATGATAATTTAACCAACTGGTTTTCTGAGGGTGTTCATACTGGGAAACTACGCAGTATTCCAGGGCACTGCTGATGACAGCACAGCCCAGCCTGGCTCTTTGGCAGGACCTGGAAGGGCAGACCAGTCACTGGAGGCAGGGAGTCATCCCACTCAGCTCCAGTTAACCCTACAATCCAAAGCCCTACAGGGCTGGGTGGTCCTAGCTGGACAAGCAGCGGGAAAGCTTAACAGATAACAAGCTGGTTGAACTCCCGCAGTTACCCCAACGCATACCCTGGGGTCCCCAAGCCTTGGCTCACATCAACCTAATGTGCCTAATACTTTCCAGAATTAGGTAAGCAGGATGAATCCCTCCAGGGAGAGACAGAGAGAGAGAGTCCGCATTCCATAATCTATCTCAGGAACTTCCATGTGCATGGAATTCTCAGTGTGGTTTGGATTCTCTTTAGCACGGTGATGGATTTCTGTACATGTCAAGACACCTGGCAGACCCCCAAAAATCACTCAAAACACTATGCAAATGACTACCAAAAGAACTTGAATTTATTTTGTGCCTTTCGCATAGGGTAACATTTGGGAACACTTCACAAGGATGGGTTGCTCTGCAACTAATAATCACTGAGGAATTAGAATTTAAATAATCAATATTCCTTTCTATCTTATTAGGATCATGTTCTTCAACATGGCTGCCGCGTTCGCCCACAAATATACAGTCAATTCACTTTACAGTGTGTTCTGTGAAGCGCTTTGGGACGTCCTCCCGACGTGAAAAGCGCTATATCAAATGTAAGGATTATTATTATTATTCTATGGATTTTATCCAAAGCGATGAAAGTTCAAAGGTGAAATCAAATAAATACTGCACTGATCAAGCTATAATGGCAATCAATAGTCCCTCAGGTGTAGAAATGACATGAAAGAGGATACAATAATTAGCTCAGCAATAATCCACAGTGACATCTGAAATCTTGAGTTAGTAGTTCTCTGCTTAAGTAAATTGAGTTGTCTAATGTTTGAGCCTTTACAGCTGTCAACATTCATAGCACACACTAACAGCTAAAAGAGAAAAATAAGCAGTTATCCAAATACAGCCATATAATCATTCAAATAAATGTCTTATATTCAAATATATTCAAGCACCGATATTAAAAAAAGGATTCTAATCAAACCTTTTATTCATTCCCAAATGAATCAGCATTAAAATATCAAGAACTCAAAATTGTAATAAGATAAGTTTCTGACAGACACTAGATCACCCTTATGGTTTTACTTAAAGGACGTAATTAAGAGTACTTCTCTATTGTTTTATCTGAGCACTGTAATCATGCTTATTCTAAATCAAAAGTTCTACAGTCAAGGAGATCATTGGTGCACATAGCCTTGTACAGTAAGTCATACTTTTAGTAAGATGATATTGAAACTAAATAAAACTTAATGTGATAAAAGCTATGGCTTAATCAAAATTTCCTTCACATTAAAAAGCAGTGCCTACAATTCATGTTAAAACAGTCAAAAATGTGGGCATACGGTGATAAAATTGTTTAATAAACCAAACTTCTAGCCATCTAAATCTTCAATTCAGTTTCAATAATATTGCTTTTAACCAAATTTCCTTACTTCGGTGTAATGTTTAAGGACTCTCAGAAAAGAAACAAATCAAATAGCTTTATGTACCACTGAGATGGGGATGTAAAGAAAAAGTAAACACAACTCTGAGACCAACTGAAATTTAACTAATGGCTTCAATTATTCTGTAATACTCATAAATAAACATCAACAGCTATGCGTTTCTCAATCTTTTAATTGTGCAGAGGAAAATTGTACGATCAGTTACCAAGCAGTCATTTCTTTAAGATTTTGAAGCATTATTTAACACGTGATGAAAAAAGATAAAACATCAAGTAGGTAAACATATACAGTAGCAGGTTACAAACCTAGTCCCATTAAATTCAATCCTTGCTTTTAATTACACAATCCTCTCGAAAGGTTAATATTCTTTCTAGTAAACCTGCATTGATGTTCGTGACAGGATTTTATACCCATGTCCTTTTTCATATAGATTTGGTTCATCTCACTCTAATCAGTGTGATATTGCAATCATGAAATCCTTGGCCATTTTGAATGTTCCCGTTAAGTGTTTTTTTTTCTGAAAAGGTACAAACGTGTTAAGTTTCACTTTACATTGCGCAATAATTTATTGTCGTACTTTTTTTTCCTCAGACAAAATTCGTAAAAATCAGGTGAAATGCTTACCACGACTGAATAGTTCAGAGAAGTGGTTGTGGTGTTAAAAAAAAAACCTTCTCATTTAATGTTCTTTTATCCTGAGCCTCATAAGGTCTTGAGCCATAATCCAGGCTGATGATCCGGTGCATTACAGAGAAGCTGTTGCACTGTTAGGAGTGGCATCTTCCAGCTAAGGTGTTAAACCAAGGTCCTATCTGGCCGATATGGTGGCTCTGCTAGCATGGTGGATTGCACAACATTATTTTGAAGAGTAGGAAGCTTTGCCAATGTAATGTCCTGGACAATTCCTTCTTCATTGCAAGAAACTATGAAAACAGATGCAATTTGGCCATTTATCTCATTGCTGTTTGTAGTGGTGGTGGTGGTGAGTGTGGAGAGAGAATAAAGACCAGGCCTCGTTGTTGCTTAATTGCCATGTTTGTACCACAGTCACCGATCCACCAGGCAAAATGATCTGCTTGTATTTTAAACAAGTGACTACAATGCACACAAAGCAGTTTTGAGATTTTGATGAACTAAAAAGCCCTGTCATTAGATTTGAATGGTTCGAATTAACATCTCATGTGGGGGGACATCTCTTCTCAGGCCTTTTTATTTTGTAAGAAAAGCCCAGCAGCACAGTAATAACATGGGTGTGGAAATTAAAGGTTACAATTGCAAGACGTTTACAGGTGAGTGATCAAAGGTTGCTAGTTACAAAGCAGATTAGACAATAACTGAAGTGTAATGGTACATGTAAGGATAGCGTCCACAAATGAACACAAATCACTTTTAAGATCGTTTAAGATTGAATTTCTATTTTAAGTTGGTGTATTGAGAATTTTAAATACATCGCTAGTCTGGCGCCCATTCCAGGATTTCTTTTGGTGGCTTGGAAAAAGAAAGGGGTTCATACACAAGGTTTCCATATTTGTCAACACCCAGGCATGCAAGTCGATCAATACACCATCAGTTAGATTTGTTTATTATACAGCGTTGCCAACAAAGTCCGATATATGACACAGCTCGACATAAGATACCATTGTGATTTACAAAGAAGAAAATAATGATTCACTCACTACCTATGAATGTTATGATTTTTGACTTTTTTTTGCAGGAGTTAATGCAATTGGATGGCAGATGCTAGTAAATGTGAGAGGAGGGGATGTTTTTTTTTTCCCCCCTAGACACCGGCAGACGAGATTTCGTTAAGAAAAAATTGTGTTCAGCAAAGCGCTCTGAGACGCTATCCTGCGTGGAGGGCGCTATACAAGTGCAATTTGTTGTTGTTGCTGCTGCAGTGTAATGCGGTCAAGTGATACTGGGTTTAAGAGGGCATTCAATCATATTAAAAATAAAGAAGATTACAAGGGGAGAAAGCTTTCATTGAGGAACTTTAGTATTTTGGATTCTTAAGATGATTTGTCAAAATATATGGAGACAGCAGGACCTGAAAGGGAATTTGTGTCACACTAAGAGATACTTTAGAAATCATCGGAACAAAAAAGCTCACCTGTAGCATGGTCTGACACGTACATAAAGACTTGGCAACAAGGTGCAACACCCAAAGCAATATAAAATGTCTTGTTAGTATCGTAATACCAACATCATTTTTTGAAAAAATTACATTTCTTGGTGCAAAGTGTTATTTCCAGGTCCTTAGCAATGAGCGGACCGCAACTTGGTCCGCTGTGTTGTACATTTAGGCACTCTTTCAATCAGTCAAAGAGCCAAGAATTCCAACAGCAAGATAGACTGAATGCCTGCATGACCCGAATGCCAACTGTGCAAAGAAAACCTACGCTGGAGTGCAACTCAGCAAGTCAGACTCCAATCTTTGGTCTGTTCTACATTGACACAGGCCAACGGATTCTCCAAACGTCAAAAAATAATAGTAGCAGCTGTAATGTCTTTCAAAACGGCAGAGAGAGTCACGGAATTCTTTTGCACCAAATTCAAGAATTGAAATTAAGGCCATAGAAAATGGTGAGGAAAAGAATCGGGTTTATAGTGGCGACGGAGGATGATAGTGAATTCAAATGTGTGATGAAATCAAGTCCCTGGGAGGCAGCATTAGTATTGCTCACCTGTTGTGACAATTGGATTTCAGAAGCAGACTGCTCGTCTTTGGATGCAATTGTTCTCATTCGTCAACTGAGATTGTGCTACATATTCAATCCAACCGGCATATCGCGATATTGGTCTCTGAGGAGTTCTGTAATTCCTCTCTCCCAATACCCCACAAGTGTATTTCACCTTTGCACCGTAAACCATGGAAGTACATTGCGAATCAGTTTACTTTTTTTTAATACTGAGAATATTTACTGTGCTGTTCAGCTGTTCATGTCTTTATATATATATTAATAATAAACTGGTCACTCAATCCAAGACTGTTTGTGGGATTATGCTGTGCGCAATTGGCTACCGCGTTTCGCCCACAAATATACAGTCAATTCACTTTAGTGTATTCTGTGAAGTGTTTTGAGACGCCTAGAAGACGTGATAGGGCCCTATACCAAATGAAAGTATTATTGTTATTATATATAATACGCACCATATGCAACGTGCGCATATATATATTTATATAATGTATTGTTACCAAAGAGTCAGCAAAGTTAATAAATAAAAATAAAGCTGAATCTGATAACTGAAAGTATAACTGAATGTAAAACAAGTGAGTTTCAAATAGCTATGTAATCATGGAGAACCAAAAGTAATTATATGTGCACATAAACACTGAACAAACCAGACAAATGTTCCTGGCCAAGGTTCAGAAAGAACAAAGGGAAATACAGATTGTGCAGAGGAACAATCAGAAGAGAAATGTAGTCTTCTGTCAATCCGATTGATTCCACAGTAATTGAACGCAATGTTGATTCTCCTTCTATTGTCTACCCAGTGAAGGTTCAGAAAAAAAGGAACAGAGCAAGTTGTGCTAAACCATCTCACAATGTTGGGATCAAAACAATACCTGCAGTAAGAGGCCTGGGATAGTCACTGCTGGGGGTTCATGATGTCAACAACAACAACAATTTGCATTTACATAGCGCCCTCCACTCGGGATAGTGTCCTGGAGCGCTCTATATTCGGCAGACTATATATACACACACAGGTATTTTATATCTTTTTATAAAATGCTACGGTTATGGAAAGGTTAACTTGATTTTCTTCCTCATCAATTATCCTCAGTATATTGTGGTTTCCTTACCCATGTTATTGAGCAGATAACAAACGGATCACAAGCACCCATTATGTCTGGTCACATCTATTTGCACACAACCGAACTCGGTTGTGTTTCACAGCTTTGAGTATGTGACAGGATTGTATTACAACTAGTTGCATTTGGTATAGTTTTTTTTAAAACGACGACGACGACAACAACAACAACTCTGGCTTTATCACTGTCAAACAGACCACGACTGATTAAAATAAAATTAAAAAATAAAACCGAGACTGGCAAGCAAAAAAAAAAAAAAAAACTGCATCGCTTTGATGAAGCTTTTGATTCAGGATTTTAAGGAGGATGAAGGACACCTTGAATTGCACCGCAACCAGTTTGATCCCAATGAAAATGGAACAGGGCATCGCAAATTTAACTCAGCGCTAGAGCAATGCTCAGTGATGCACATTGGAGCACAGCACAGGGGCACCCCCTAACTGGGCTTCAATAGAAAAGAGGGAACGGAATCTGTTGTGTGGTTGGAGGAGGGATGGTTCTTGAATGGAGTATCTTAACTTAAACTCTACTATATTTATTTATGCATTTGCCAGAATACAATTCACAAATAAACTTTAAAAGAAAATGCAAGTTAAGAAAAGCACTAGATTTTCCTCTTACGTCAAAACAATCTCATTCAGCTATTAAAATAAATGGTTATATTATCAGTGACTCGATATTCAAAACAAGGGATTTGGCAGTAACGTGTGTGTGTGTGTGTGCGTGTGTGGGGGTGGGGGGGGGTTGGGGGGCTAGTTTAAGGTGCACCGAATCTTCAATCAATCATCTGTCAAGCAAACTGCTGCAGGTTAAGTGGATTAATTGCACTAATGGATGGAATGAGTTACCTGGTCAACAAGGAGAGGGAGAAATTTACATTTCATCAGCACCACCATGCAAGTGTAGCAAAGAATCCTAAAAAAACAATATGTGAACAATCTCTGGAGGCCAATGACCTGTTCAATTAGCAAATAAGTCAGCTGCAGTGCTTCATTCATTTAAACACTCTCCCAAACTGCTGACAATCAGGTAACAAACACTGTATTTTGCTGAATAAAGTTTTTTTTTTAAAAATACGTTTGTTCTCTCTATTGCAGGATTGTAGATTGCGCAAACACAATTGTCCCAAGAGGAAGATAAAAGATGCAGCTGATTTCAGTGGTAGGTCTAAAATCACAAATTGTCCTTGGCAGAAGTGACAGCACATCGGATGACCTGTCAAACAAAGACCGTGGTGGTTAGAAACATTTAACTTTTAACACTGAGAAGCACTCTCTTTAATATGCTGCACTATATGGAAAAAGAACAACAGCTGTGAGCCTAGCAGTTAAATAAAATAACTTGTTTTTACTTAATATAGTAGTGTTGTCACTTAGTGCAATCACAAGAGACGTGTTCACCGGTTTCAACAATATATCACATATAATATTTAAGAGAACCATTTTCTGCTCAAATGGTAGCTCCTTAGTCTTAAAAAAGATCACATGGAAACCATTTATAGATTGGCATAATGGTATTCTATAATCAAAAATAATATCAGCCCCACGTTTGCAGTCATGTAAAAAACCCTGGATAATTTGATTCATAACTACATGAGGTGGAAATTATAAATAACACTTTCCATCACAATTTCAAGTTGCCTCCAAATTTACAGGTAAATGTGAAAATGATCAAAATTGCAAAGAATTCATGTTCTGATCCAGTGACATGGGAGATAATTTCCTGAATATCAATAATGTTTGACACATATAGTCTACTGACACACAAACAGCGCTAAGCATATTGCATTAGTTGTTTGCAAATTGTGTGTGCGTTTTTCCAAACGATTTAAAAGAGACAGTTTGGGATATAAAAAACATTTCACCTCATTTTGGAACATTGAGGAGAGAGAGTGTAGCAGATTTGGAAGGACACACCCACATATACACCGACACCCACAGAAATGAGTAATATAAATGCCACCGTAATCCATTAATCCAACTAGTTAAATGAACTCCTTTCGCTATAAGATTTGAAATTACATGGCCCAATCTTTCTGGGTCCTGGTAAATCTATTATATTTTACGTCACAATTTTTTTAAAAAAAAATTTAATTAAGAGTCTCTTCAAATTGTGTCCAGCCAGTGTGCAACCTTTCTATTCGAAGAAAAACAGTAACAAAAAAACACCCAATAGAAACTTCACATGTCATCAATGAATGACCGCTGATATTCAAAGATTTGGTCACGATTAAAACTCAACCATGCAGCAGTCATGATGTTTGCAGCAAGATTTACCTGGGATGGATTCCAAATTCTGCCTGAATTTCAAAACTAAATAAGTTGGAAATTGTAAATGACACTTTCCACCATGATTTCAAGTTGTCTCCAAATTTACAGGAAACGTGAAAGCCATCAGAATTGCCCAGAAACAATTTTTCAATGTTCAAAAGAAGTCTCTCCAGGATTTCGGGATACGAGTTTCACTCAGTCCTGCACTGCAGATGACCTTTTTCCTGTTACGCTACACATATCTTTGTGAAATATGGTTTTGACTTTACAATCTGTATGCCCTTTGGCGTAGGGAACGCTGGTACGCATAATGGATGTAGAAAAGGTAACTTGGATCAAGTTCGTGAGCAAAATTAAAATTGTTCAAGCCATAAGATGCTTGTGTCACACTGTGGAAGGTCCTGTAAAAATGGATGTACTGGATAGGCGTGCAACACTGGTTTAAATATCACATCTGAGCAAATGATACCTGAAGCAGTTTTGTGGCACTGAATGCAAAGTCAAACATGTTGTCACCAGCTACTTGAGTTTAGAACTGTATGTAAACTGAATACTTGATGCTTAAAATCCTACATTTTTGTCTAAGGAGGATTCTGCAGCTAGTTTCAAAAGATTTTCCTTCTAATTCCCTATAGGAGTTTACTTTAATGTTCTTTCAGATTACATTGCCCTTACTTACTAGCTTTAATCGGAACACTCAATCTTCGCGAAGGTATGTGCACTGCTTTATGAGAGAGTCAAGTGGATTTGTAAAGATTCAAATACCAGAACTTTTTGCGATTGTAATTTATCCACAGGCAATTGTATATTGGTTATCAACCATCCAATTCCTAGATAAAGGGAGTGATGATCTGTCATGCTCTTAAATGAATACTTTTGAATTCTTTGATAAGTCGTTCTTTGAGAAGGAAACCGCTTTCTTACAAACCCTTTGGAAATCAAATTTGGTGAGTTTTACCACAACTGTACAAAGTATACAATATATATTCTTGTTTTACTCAATCAACTGACTCATTGTATGACAAATTGATGTCTTTTCAAACACTTCAAAACTGGGAAAGCTGAACTGAGGCCTGAGCTCTAAAGTGACAACCCAAAATGGAAGGAAACATTTTTAAAAGTTGTCTCAAGCCCCTTAACCTGTTCTTGCACTCCCAGAAGGTAGGGGGAAAAAGGCAAATAACAGATTTCATAGGAAAATTGCAACTGTATATATTATATTAAATTAACAATTTCAGTGAAATGAAATGCTTTGACTTCCAATTTATTGAAGAGATGTCAAGTAAGGAAGATGCCTAGAAGAGTACCACACTGTGGATTTAGCCAGTTTGGATAAAGGCTGATTCGACTTGAGAACTGAATTACAGGAGACATTTCCGCCTTTACATTTTTATTCAGACTTTTTAATTCACTCGAATTTCTTCTAATATGATTTTGTATTTTAGACATGGCCCCTAAAATATTTATTGAAATGGTTTCATCTGTTCTTGTATTGAGCACTGATTTATCATGTTAAAAACTTACACCGCTCCCCAGTCTCAATTTATTGATTGACTTAAAGTGTTGTATATTAGAATGTTATTGATTTGTTAGGTTATTTATGACGTTATAAATAAATTTACAGCTCAATACTCATTGCACTATTTTACCATTTAGTTATGGTATATGTTGACCTATTGGTTTTAGGTCTACTTCACATTAGCTTTAAGAAAAAAACATTTTTATTGTTTTCACACGTCACAGTCCTAGATTTAGAGCTTGTGCCAGCTTCATCAATGCTGTTCATCAGCTGCTGCAGTTTCCCTAAACAGAATGTATCACCTGGAGATCGTAATTACTTCGTGAATTTACTTAATGCCACAAAGAGATTATCGAACTAGCAGTAAATCATTTCTTTTTACATGACAGTTAACACTCTGAATCCACAAATCTAGCTCCAGATACGACATCCTAAAGGCTGCGCTGCCTTGCCCCCTCCCTCCCCACCTTCAAATCTCACATGAAGACCTTCTTTTTGATCGTGCTTACGGTCACCTCCCCCACCCCCCTCCCCGGCTCGTTGGCAGACTCCGCCGCTGCGCTCTGGGACGCTACCCCACGTAAAGGGCGCTATATAAATCCAAGTTGTTGTTGTTGCTCCATGCTGTTGCTGCTCCTTGGATGACCTACCAGGAGGCAAACTGATGATGCACAAGATAGTGCCCAAACTCAAGGCAGATTTAGTTTTGCTTCCAGTGAACAGAGCTGCCAGTAGACAATTATTCTCAAGCGTACGAAAAGCTCATGGTTTAAGTCCATGGCTGGTAGGAAGAACAACATTTAATATCTCAACAAAGATTTACAAAGAATGCACAGCCATTCAGCAAAACTAGTCTGTGTCGGTGTTTATACACCACACGAGTCTCCCTCCATACCCTTCTATCCTCTTTTCATCATATGAATGTTTATCTTCCTCTTGAATGTATCTATACTATCTGTACTATCTATACTACACTGGGATATAATTTCCTGCAAGAGGTAGGGAGGATTTTTCATTCCAATCAGCAAGCACTTTATCTAATCGGCCAGACATTCACAAGCTTCCTGTTGAAAAATCAAATCCATACAAAGCTACATCCAATAACTCTCTGCGCAGCAATTACTACATACTGGGTGATTTTTTATTATAATTTCCATTAAAAAAATTTGTTCATAAATATTCCTTCATAATTTATTGGTGGAGATTTAAAAAANGGATGAAACTATCACCAGAAATCCAATTCAGATTAATGAATGTTGTGTTTAGTTCCATTAGTTTAAGAAGTCAAAAGAGCTACAAGTAAAGCCAAACTTACCGATAATGTTTAGGTAAATAGAGTGCAATCAATGCCCATCAATGCTGAGGCTGCTCAGGGCTGATTCCCATCCATTTGTAAATCTCTTTAAGTATCAGCAAAACAGTGTCTTCTGATTCCCTATAGAAATAAATTGTATACTGAATTAACATAGCATGAACTGTATACTGTATTAACTTAACAAGTAACAGAGCAAATAACACAGACAAGAATGCATGAGTTAGTGATCAGTTTTAAAAAAAAGTCTTTTCTCTTGTTAATTTGCTCATGCTACAGAGACTCATTTGCAAGTCATTTGACCATTCAGAGTTCTGCCCTTTTATTATTGTGGTTTCAATTTATGCTGTAGATGATGACAATAAAATGAGGGATAAGAAGATGATAACAGCAAGACTGGAAACACCATCCTGAATTTGAACAGAAGAAGAAATCAAGAAATGTTCATTCCAGGCAGAAATATACTATAAACATTTATTTGACAACACAAAAATCATCTAAAAGGTACACAATACAAAATTGAATGTTTACATAATACTGCTTTACTATTCTCCTAAAATTTGGAGAAATGACAAGACATTAAATTACTGTTGGGCTGTCTTCCTTTCTCCCCCACAAGGTTGCCAATAACAATAACTTTAAATACCGCTTGAAAAGATGCACATCAAGTCTGCAAAAAATTCTAAAGAATAAATGAAGCCATTACATTTCATACTTATGTAATAATCAGCTAAATGGGAAAGCTGACTTAATTTGCTTCATTAATTGTGAGCGGAACGAGACTTCTTGGAGATTAGACTTAGCTAAGATGTACCACCATGCAATGTTTCCCTTCAATTAAATAATAAGCCTCTTTTCTAGGATAACTAGTAATGTGACTGCACTTCTAAGACTTCTGCGACCTCCATCAAACTGAAGAATCTTCTTAATAAAAAGGCCACAAAACAAAACCCTGAATATAAATGTAATACGTTTGCAGCTGAAATAAAATTAGAAAAAAAGATTAAAGGAATATATCACATTTGTGGCAAGAGACTGGAGACCTAATACAGAGTTTTCATTGCTTTTGGAATAGGTTCTACTAGGAGTGTAATAATTCCTCTTTAACACCATATGCATAAAAAGAGAAACACGTGTTGGAATATAGCAAGATAATTCTAGACATAGTGCGAAATACCCACTAAAGTTAATTTATTTGGTGAGCTGGTTACCAGGAATGTGCAGGAATATAATGGCTTCAATCACTATTAAATTCACAAAAGTACCAAATAATAATGCTTGCATTATTAACTTAAAATGGCATAACTTAGAATGCATACTCCCTTTTCATGTTGTATAACGAGAATGCACAGAGGGAAACTGTAGAAATGTTCGGATTAACTATGGTAAGTATGATCTGACTGAGCTGCTGAGAAAGGTTCAAGCTTCACGTATAAAGTTTGCTCTCGGACATGCTTACACCTGCTGTCACTGTGGTTGTTGTGATGATCTTGCTGTTATTTGGGGTCTCCTCTGGTTGAAGAACAAAGTGCATGGTCTACTCTAGAATGAGGGCATATGTACAGCAATGTGTAAAAACATCAGACTGAACAGTCGCTGGTTTCTTAGGCAGGTTTCCCTGATAGAGAGATGGGAATATCTGATTTGCAAACAGAGGTGACATGAATGAGGAAGAACACAATTCATTCAAATGAGGATAAACTCATTTTCTCAGGGCAAGATTTTGTTGCAAATGAAATTGGGCAAACCATTATTCCATCATGGTTCATCTTTCTATACAAACTGAAAGCTCCCAGTTTATCAATGATATATCAAATTATTTTCATACAATAAGTCAGCATATGTAACAAATGCAGCAGGTGGATTAATTGCGAAAAAAAGCTACAAACAACTTCATCTCATAAGTTATTTATTTTTAATAAGATGTTGTATAATGCAATGTCTTGTAAAATCAAGACAAACACCAGACTAAGAAATCATGTTGATGAAAGCGTTCTGAATTATTAATTTTTAAATTAAGCCATGATCTATACACTGAAGAGCATTGCATTACCGCTGTATCAAAGGATGATTTGCAATGCAAAGGTACTATGAAATAAGGTTGAAAAAGTATTGGAATAATTTCCCCTTAAACCCAATTTAAAACGTTAGTGACAATATCTGATTTTGTCAGATTGGAAAAACCTTAGGCAACCAAGCTCATTTCGTAGGGGAAAAGACTTCATGGGAATCAACATGAAAAGTTTAACTGTTAACAAAATATTTAATTGCTACATATTGCATTTCATTCCTTAAACAAGTAACAAGCCCCAGCACAATGAACTGTGGGCCCAAATTCTAATATATCATAGACTTTAGGAGTAAAACAATTGAATATATTTTTAAATAAACTCGTGTAAGTGTTCTTCGTTCCCAAGATCTGCTCACAAGAAACGTGATTTAGTTAAAAGAAATGCAGCAGGTAGCGCGCATGCAACAACAGAGTAGTTCACTTATCAAACCAGTGAATAAGTCAGTTGGAGAGTCCACAAATAGAGCTGATATGTGGAACTCAATGCGAATTTGCCGAACAGGGAATTTGTAAAGACAATTCTCTCGAAGTTCTGGTCGCACAAAAATATTCGCCGTAGTTCTCAAGATCTTGGTGGAGCTAGGTGAGTCAATTAAAGCAGCCAGCTATTAGATGACAAAACTAGCGACCTCTGAGCAGTTTTGAAAAACATTACAATGCACAGCAGATTTACTTGCTGTATAGCACCAACTTAAGTTTCAACAAACAGCCAGAGAATATTTTTCCCACATTCAGTTTTGGTGTTTGATAATCCTTTGAAATTCTATATAAATTGCTTTTCATTCTGGACATTTTAAAGAACTTTATCCGATTCACAGTAGGATTCAAAGGATTTGACGTTAAAGGTATTGATATAAATCATAATCCGTTCCGTTTTGCTTGGAATTGCTCATGAGCAGACTTTCAAATGATTCACATTTACTGCAATAAACACCGCAATGTTTGCTCATGTTCCAGGAGATGGTTTGGGTTTTAAATTTGTGATCCCAGCAATGACATGACTATTATTAAAAAAATACAGTAACAGCAATACAAACGTGGGGAGACCTGTTAACCTCGTTTTCAGCAGTATAGTAGTTGGGAAATCAAGGATTAATTCCCCCAACCTACAGCAACCTGTTAAAATAATAATCCTAGCATTTCATATAGCCTTATCATGTCTTCGAGATGTCTCTAAGCACTTCACAGAGTATACTGTAAAAAATCAATTGATTGTATATTTTGTGGCCGAAACGCGGGAGCCAATTGCACACAGCAGTGTCGCACAAACAGTCTGTATTGAAGTGACAATAAAAATTTATTATTATTATTTGTGTGAAGGAATTATTATCCCCGGAAACAAATGACATTTATATAGCGTCTTTCAAGTCGCAAGAATGTCCCAAGCCGCTGGACAGTTAAGGGTTAACTGCCCCATGGGGGTTGGAATCAAGAGAGTTGGAAGGTAGCGAAAAACAAAAGAGTGTACTCTGGGCTGCGGTTCTTTTCATGCATGTGTTCAGAGTATGAATACAGGAGAAGCAACATGATAACATTTAGCTAGTTTAAGCCAGGAAATGGTCTTGGTACTTTAGATTTAAATGCTTGCCAAGATGCCGTACAGGGTTTAATTTGCCAGAAAATTAATAAAATACCAAAGGTCACATCAAACTAAATTTACAAAAGCAGACCGTCAATTCATGGGGTATACTTAACCTTGATCCATGAGCCAAGGATTTAAAGTTGAAGATAGAAATCATAATCCCATCCAATGTCGTTTAGATAGAATTGGAATTACCAAGTCAATTAAACGTCTCCTTTGGGATTCGGAAATCTTTCGTTTGACCTTCACACACGACCTCTACCTTGAGGAGGTAAAGCACTTGCAGTTCTGGGCAAAGAAATAGCCTCGCTTGCTTGGCATTCACAGATACAAAGCGCATGAACCTAATCTATTGCTGGAAACCTGCCAGCAACTTCCATCACTTTAACAGCCTTTTCTCACAACATTTCAGACACGTTTCAATGCACCATTCCACGGAGTGGTATTATATAGATTCATCACACTTATTTCCCCGCACTGCAACTTCCTTATTGCGTCTGTATTATTTAGAAAGGGGGGGGGGGGGGGGAAAGGGCTGAAAGGGCAGACAAATCACTCTATAGATTGCATTCCAGTAGCCAGCTCAACAGCAAAACCGAATAGACCTTTTTTAAAAAAAATCCTGTAACAATTCAACTGTTATACAATCAAAAGTATGTGAAACAGACATTTGTTGCGATGATGCTCCATGTATGGCCGTAAGTCTAGCACGTGGACTGGGTCCAGTTAATGCAGACAGTCGCTGGGTGTTACTGAGATGTAAAGCATCAATCCCATCAAATTGCAAGTATCTCGAGCAACTCTGCTCACACAACTACATTACCACACTACCCCGCTGCCTGTATCAAGTTATAAGAATAGCTAGTCGTGTCCTACAACTCTAGCAAAAAATAATCTTCTAGACTTTCGAGGCTTTTAATTTAATATCCAAGTCTTCGATTTCTGATCTTACGATCCAAGTTAAATCACCCGTTTATGTCACCCAATCTTTTATCTAGGAAGTTCAGCTGTCTGTGTGCCTCTTCCTCATAATTCAGACCTCCCATGTAATGCTCTCATGTTTCTTTCCCCACAACAGATATTAAGACAGAATATTTCTACTCCCTGGGTCATCTTTAGCTCTGTTTGGAACATTTTTTCCCCAGAGAGAGCTCCGGTCTTTATTGAAATTTAAAAATAATAACAAGAGCCTTAACTATTTTAGCATTTAAAGAAAAATACCAACAAGGAGAAATATTTCCCCTGGGTGTTGAAACTTGCATTGGTGATGTTTTAGAACACACCACATATTTTGTTATCAGAAATTTATAAATGCTATAAATTAATTTTAACACAGAATTTCCAACGAGGGCATTGGGAATAGTAGAAACATGTTCAAATCCCAGAGTCAAATGATGTCTGCCTCTTCCACTCATGGCTAATACCAGTCACTCCATTTATTGGTAGCAGGAAAGGGTTTTAAGAGAGAAATAGAAAATGTGGTTGGAACCCTCCTTTGCTATTTAAGACACAAAAGAGATCAATTAAACAGCAGTAAGACATTAAAAGAGTGAATTGTCCAATATGCTGTTGCAGGTGGGTGCAAGGTTGTGAGGGCACAAGGGAGAAATGCAGATAATCTGTAATAACCACAAAACTTAATCTCTCATGATTTACAAGGCCATCTGAACCATTGGCTGTGTTATAACCTACTAATTTCCCCCTAGTTGTTTTTTCAGCACATCCTGGATACAAAAATCAAATCCAGACAATGCTGTCTGTTATTCCAAATATTTATATATATCTATAAATATTAAAAAAAGTACCTGATGGGATGGTATTTACCAACAAATTGTCATAAATTAGAAATCGTGAAATTGCAATTTGAAAATGTATTACAGTGGTGTTAATTTCATTCACAGTATCATAAATGGCATTCTTTCATTTTACATAAAAGAGCCAGGAAAAAAAACACAAAATTAAGGATTTTATTTTTAGCATAATTTACATTTTTGCAAATTATGGAATAATTCGGAACATATGAAATCCGAATCATATGGTAGAAATTGGGAAAGGTGATTCAGTCCATTTGGTGCACATCATTTAGGCTTGTGTTCTGGACTTACAGAAATTATTTATCTCCTTTAACCTTTGATCAAAGCACTGATGGCACTAAATCATTCCTGCATTTTTTGGGAATATAGTGCCTTTCACATCGAGAGGCTATCCTAAAGTGCATCACAGTATTTAGTGTGATGTGGAGTGACTGTTTGTGTTGGCGAACGCTATAGCTGAAATAGCTATGCAGTGAATGAACAACTTCTCGAATAGTGCCATGGGATCTTTAACATCCACCTGGAAGATGGGACCTCATTTAACGTCACATTCTGAAGGACAGCACCTCCAACACATCCCATTGGGGTGTCAGCTTAGACTATGTGATTCCGAGTCCCGACATAAATCCATTGAGGTTTTCAATACTAAATCAGAGTCTTTATTTATGGCTCCAGTTGAACATTTAGTCTATCGATTCCCATCATAAATAGCTCAATGAAAGCTTTACCATTCTGCAGAGCCACTGCTGGGATCAATCTACATAATGGCACAATGTCCCACAAGTGAATAAATACTGATAACCTGTTGCATTCATTTTCAGGAGATATATGGATACTCCAAAGGGGGTGTCTGGTGGTCAGCTCCTGCTAGTCATGATATCCAACTTAGAATACACAATCAAAAAGACATCATCAATGAGTATGGTGTTTTGTGAGGGAAAATCACGAAAACCAATAGAAATTCAGTGATCGTGCCTGGGTATCACACATAGTCTCAGACCTTTTTCTGCAACACACACACTTATCTATCACTGCAAATGTGTTTTGAAATGTATGATAGAGAGGATTGAGGCGGTTAAATTAAATGCAGCTTTATTCTATTCAGAAGTTTGGGTTATGGTAACTCAGCCATATCAGCTTTTTTTTTTCTTCTTCTGGGTCAAAAAAAGTTCTGTAAACAGTCCCATGCTTACACTAAACCCCAGCTCTATTAAGAGCCCCCCCGGAACTCACGTGTTCATAATATGTCATCAATGCATCAAAATGCACTAAAATAATTCAGTAATAATTTCACTTATTTGCAAAAATGCTCTCTTGAAAGTTATAAAATAAAGAAAGACCATTCTATGCTTCAAGGATGCGTAGCCCCCAAAAAATACAAAATCCTTGCACATCAAAAACTTTTACAGTAATCATAATTAAATGATCAAGAAACTATATAAATTTTAATAGCTTTAAATTATCCTAGTGTAAATATTAATATCTGTATCAGGATCTGTATCTGGCTCTTTAGTAACACGAGACCCTTAGGGCTGCTGTCTGCAGTTCATTCAACTTTATTACAGATAATTTACAACCAAAGATTTCTGACCTACAAGAAAGAATGCTGAAATTCACACTTATAAATCAGAACAGCACATGAGAAGATACAAAATGCATTTCAATAAGGGCAGAAACCCCCTCCCCAGGGATACAGTAATCCTAGTAATAGACCACCAGCTTTAACAATTCATTCAGGGACAAGGAACTTTGAGAAATAGTTTAAACGCTTTTTTTTAAAAAAAACACTGAGTAACATATTGCCTTGAGTGATTACAAGGCTTTAATCAATAGTGAAGTATTCACAGAAGTTCAAGTGGATCAGAAATGTTTCAACATAATTTGGAGTTTCTTTCTTCACCCCAGTATCTAAATACAAAGAGAGAAGAGTAGAAAAAGAGATGGTATTCTTACCAGTAACACAAATGGCTCTGAAGAGCAAACAGATATTCATTGAAACTCTCGATCGGCTTTTCTTGTAGTACATAATCTATCCGGTGCCCTCCATTCAGCAGTCCAATCTTCACCGCTGAATCCTCATCCTTCAGTGATTCTGGACTTTCCACCAATTTTTGTTCTGAGATTTAATTGATTACAAATGAAGCCCAGCGGTTTTGCAAAAGAATAGAACAAACACCAAAGTGAAAATATTGCCTGGGGCAAAACTATATGCACTGGTTTATTATAATCAGTTTTTTTTTACTTTAACACTTCAGAAACTGAAACAAAAGCTGTTTTACAGATTGATATTGCCCCGGGATCAATCACAGCAAAGTACTGCTGGAGTAAGACAAAGGTGGCAAATTATGAAGATCTGATATAAACAAATTGGTCATTCATTTTGTAGCCATTTGTGAGACACAGTTGGGCATAAATTGGCTGCTGCATTCATCTATAATTAGTAACCACACTTTACAGCCAACTTTGTGAAGCAGTTTGAGATGTTTCAATGTGATGAGGCGTTATTTCAAACACAAGGATTAATATTGTGAGTTACAAACTCAATATTGCAATAGTGTGGATGAGCATGATGTTACCGGCTACATGTTGGGTTAGTAACTGAAGACATCCCCTCACTTATTTGGCTTAGTGATGGTGGGTAAGAGGATTATCAAATCCTTCCCTCCACCTTAAAAGAATATGCAACACAATATAAACTTGATTTTGTTTCTTCTGTGTTCATCATGATGAAGCATCTCAGTGCTGGAAAAAAAGCATTTTTCCATTATCTGGTTATGGGTGAGCTTAATAACTTGGTGGCCAGTTCAGGGGGAGACTATAATGAGAGAGCGAGAGCGTAAATGTAACAGGACACAGCAGGAGCAGAGGCAGAGTGATGAAAAATAAAATTGAATTATTTTCACCAGGCACCCAAGGCAGATGCTAAAAAAGACTTCACACACAAACTGATTACTGTTTAACTGGGAACCACGCTAGAAGTAATCTGTTCAATACAAAAGCGAAATAAATGTACTGCATTATGCAATTCTTTCATGTGACGACAATTTTAATTAAGCTGCCACAGCAAAGAGGCTACCTCCTAGCTAAGAAGGAGTGGAAATTATTTGATTTGAATGGGGGGGGGAATGTCCTGTAGAGGATAAAATGGCAGGTAGAAAATGACCAAGGGAAAAAAAAAGTTTAAGAAGGAATTTTACAAAAATGTGTGCTCCAAAAAAGCAGTCGATAGCAGCATTTCACATCCATCTGTGGCCTAACAAGTCATTTACAGAACAAAAACGGAATTAAAAACAAAACTACAGGAAAAGCTGCTTTTCAAAAAAAAAATGCCAAAATTCCAACTCAGTAAAATGGTAGAAAAGAATAACAGGTTCAGAGTTGGATAAACGAAGGGCAGATTGTGGAAATGAAAGTGTTAAATTCAAGCTCAAGCTTGCAGGCCGAACGGTGCTCGAGGAAAAAGATTAAATGCTGCTCCTGACATTTGCATTGATTTTTGTTGGAGCCGTGTTAGAGACCAAGAATAGAAATGTCCAGGGGACCAGGGGATGGGGGCGGCGGGGGGGGAGGGAGAGAAATGGGGAGGTTTGAAATGACCAACTATAAGAAGTAAGGATTATATTAATATTATATTAATATTATATTAATATTGAAACAGCTTTCAAATCTATGTTTCGTCTCAACGACACAGAACACAGACGAGATTGGTGGAGGTACATGCCAAATCGCTGCTCACAATCAAGTCCTAGGTTCAATCTTTGATCCCTACTGCTGTACTGAGCAAGTCTATCTCAACCACTGTCTTGGTGGACACCCATCGATTGGGATCGGCATTCATGGTTGAAAGAAGATTTAATAAGGGAGCACACAACTGTTTTTATCACATGAGCTGGGAAATGAGTCAATAATGATAGAAGAAAAACAGATAATAAAACTGTCCAGATAAGCTACCAATATAGTTCAGCAGTTCAGAAAAATGGCAGGTAAAAACAAAACTAGAGGCGTAATCGCTCAATATTCCATCATTTCACTATTTCATAAGCTGTGAACTCACTTAGTTATGCAAAAATAAATGATAAATTAATAGTCTCTAATGATCAATTCATTGTGACAGTTATTTTTAAGACCTTGATATTTCTGAAGTCTGTCAGTGTAAGGTATATGTGAAAGTTTAAAATAGTGCATTCTTCGTATGAAATTGCTAACCGAATACTATTATCAAGGTCAAGCAATCCAATGAGAACTGTCTGCTAGTCTGAAACTCAGATTTGCACCTTTTTAATTTTTCACAATTTGGAATTAAACAGTTTGTTAAACAAGATTAACACCTGAAACAAACATCATCAGTATTCTGTTTGACTGACATTACATGCGGTTGGCAAAAAGATTTTTAAGGGAAAAATTGAAAAGCCTCTAAGTTGCCAATGGATTGAAAAGGTGTTGCCAGAGTTAGACAGACTAGAAGTGATGAGGCAGAATGAAAGAAGATATAAAATAGGTCTCAATTAAGCTTCAATCTGGCAGTAAGGAGATGCAGTCTTCCTGCCTTCAATATGTCCAATAGCCAGTGTCAATACCCTGTAGGTAGATCTGGCTATGTAAAGAAATGGCTCCATGGCTGTCTTCTCTTTGTGGGCTGGTCAGGTGATTCAGCCTTTTAATAATAAACTCAACCTTTAAAAATGATGCAATTTTCTAAGTGATTCTGATCATTTGTTGGTGGTGGGGGAGTGGGGAGAAACAGAGAAGAAATGGACTGAATTTAAAAGAATAGAATATTTATTTGTTTTCTTTCAGGGATATTTGGAATATCGGTCATTTCATTTTATAGTCATAATAAAAGTATCACTAGGATATGCTTTCGTTCGAACACCACAGAAGTCTGTTCGTCAACACTATCGTTAAGACTTTTTTCAAACTTACTTCAGTTGTAGTATCAGTGAGCAAAGACCCAAGAATGTCTGTAATGAATTAAAGGGGGGGAGGAAGTGAAAAGAAAGTAGCATAGAAATATAACTGCCTCAGTTTCCCCAGTCTAGGGAGGAGGAACCAGCCATGGCTCTTACTCCTAATCACATCTGCTGTGTTTGCACATATATATTATAAACACTGACATCAGGATCTGGTTCAAATACGCTGCTCCCAGTTGTTAAATATTTGACCGAAGTTCTGGAAAGGCTTACCTTCCTCCACATGCTTTTCTTCCTCTTCTTTAATCTGATTAGCTACCTTCTCCAACTCGGCCTGCAGCTGGGTTGAAGAAGTGTGGGCACGTGCAAACTCATTCAGTGTCTGCCAGGCACTCTTTAGGGAACTGATGAAGCCGTGTTTTAGATCTGACCCCATGCGAGTCAGACTCTCTTTCAACTCTGGGAACAAAAAACAAAGATATTACATTATACACGGTGTGGGTAAATTGGCGGCTGAGTTTGTCTACAAAATGAACGGTCACTACAATTTACAATAAATCCTGCGATGCGCTTCGAGATGTCTTTCCAACAAGAAAGACGCTATACCAAACTCCAGGATTATTGTAAGTTTTACAATCAGTAACTATAATATTTTCAAATCATGTGGTTTCTTATTTCTGCCTCAATGCTTGTTTTTAACAGAATCTAACAATGGTGTTGATATCTCAATTTGAAAGCACTATTACTGTATCAACCGCAAAAATATTTAGTTCTCATACTGTGAATAAATTTAATATCACAAGGAAATATAATTAATGTGGGCCATGAAAGAAATGCATAAGCATATTTACAAATAAAATTTTAATGAAAATGGGAGAGAAGTAAAAGAAAAAAGCACACAGAATATTAACATCAGGAGCCTTTTCTCTTCTGAAACAAACATCAATAGTTCTCTGCATGATTTCCTATTCTTAAAGTTGATTATGCAGGTAATGACTCCGGACAAATGTACATCTTACAAAAATAAGATTAATCTGCAGAATGCCACAAAAAGAATAAAGAACTCAGTGAGTTGAATCAGCTGTAATTACCAAATCATGTCACTGTGTCTCTCTAGAAAAAAAAATGAATCAAAGAGAACATGGGTTACAAGATTTGTACGCATACTTTTTTAATAAAAATATTGCAGCTTGTGAAAAAAACCCTGAAAATACCCATGTTCTCCTCAGTCTGTTCCATGTTGTTTAATGTCTTTAGCAGAGGAACACAATCAGTATTATCACAAGTCATTTCTCACTTCTAGTTGTATAAATTTGCTTTCATGTCACTGCTGAAGAGCAACTCTAGACCGTGTTTGACAAGTGTTTTGAATAATGATTTCTGTTGTGGCATTACAGATCATTTAGGACGGCATGCTAGAGATATAAAAGTCCACTTAACTAAACTGGTTTATAGATCCAGGCTTAAGGTGACTGGAGAGGTGAAGAATTTGAATACCAATAACTTTCAAGGGCACAAATAATAATGGAGTGTCCATTTTTGTTTCTGAACACAACTAGTATAATATACATATCCTAAACAGATTATCAAATGGTGAATTTTCAGGATGCATGGGAGCTATAAATCACTCTAGAATTATACTGCACTAGCTCAGCAGGAAATACAACTGGCAAAGTGGTTTTCATTTGATATGGACTATATGACTATTATTACTGACACTACCTACTTAGGATCATACATTAAGGGTAGTTAGTTGGATATGACATTGAGAAGGCTGCCTACTACATGCACGCACCATTCCCAGTGTAATTCAGTGGAAACAAATCAGGAGGGGTTAGGGAGCACGAGGAGGAGAAAAAAAAACTGAATCTCTTCAGATAATCTACAAGGTACTTTTTTAAAAAAAATCTGAATGTCGCATCTGAAATTTTACTTAAGTCAGCAGGAGACCAATTTTGTCTTCACATCAGCAGGCAGGAAAAATCAATCTCAAGACACTATAGAAAACACATTTTTCTTCCAGAAACTTACAGTAATTAAAAAGGCTATTTTCTAAGTTGATAACCTGTGGGTCACAAGAAAGATGAAATAAACCTGGAAAGATATAGGCAGGGTTTCACCCGCTCCATACGTCTATAATAAAACAATCTACTTAAAATTTTTCTTCCCAACAGAAAAAAATTTGTCCAGCGTCCACAGTTGATTTTGATCACAAAGGTGAGTATCTGACCTAAAGAAACCTCCAGTAATGCACAGGGAGTGCAGGAAGGTGTTCCTTATTTGCCCAACTTCCCCGGCACAAACCAATAAGCAAGCTAATCATTATGATTGGCAGCTGAGTTGTTAAAACTGTACTATTGGCAGCAAGTAAAGGTCTATTGTATAATCCCTGGCCACAAACGTTGCAGTTGTTTGATTTACCTAACCTCCAATAAATACATAGATCAAGTGTGTTGAAAATGATGCAAAGCAGCTCTCTGTTCTGACAGGGTAATTGCTCTCATTCTGCATGTCAATGTTCCATGTCTTATTCAGTCAATAAAAGAACAGCACTGATGTTTAACTGACTACTGCATACCTTGGATATTTGGGTTATAACAAAAAGCCCAGTGGGTGGCATAAAATTACATTTCTTGCATTGGTTTTAGTACATTCTTCTCAAATGAGGCACATGTGCGTATTATGGATCATGTTTAGCTCTATGAATCATTGCCAAAATTAAATAGAAACTCAACACGTCTTAATATTACAATGCATTAGCTGACATCACCTGCTGAATTATGGTTTATGTATGCCGCCAGGCCTCTTGGAGACTGCCCTGCTATGAATCTGAATATAATTTCCTCTCATGATGAAATAGCTCAAGTAACATTCAAGACCAATCCTATCGTTATCTAATCTCATGCACGTCAGGAGTCTAGGAGCTCCCCGTATCCAGATACAATATCATATGCTATAGAGCAGCTCTGCCCCACTTTCTCTACCCCTCTTTTAGGATGACTTTGTAATAATTTGTCAGGAGATGCACAACTGGTCTTGTTGTCCCACAGTGAGAAAGCAGCAATCCTACAGACTTCGTCTTTTACCAGCAATGCACAGATCAAAACCCGCTAAACGATTTGTTGGCACAAACCAGTGGTGTAGTAGCATTGCACATTGGTGCACTGATGGCTCTGCAAGTCTTTCTCAAAAGAAATCCTGATAAAAGCTTTAAATCTTTGTTTATTCCGAACCATACTTGAGAAGTGGAACTTTAACATTTTTAAAAACAGAGAAACATTGATAAACAAAAGCAACAGATCCTGAATAAACATTTTAAAGTTATAGTTCTCCAATATTAATTGTTTCCTAGATCTTTCCTATTTAAAAATAATTAAAAAGAAAAAATACTAAACCCAATTACTTTTGTGAATTCATTAATGTGATTTATTCTTCAGAAAAAAACTCAATCACTGGGAAATAACTATTGATCTATTTTCACCTCAGAATTTAGGTGTGTATCTCTTATTAGACAGTTCTAATAAGTGGCTGGATTAAAATTCAATTCATTAACAGAGAATGTTATCTTGTGCATTAAATGAACGAAGACCTGGCTTACCAAGATGTAGTCTTTTTCTGCCTTTGTGATGTGGAATAAGAACTGGCTTGAGGTCCAAGTCAGATATAATCAAGGGCTCGATCCGGTACGCCACAGGATCCAACTGCAAATAGGAGCAAAGGTTCACTTGAATTAAAATGGCTGAAAACAATCAACTCACTTACTGTAAACAGATTTTATATTTTTCAGCTACTGCAATGAAACCGAGACATTGGACAGGAATCTTGGAAGGAGTTCGTAGCTTACAACAGTTTAAAAAACTGTCCGCATCGCAAATTACAAAGCTGAAATTGGTAAATAGGATATTCAAAACAGAATGGTACTTTTTACAGAAATTATACACTTAGCCAGCAATTATGTAATATGTAAAGCATATTAAATAGGTTTGAAAGTGACAAAGTGTTTAAAATTAATGACAGGAGAGCAATTGGACTACAAGAATAGTTTTACTTTGATGACAATACTTGTACATCATTGAATTGTCTTCAATATTGAACTACAGATTTTGCTAAGAATGTATTAACAAACCAGAATCATGAATTCTTTAGCATGATTGTAATCACAACACAGAGATTAACATTCAAGAAACAATCCTTAATATTGCAGAGAGCAGTTTCTGTAGATAAGATACTGGTTTGAGGTTACTTTGAGCAAACCCAATACTCTGATCAATAATATTGAATCCGTTTGTTCTGGTGGCAGATACATCTTCATTTTTTGTTTCTTTAAAATATGCCCACGAGTATTTTTTCTAAATAATGTATGAAATACAATATACCCAAGATATTAATTAAATACAGTACGATGATGAATATGTTCCTGCAATTTTAATTATTTATCTTGATCGACCCTTTGCAGCACAATTCGGTTTACATTTATATAGCAACTTTTATGTCGGGAGGATGTCGCAAAGTTGGTTGGGTGCTTGAGCTGGGAGCCAAGGTGGGTGGGGAGGGCGGAAAAAGGATGACCAAAAGTATAGTCAAAGAGCATTTCTCAGTCACAATGCCTTTGGTAAAACTTTCTAGAGCATGGAAGATGTGGAGGAACAAGTATTCTTCACGAGTCATCAATTCAGGATGTATTGATCAAGAGGCTACAAGTTGCAAACCTTTTTTAAAAAAATCCGAACCATGCAATAACAGTAGTCATGAACTTTTCCCTTGAAATGTTTTTTTTTAAAGAAAATATATTTTCTCTCCCTTTGGTATATTTTTATAGGTTAGATTGACCTGAATATTACCAGGTCCATCTGCAACCATCAATCTAGCCGCTCCCTTTGCTCAGCAAATGCTGACTCAATGTCAATGTCCCCCATCCTATCCACCCCACCGCTGGCGGTTCAGCTTTCAGTCATTCTGCCCCTGCTGTCTGGAACTCCCTGCATTCAATGCCAGTCTCAAGACTTAGCTCTTCGACTATGCTTTTGGTCATCCTTCCTTTCCCCCCTCCCCACTCACCTTGGCTCCTGCCTCCAGCCAACTTTGAGACATCCTCCCGACATAAAAGGCACTATATAAATGTAAATTGTATTGTACTGCAAGTCATCATTTTTCTACCAAAATAGATTTTCACTAAACAACAACAGCAAAATTACATTTATAGAGTGCCTTTCACGTCGGGAGGACATCCCAAGTCGCTGGACAATCAGGGATCAGATTTCTTGATTTATTGATCGTAAAAAAAAAATGCTGAACGCTGCACATAACCCATTCATCAACGATAAAACAAATAAAACAATAATGAGTCCTTTTATTTGATATAGCACCTTTCACTATATCTCTATATATTTTTCACTCTATTGAACATCTCAAAGCACTTCAAGATTCACTAGTGACTGTGTTTTGTAGACTATCAAAAAGAAACAAGTCTCTGGGATCATAAAAGTAGCTATGTGCAAATTGGAATATGTACCAGAGTTGATTAATTTTATCTGACTGCAAAGCAAAGACCAATAGCAGTTTGTGTCCAGACTGTTTAATCGATGTGGCAGCTCAATACTGATTGATGTGCAAGTTGGGGGAATGAGAAAGGTTAAGAATTTGCTTGTATGTGGCTGGAAACGAGTGGAAACCTATTTGGAGTTTGTTCATCTGGTTTTGTTGCAAACTGAAGCCTGAAATATTCTTGTTAAGTGCAGAATTGTTTTCTTAATATATATTTGTTATCAAATCAAAATGTTCCACTGGTTTTGCGAGGACTGGGAGGGAGAGAGAGAAAAAAAAAAAGAGGATGCCACTGCGATTAAAAATCTAATGTAAACTTCTCATTTGCTAAATCCTTCTCGACAAGAAAGCTCTGGCCTGTAACTAAAAAACTGATATTGAAGGAGATTGTGGAAGTGAGAACCCAAGTTTTAGTTTGATTGTGATGATGCAAATAGCTTTTTGCTGCTGTTGCTGCGGTACAGAACATATATTGGTCCTTCATTCTAAAACACTAATCCCTGCTGATCACCAACAAGAATTTGAACATTTGGTGTGCACCAGGTTGTTAGTTTGGCCAATTTTAGCACACATTATCATCTAAATATGCATGGATATATCGATGATCACAATCTATTTAGATTGTAGCGAGAATAATCTAATTCTACTTTAACAGATGGCTTTATTTTTGCTGCAGTCATAATCATAATGAAGCGGTAACACTAAGTACTAGCTCTAAACAGTTCTCAACATTCGCCAGCATCCAATGCTCTGTTAAATGGACTGCTGAAACAGCCGGGTCATCAAAATATTTTTTATGAAGGGCATTTCAGGATTTGTTTATGAACACAAGCAGATGGTTGACACATGCATCTTACAGGTACAATAAAGCGAGTCAGGTGCTCAAAATGCCACTAGTGAATTGATATGGATTGAACAGGAAGCAAAAATGGTACAGAGAGCTCAAGTAAACACAAGATAAAATTGAACAAACTACTTACATAGCAAATAGAATTTGCTACTCAAACATCAGGATAGCAAAATGAGTTTGACCGTCAAGAACAGCACAACACATCAAATTGTTCCTCCTCATAAATCATTTATGGAAGTGTAGGGGGGAAAATTACACTAAACACTAGGAGAAATGTGCATGGCGGGGTGGGGGGGGGGGGGGGAGTGTGTGTGTGTGTGTATGTGTGGAGAGAGATGGTATAAGGTGCAGGAGAATATGCTGCTTGACAACAAAAATCACACATTCTACTGGATAAAATGGTAGCTGCCTGCAGATTAATAGCTAAGAGGGTTTTTGCCCCAAGCTGGTAAATTGCTTTGGTAAATTAAATAATAAAATTGTGTTCACACAAAAAAAACTTAATTTGAAACAGAAGACGCTCGCTCTACACACGCATCACCCTTTTTTTCATTGCACTACTGACGAGATATACTGAATGTCTACAAATATGAGGATCCGTCAACATTGTATGAACCATATAGGAGATATATTACCATGTCAAAGCATTGCAGTGGTATCAGCTAAATTGACTTCACTCAAGTATACAATTTGCAGTACACATCATTACGGGTCCAATTGTTGCTCATGTGATAAAGCTAATGTATCTGGGCTTTCAGCCTTATTAAATAACGCGTTAAGACTTGACACACACAAAGAAATACAAAGGGAAAGATTTACAAAGGGATAAAAACAGACAACAAACAGTTACTTTGCAAAAAGATGTTAGCAGGAAACTATGTACAACTTAATGCCTAAGCCAGACAAACTCAGGCAGCAAATGAAAGAAACCCTGGAAAAGCAGTGCCAGAATGTCATTAATGCATCATTTTTACGCTCAATACCCATTACTATAATACAAGTTTACATCATTGAGTGCATTAAATCAAATTAAGGCTTTCAAAATCATTAGCAATGCAGATAAAATAAATACACATTATCCAATGCATTCTTTATTGTGCAAGTACGCAAGTAGTCAAAATGCAATAGGAGCAATGTTAATTTAAGAATATATTACAGCAATCATAATTATAACTGTTGGTCATCAGCTTTGCAGTTAATGGATCCATATTAGTCATTTGAGAACTTTCTGTCTATATATAAAAAAAACGAACGGTGAGGCCATCATTTCAACACCAAAACATCTATGGCTCATTTTGAAAGCAAATGTCAGTACATTTGTTTCAATGTTCAAAGCAAGACATTAAAATTGGCAGGTTATTCTAGTCTACGTTTGAAGAAACCAGCAATAAATACACAAGAGTTGAACCTGATTGGGAAATACAGAGATCCAGTGTGGGATATTCACGTATAAGGTGGTAAATAAATGATATATTATTAACATCAATGCGCTAAATGACAAATTCTATTTGCCATCTTCTCAAATTCATGCTGGAAAATTAAGCCTTACAACTTAATTATATTCCTATTCAATTTAAACACCCATTTTGGTAGGCTGGAAATAAGCGGTTTCTCATAGACTGGATGGTGCATTTGCCACTGATATATTAATCATTTTAAAGTTTACTGTGACAATTTGGTAAGTTCTGTAAATACAAATACTCTGCAACAAACTGGAGTAGAGTACATCAGAAACCATGCAATCGGCAACGTAATCAAACTGGAATGAGACACACTTCTCAACAACAACACAATCAGTGGGGTTTCACTGAATTTCTCTCTGGATGTGATTTTGTTTCATACAGTATCATTCAAACAGCGAGGCTCGTTTTTTGGTACATTGCTTCTTCTATAGTTTACAGACAAAATTGTTTGGAATAAAAAAAAGATGCACAAAAAACAATCGTTTCCAATTGATAGATTCACTCATGGACATCTATGACTATGACTGTGGCTTGAAAGCGCTATAGCATATTTCTGAAAAACACCTCACACAGTAACAAACAGTAGAACTCACTGTTTTAGGGCAATAGTGGATAATACAGTTGACACAAATTGCTTACGGAGCTAGATTAATTTCACAACAATTGCATTATTAAATGCAAATGCCAATCCTTTGAAAATAATTATTTTAAATCAAACTTTCAGGGATTCTCCTTTCAGGACTTGTTGATCAACAATTAGTATTGAGTAGAGCAGAACTTAAGATACCATTCCTTATATTGGGCCCAGTAGGATAGGATAAAATCCCTCTGTTTTCTGCCAGATTTTAAACCAGTCAGATACGGAAAGGTTTCTCTCCTACCCCAACAATATGCATTATAACGACACCTCGGTAAAACACATGGATAACACTTTAGCTTTTCATTATACCTATCCTTGTACCTTTAACCCAATTAGAGCCAAAATACTGTGAACAGAACTTTGACTTAAATCCCACTGGGAATTAAAACAATGTGACCCAAGCTCATTTCACAGAGAACCCTAAAAGTGTCAAAGAGGTTAATTACACTCATTATTGATCTCTGGCTTTGAACTCAAGCTTCAAAGCTAAAGGGACATAGCTCCAGCCACTACATTTGCATTTTTCACACGGCCAGAGAAAGCAGAGTCTTTGGGATTCATATAATTGTCTGCAAATCAAGGTAGCCCAGAATTATTTTTCTTCTTAAATAACAACAGCCTGCAGCAAGGGGGGGTGGGGGGAAGGGGTTAGAGATTGCATAGCATTGCGGTGCAAGTAAATCCATAGTGCGATTTCCATATTTTTACGTACTCAAAATTTGAACATGAATTTTTCACTACTGTGGATGTTTGCACTTTTCCAACAGGTGGCCACAAACACAGTGGCACAGTTGAAACAGAATGCTGCCGGACATTGCACAACAGCCAACCACTGCATTGCAGTAAAATAAAATAAAAATGGGCCAAGTTTATTTTGAATTACAAAAAATCCAGCATTTAAACAGTGAACAGCGCACAGTTTAAACGAAAGTCATTTTCCCGCATGATCGTTTGTCACTCAAACACATCAAAAATCAATCCTTTGCTCATTGTGCAGAACGCAGTCAGTGATTAAATCCTAACTTATCTGTTTTCAGTGATAATTAATTCTCTCTCCTAGCTAGAGTTTTATGCAATCCTTCCCCATCTCTCGAGATCAGCGTCCATGACCGATTTGGGAGATTAATGGCTCCTTGTGAAAAGATTTTAAGGTCTTTGCTACCTCATAAAGTCAACATTTGCAGCTATAGTACAAACAAATAGCCAGTAGAGCCCACAAAAGTTTAAAACCAATTCAGTCTTTCCTGCTCCTTAGCACTGTCAAGAATTTAAATATCGAAAAACACAATTCATTATTCGCCACAGTGTGAAAGCACGTTAGTATTATTGGAAAAATCCACTTGCAATGTTTCTAGTCTGCACAAATCCACACGCCAAGTCAAATGTCACCACAGATTGTTCACCAAATCAAAAGTTGAAGTTAAAACAAACCAAAAAAAAATTAACAACTTATGCATTACATGGAAAAAATCCTTTTGTGGCAGAAGATGAGACAACACACTCTCATATTCCACCGATTCAATGTATTGTTATGAAGGTGAAGTCATGGACAAGTGAAGGTGAAAAGGGGAAAGCACGTCAATATCGACATTTTCACAATTTGAAGCCTGGCAAAAAAGATGAATTGTATTTCTTCCTCCTAGTCCTCTCTCCCTCTTTCCTTCCTCCTCCCCACCATGTAAATTGCCCACCACAAGTCTCATGACCTAATAGTTAAGTGCACCTGTACTGTAGGTTCATACAGACATACCGTTCAGACATGCAGCCCAAAACAGAAACCAATGTTAGGTTACTGGTTTCAATACGGGGTGGTGGGGGGAGATGAAGAGCCAATTATTATACATATCCTATTATATAAAAAGGATTTCTGTTGTTACCCCAATTTCTCATTTGGCAAAGACAGTGCTGAGGTCCTCCAAGTTCAAGTCTGTTAATTCCTTCAGGGATGTGAATGGATATCAAGTTAGAACAGGAATGATTTCTTTATATACTCTTGTCGTTGAATCACCCTCTGACATTAACTGTCTTGGACCCCATATGAAAGATATCCACTTCTAGACTGATTACAGCACAATTGCATTATCAAATGCAAATGTCAAGCCTTTGAAAATAATTATTTTAAATCATTGGTTGCATAGTGGAGGGTGTTTTAGCACCTGTGGAATTGTACCTAATCATGAGTCAAAACCTTCAGAATAAGGAGGAAAGGTACCATAACCCAAATTCTGCACTAATAATTTCCAATACCAAAGATGAACCAAAGGACTTGGTCTTTCGACTTCCAATTCCACCTGGATTTGTGCATTCTGAAGGACAGAAGCCAGTCTTACGGGTGAAGGATTAAAAACTTTGAGACTCAGTTTTGCATCATACAACTTTAAAAATTTAGCTTTAAAAATTCTCCCAGCTTGCCACACAGGCTTGAATCACATTTTATGCATGTGTGTGGTTTCCCTGTTCATTCATCTACTTTTAAAAGCACAATTTTGAAGCTGTGCTGTTCACCAGATCATACATACCATTTATCCACAAAGAAACTCATTAGTATCACAGCACTTCCAGATTCAGCATCCAATCCTATTATTATACCTTGGTATAAATGTGGGAAATTCAGGAGCTTTCAAGTGTTAATGTTTAGATTATGTTAAATTCAACGAAATTCAAAGAAAGCAGCTTCTAGTTAACAGATTATTTTAAAATCACTTCAGAACATCAACTCAGTTTTTACAATGTCTGCTAAAATCAGCTAAAATCAACTGCATAATTAAATAAGGGGAATAATCTTAGTAAAAGCATGTAAGAGCCTTTAAACATGAAACTGATCTTTCCACTGATCAGTTACATTGCCCACAAAATGTAGTCAATTCACCTTACAGTACATTCTGTGAAGTGCTTTGCGACATCTCAACACTATGATAAGACACTATATCAAATACAAGGATTATTATTCTCATTGTGTGCATTTCATAATATTTCATAATCTTTAACAGCAGTAGTAAGACTGTTTTAATGTAAAAGTGAATTAGTGCAAACACTCTCCCAGTAACTTTCATGATTATTATTATTATTAAATTGGTATTACTGTTAAAAACGTGCTTAGCTATAGAGTACTGACAATGCCAAGAAAATATTTGCAGTTATTTTGTCTACAGTATTCGATATAAGTGTCCAGCGACTGTGTAATTACTCTTTGACAAAATGGTTTCTCAAATCCATTCTTTCTCCTTGACTGTACACATTTGTGTAACAAAATATACAGGTTCTAATTAAAATTGTCTCACAGATTCACTATGGAAATTCTTTGATGCCTGAAATCTAAATAAATGTTCTTTTTGACATGTAAGAAATGCGAGAAGGATACAAGAAACAAATGACAGTTCAAACCCTCTTTCCCTCTGGCTTGTTTAGAATTCATCATTTTCATGAGCAAGTTGCTGCTTTGCTTTGGTGAGTTGTGGAATTCACAAAGAATACTAAAAAAGATATTCATTTTCAAATCAATTGACTGCCCTTGCTCTAAAAATAATCACCCAGAGAAACAACAAGTACATTGTAAATGACTCCTGGCAGACATCATTTTCTTTCTCCAGCTTACTAATTGTTTTTAAATGATGTTTTGTTTTCTTTAAACTGCCCTTAATCTTCAATTTCATCATTTTTTGTATTCTAATTTCTTTTTCAATTCTATTTATCGTTCACCATTTAATTTTAATTTCTTCTTTTCCAATTCATCTTAAAAGAGTCTTAATGGGACTTTGAAAATAAAACAGCAGCTTTCCAGTCTAAAAGAGATTATTATTGGGACCAGACTTGCAATCATTATTCACTGCGCTAACATTTTAAACAGCCTGACAATATCTTACCCAAGTGGCCACTTCTCATAAGGCAGCCCACAGTGAGCAACTAACAGACTATTACACTATGAATTGCATCATAGCCGAGCCTAGTGTTATCCTCACCTGATATTCACACAAGTACTTTTCAATAGGGTTTTGCCAACTATCGGGAATAGGAACACTGCCCGATTTCCTTCCTGCACAGCTTTGTGGACACACAGAGTTGGTTTCACTCTTGCCCATCTAAAAGCAGCAGGAAATTTCCTGACCATACTATGATGCATCTGTTCATAAGCTAATATATTCTCCGCTAGTATGTGAAGTCCTGTAGCTATGTGGTTAGAACACTTGCTTCGCAAGCGAGAGGACCTGGATTTGATTCCCGGCAGGACAAAACATTGGGAAAGTGTTTACTTCACACGCCTCCGTTTACCCAGCAGTAAGTAGGAACCTGGTTGTTAGTCGATTGGCAGATCGTTTTTCTGGGGATAAAAATCCCTTTAAAAAAAATTATAATATATATTTTGGTCACTCAATCCACGACTGGTTGTGGGACACTGTTGTGTGCAATTGGCTGCTGTGTTTCGGCCTCAAAATATACAGTCAATTCACTTTACAGTACATTCTGGAAAGAGCTTTGAGACATCTCAAAGGCGTGATGAGGCACTATATCAAATGCAAGGATTATTATTATTATTCCCATTATCATTTTCACAATAGAAAACAATCTTAATAATAATCTTCATAGAGGGGTACCCATTTGCTCTATGCAACTTGATTTAAAGTTAATAGTTTCAATTATTAATGGTGGTTTGAATCATTATATGTTAAATATAAGCCAGTTCTTAATTACATCTTCAAAGTGAGCATTGAAATACACCATTAGTATTTTACCCAGTGAGATGTAACAAAACTATTTTGCCACTTGCTATGATATGAGAGCCAAACCTACGACCTTTTCCATTTGTTTTGAAATTTAAATATTATCAGTCCACAGTTATGGTAGCATTCCAATCAGTCCTAATAGTTTTGCTCTGTCTCAGATTCTTCTGCTCAAACAACTAGAAATAAGGGTAGTCTGATCTTCCCTCACTGCAATCTTAAAATGTACCAAAATAATTTCACAGAAAAACACAGAAATGTTGGGAGCTTACAAAGTAAAATAACTTCAAACATTACAACACTAGTGATTCCTTTGAATGTTGATCACATTTAAATAAAAAAAATTCTATAACCCCCAACAATATGAAGAACATTAATAAAATGTGGGGAAAGAATAAGGTTTAATACCACAATCTCTCTTTAGGTCACAGATAAACATTTAAAACCCGGTTCACAATGGTCAGACTTACTGGATGATAAATATTGAAAAATCCCTTGCAGGTTGGTAGTCGGTAGTTTTCATCAATCCTCTCGAGCCCACGCACTGTGAGAAACATACCAATAGGGGATCCCAGGGCAAAGAAGTTATCTGGTTCAAAGTTCAGTGCTGGATAAGCCACAGAAACCTGGGAAGAAGTGGAGTGTATTAAATGATAACCAACCCTGAATTCACACATAAAAGCAAATCTGGATCAGACGGACTAAATACTGCTGCGCTTATATTCTTGGTTTAAAGAAAATGTAAGGTGCAAGAACATGTACAGCAGTTTCATACTTGATATATTACTGCAGTAATCCAAAAGTTATATTTTACTAGCCATGATAGAGCTGCTTCCAGCCTTTCGTTTTTTATATTAAAAAAAATCATCTATGGTTGAGAACTTTCACCTGGATCAAGACTTCGACTTTCTTTCTTGACATTCAGTGCATCCAAATTTTGGATACTTCTTAAATTCACTCTCAATGTTGAGGCGAATTTTCTGTATGTTCTTGCACAGATTCAAATGTGTTATCAGTGCATCAAAATTCCACTATTCCCCAAATAGATTTAGTTCCCAAATAAATACAGATTTACGAAACGCAGCTGACTGTTTTAATTAAACTTTTTCATTGCCAAAACTGCACTATTTATTCTGTGCACTGCTTTTACTACAATAGCAGGATTTAGTGCCTGTGAGGGGTGCTCAAGGAATCAACGAGTTTTAGTAAAATCAGCTTCAGATCGTTTTAAAGTCTCCAGCTGCACATTACCAGTCGAGAATGTTAAATGTTTTTGACATTGAGTTTAATTAGACATTAGTGTGAATTAGTTGATCTGGATTAGGTGATGGTGTATTTTAGAATACTTAAGAAGAAAGAATGCACAACATTTAGGATATTTAATTAGAAATTAAAGGGAAGTTAAGTTAGATGCTCTCTTTATTGGAGCGGAGTTTTAATGGAACGTAGGATCGAAAAGTGATCTTTACCTGGCCCGCACCGATTTCAAAATGGTCATAGTGAACTTTAACAGATGAAATGTTGGTGCCACCGTAGGATAACATTCTTTTCAGCTGCGCTCCATGCTTGTCAGCTTCCAATGAGGCCAGGCACGCAGCCTCACCCATGGCTTTTTGGACTGCTTCCTCCTTGGCTTTCTTCAGAGCTTCCATTGTTGCCTTTCTCTCTGCTGCAGCTTTTCTCCTCATCTGTTGTAAAATTAACAAAAGATCACTGGTCACATCTCGAATTCCACAGCAGCAACCCTAGAATGAGGTTTCCTTTCCCTTAAAAATATTCCTCCTGAAGGCACAGACTCTTACTGACGGACAATTTCATGGGCATTGATAGCAATCATCTAACCTGAGTACAAACAACTTGCGGCCATAATGCGTAATGCGGTCTGCAAGTTGTCCATCCTTGATCGAACCCATGTGCAAGCTTAAAACAGTGACTGACATCCACAAACAGGGGAGCAAGAGTGGGAAGAACCTTGGCTGATTGTCCCTACCTAATACAGACATGGCACAATAGTTTCAGCAACCGAACTGTTGTCGTGACTGAGACTGGCCACACATCAGGAGCAATCTTTTGGTTATATCTGACATTGTGCTTACTTATTGAGCCAATGAAGGAGTCCTATCTTCTCTCCAATCATTCAATTTCAAGCAATGTGAGAAATTCTTATTGAATGAACTGGAAAAGAAATCCTGAGGTTCACCCACCAGCCACTACTTCAAAAAAATGTTAAAATCTCACGCAAGATTTCAGGAAACAAGTGCATGTTGATAGAATCTTTCTGCACATCATATTAAAATACCAAAAGGCTTGTGCAACAGAGATGAGGACACAAAAGAAAAAAAAATCTAAAAAAAACTGTAAAAATTTTACTTTTCCCGCACCGAATACAAACTGCTGCAAAATATATTCCCCATAAATTTCCAAAACTACAAAACTTATCAACCTTCAAGTCAACATGTTAAAACTGCATTTCATTGAAATGAAAAAAAGGTGCAAAATGTGTATTGCGAATCAAAAAAAATCACCCCCCCTATCACAAGAATAATCACTGGCAGCAGTAGTTATGCAAACGGCTAATGCAAATCTACAGAAAGGATTACGAATATTTCCACATCAATTCTGTGTGGCTGCAGATTACAGTGCCACTGAAATCAATCAGAGAAATTGCAGCATAGGGGGAGGTCATTCAGCCCATCAAACCTACGCTAGATTTAGCTCCGCTAATGGAGCCGACTCCTCCAATCTCAATTCTTTGCTCCAAGTTTTATATTGTTCCTTTTTGAAGGTTTATGCATGAAAATGAACATGATGAAAACATTGCTACCTCATTTACCTAGAGCTCACATTTCCTCTGATACAGATGGATGATTCCCTTTCCCAGCTTCCAGGCACTATAATTAATTACAACTGCTGTCCTGACAACAATCAACAACTAAACACAGGAACTGAATTTACAACTTTCTGGTGTGTATGACTGAGCGCTACTTCTGTCAGTGTATTTAATCATCGGGTGAGATTCAATGCATCATTTACAATAAACATTTGGGCAGTCTCTACATTCAATTTACTGCTATTCTGTTCAGGTTTGTTTCTAATGTGGCATTTGTATCAACTTCAAATAAAGTGGATGCACATAACATTTAAACACAAAGGAGGCAGATATTTTGGAACTCATCGAACTCAAAACTCAGCCAATTTTGTATTGAAAATATCCTATTGCTGGGTTTCCATAATAGATTGTACTGCTATACAGGGCGCCTCATATGTTCATGTTAGTTAAAGCAATCACAATCAACTGCACTGTAATATATGATAATAAACAAACAAAGCCTTGATTTCCCCCCTCCACTTTGCTTTCCTGACAAGTCATTTCAAAAATACATTAACATGTTATTGCCTTCGAATTGTTAAACGATTGACTTGGTTTTCTTCCAAAAGCGACCGCAGTGATAGGTTCACCTTTAGAAATAACAAATCTACTGCAATGTGACAGTAATGATACATAAATTATACTACTAACCTAAGCTTCTAGGAAACGTGCCAAACAAATTGCACGCATCATAAAACTAAAGCTGATGAGCCTTTTCCTGGTGTTACGTTCACTGGATTTGGAAACTTAATTTAATTAGAAAATTATGAAACTTAAGATACCCTTAGTAAATGCCTACGGTACACATTTTTGTTATTTTACCAGAAAACCAGTAAGAGAATGGATGGGGGTGGGGGGGGGAAACGAAAGAGGCTCTGCTATAAGTTTGAAAGGTCGAATTCCCTTCATGACCTCATGTCACCACCTCAGCCACTCAGCAGATACTGACCTGCTTCATGTCGTCTGACCATCCTACCCCATTCTGCCCCCACTCTCTACAACTACATCCTGAAGTCCCTCCTCCTCACTGCCTCCCTCTCCATTGTTAAAATCTATCTTAAGGACAAGATCCCCTCTCCCCCACCATCCTTCGCTTGGGTTTCCATTTGCCTCTGAAGCGCTTAGAGATGCCCTCCTCACGTGAAAGCGGTGACGTAAAAGTAAAATTATTATATTAAAGTTTAGCAACTTGTTCAGTGTTTTATTTGATTGCATATCTGTGTATTACTTTTATACAATGAACTCAGTCTTGGTTGCTGCTACCCTCCAGCATTGGGGAGGAGGTGCCATCCTTCGTATGAACAGTTAACCCAAGATTCTGCCTCCATGTTCAGGTTATAAATCCACACAATACTATCTGAAAAGAGAAGGGAGTATCTGCCAGTTTCTCGGTGAACAATCCCCCAGATAAAATCAAGTTATTCATCATAGCTGTTTGTGAGACACTGACCTGAACAAATTGACTGCCATGTTCGTCTACAAATACACCTTCATTATACTTTAAAAAAACACTTTGTGGAACACTTTGAGACATTTAATGTTATAACCCCTGTATCAGATACACGGTTAATTATTTGAAGGATAAGGATGTTTGTTAAGATTTTGGCTGTGGAACATCCCGTGCAAAAAAGCAAATACCAAAAACTAAATGGCTTGATTGAGAGGGGACGCTCAATTAATTTGAACTTCAATAATAAAAGTAATTATATATGTGCAAATTCACAAGGGAATCTATCTTTGTCCTGTTAGCTTCAATTTACAATTTCCTCACATTTCCAACACAGCAATTTGCAGATTGAAGCATTTCAGTATATTGCTGTGCAGTCAATTTTGAAAACCACACTCTTTAAGAATCAACAGTGTATCAAATTACTGTATAGTTAATGGAACACTTTTTAAAGGAAGCGAGAGAAAAGATAAGATCAACCTGAACACCGAATGAAAATCAATTAAAATCTAAAACTGGTATATCTCTTAAACTGAATTATTTAATGCAACATTAAGTGCGACTTAATCCTGGAATACCTTTTAAAAACCACACAAACAAGGTCTAGAATAACTTTAAACATGGATCTGTACAAACAAAGATCAATAAATATGCATTTTACACAAACAAAAGTACAGTACAGTAAAATATTGTGTGAAGAATTTTCCACATGAATACCTAGCATGAAACACCATCTTTTTGACTGAAGGTTTCATCTTCATGAACATCATTACTGTGTTACGAATATGTGAGAGGCACAGTATAAATCCTGGATGAAGTAGTAACAATCTTTGCAATCGATATAGTCCCTTATCATATTGAAGCGTCTCAGAGCGCTTCAGTTTTTCTGTAGTGTGTATTATGGCACACTGCTGGGTACAATTGGCTGCGCATTTTTTGCACAAAATATACAGTAAATTCGCTTTACAGCATATTCTGTGATGTGCTTTAAGACGTCTCAAAGACGTGATAAGGCGCTATATCAAATGCAAGGATTATTATTGTTGTTGCGATAGATTTTTGGGTCTTATTAAGGTCCTGTGGACCTTGCATTTATATAGCTCCACTCACGCGTCCCAGAGCGCTTGTGAATACAACAATCTTTTTGATTCTTATGACCTGAGAGTGCATTCAATCCAGCCATATTCATTTTGAATTTTCCATACTTAAAGCAGTAAAGGAGGATGACTGGTAGTTCAGTGCAAATTTATCCTGATGGCTCATACTACTAAGTACTGGATTAAGATTGCCAAAATTTCATATAGTGCTCTTAGACTGATAATGATGAAAATCTTCCTGCCTGCTCTAAGATTGATTTGAGCCGAGGTCCCAGAAGTGAATGGGCAAAATGCCAATCCAGTCCTAGTCCAATTTGTAGACAAATAGGGCGAGCCATGATCCAATAAGCAAACTGAACATTGACAAAAGAGTTAGATTTCAATTGGAATGCTGCTTGAAGATAGTTTGTGGGACATTGCTGTGCGCAAATTGGCATAGCCACCAATTGAGAGGGAACCTGGCAGAGGAATTTAAGATTAAGAAAGAATTTGGTAAAAATGGATATTGATGGGCAGTTTCCACTTGTGGGTGATTCAAATCCGAGGGGGATAATTAGAGAATAACTAGAATCTGATCTGTTAGGGAATTTAGAAGGAACTTCTGTACAGAGTGGTGAGAAAGTGGAACACATTGCCAGGAGCTGTGGTTGAAAGAAAAAGGAATCAGTGTGTTTAAGAGTAAACTTGCTACATATGTGAGAGAGAAGGGAATAGTGTGGTATAAGAAAATGAAGTAAGAGCGGTGGGAGACTAGTATGAAGTATAACCACTGGCATGGAATAGGAGGGCCAAATGGCCTGTTTCCATGCCATATCATTTTATGTAATTCTAGATAATTTTTTTAAAAAACTGCCAGAATTCAGAATTCTAAGCTTAAAAGGATATTTTGAAATGTGTTCAAAGACCAAATTGAATGATATTGCTGGAACTGCAGTTTAAAAATCACACTTTAAAATAGCAATTCTGTTCAGATTGAGTGATTTGATCACAGCAGGCAGCCATATGGCGCTGTCCATCATGAAACCCAAGAGGGGAATAAAGAACATTTAATGAAACAAAATGATCCCCAGAGGAATGCAAACACATTAGAATCCGAGATCCCTTATGCCAGTGGACTTCAAATGTTCAAATGGGAGGGGTGGTGAAGAGTTTTTCCTTTTAAGAAATGTGCACAAAGTTGGTTGAGAGATGTATCCAAACTATTAACACAACCGGAACATAATTTATACCTTGAAAGTGCCAGAGCATTATCCATTCACAAAGCTCCACTAACCAGTGTCAAACACAAACTAATTAATAATCAATAATAACCATTGCACTGATCTAGTCTTTCACTTGGGGAGGACATCTCAAAGGGTTTCACACATTGCAAAGTGTAGAGACTGTATTTTGGTTGTGAGTGCAGCTGTCAATCTGCACACAGCAATGTCCCACGAACAGGCAATAAAGCGAATTATCAATTTTATCTGGGGTTTGTTGACCAGGACACTGAAAGAAATGCCATTCTCTTTGCCAATAGTGCCATCCTCCTGAACGGAACATTGGTTTAACGTCTCATCTGAAGGACAGTACCTCCATCAATGCAGTGCTCCCCCAGCACTGTATTGCAGCGTCAGCCTAAACTGTAAATTCAAAGTCCCAGTGTGAGGCTTGAACCCGCAATAACTCACGATAGAGCAATAATAATAATAATTCTTGCATTTGACATAGCGCCTTATCACGTCTTCGAGAAGTCTCAAGGCGCTTCACAGAATATACTGTAACGTGAATTGACTGTATATTTTGCTACCAAATGAGCCAGGCTAATGCCCGGCAACAATTCTTTCAATGTTATTAAACCGCTAAGCAAACAATTAGCTCTAAATTTAGGGGATCCCAATTTTAAACAAAATTTTTAACCCTAATTTATACTACAGCAGATGCAATCATTTGATTCCTGAAACCAAATCGTGAGGTGGTTTGAAGAATGGGGCTCAAAATTGAACGGATGCTCATGAAAGCTATTTGTACTTCATTTTAAGCATCAAACTGATGCTAACCGCACAGTGTAAATATGCCATTTAAGTGGCGAACGATTTTGGATGCTGAACAATTATCCAACCTATTTCAATTTTACAATGCACCTTCCTAAAGGTTCATTTAGAAGCTCTGAATTTTGGATTGCTCCAGGGAGGATTTCCAAGAACACATGTTCTTTTAATATGGTTAGGAGGCACAGAACTATTATTACAATCGACAAACTAATCTATCTATCCAGATTGGACAATACAAGTCCAGGGGCACTAATCCGGAGATAATGGGATAAAACCAGGCATTCTCACAAAACCCTGATTTAATTGTGTTAAACTGTTCCAGGGCGCTACTCTCAATAACTCTTTGGCTATTGCCGTAACATTCGGATATAAACTCAATTTAAAAATAAAAAATTGTTGCTTGAGGTCTGCTCATCCCAAATTCTACTACTTACAAAATCAGAAGTAACACGTTTTACAAGGTACATTATTTCCTACCAATACAATCATCCAAGGAACAAATTTTTCCCCCCATTAACTAAAATGCCTCATGAGATTACAAATCAATAAGGCGTTAAAAACTCCCATATACAAATAGCTTTGGAAGGGAGTCAAGAAAGCGATTTGAAAAAAATCGACATACTTAAAAGAAAAGTTTACGGCAAGGTGTAGGGTTGGATAGCACCATAACACTGCAGTGACAGCACTCACCCACAATTCGTGGCAAGAAAAAAAGTGTTGGAATAACCTAGATGGCCTAGATCAATGAAAAGCATGTTCCAATCAAAAGAATAAAAAACTATCAATATAAATAAATAGCAAAAAATGCAATATAAAGGAATCCCCACTGCAGTTTGGTTCCGTTTTAAAGACCTAGTCACATCTGAGTTCACAAGAATTGCAGTTTACTTCTGTGACCGATAGATTCAGCCACAAACAGATGGGGTGCCCTTCAGGAATACTCCAATAATACCTGTGCGTTTGCCTTCTCCTTCACAAAATTGGCAATTTTCTTTCTTGGACCAAGAGGAATTCCCATTTCCTTCAAGTCATCAACGGTGCACATAAGCTAAACAGCAAAAGAAAGGCAGAGAGTGAGCATCAAATGACTTTTACAGTTGCTGACAAATTTGGAACCAATTCAGTTTCAAAGATTGTTGCTGTCATCTGTCAGTGGACATTTAAAACACTAAATAATAGGGAGGTAAACTACAAATGGCAGATTTTAATTTTAAAAAATTGGCAGCATTGAAATTAACACATTTTAAAAATGAATAGGACCATTTTCTCCAGGTTGTGGGCAGAAAGACCTTTGCACAGATTTGGAGTAATTTAGAGAGAGACAAAGAGAGAGAAAAACAAAAGGGAAAAATACAACATTCTTCACTGAATTATCCAGGACAAGACACTTTCTGCCGCTGATGGAGATCAGTCATATAATCCCATCAATTGTGTGGAGAAGGTCAAAACCTATTCGGAAGCTCAAAGTTTAGAAAGAAATGTTAGCTGCGTTTATATAGAAGTCAAAGCCAAAAGGCCAGCAATATTTGCCACCAATAAAAGAACCACCCTGATACCAATTCCAGAAGAGAGGCAATTATTTGAAGCCTGAATGCTCTATCCATCAAACAACACCCATTCTGGCAGGACACCTCTAAAATGACCAACACCAAAAGGATAGCAAAATAAAGTGGTCTTCAAGAAATTAATTTTAAACAGAATGGATAGAAGCAATAAGAAGGAACCCAGTTGTTAGTCGATTGGTGGATCGCTTTTCTGGGATCAATAAAAAAAAAAAAATTTGGTCACTCAATCAATCCACAACTGTTTGTGGGACACTGCTGTATGCAACTGGTGGTCGTGTTTCGCCCACAAAAATACAGTCAATCCACATTACAGTATATTGTGTGAAGTGTTTTGAGGCGTCTCAAAGAAGTGATAACAAGCTATATCAAATACAAGGATTATTATTATTATATATAAGACAAGGGAACCAGAAGATGTTATCAACAGCACAGAGCAAATCTTTTGACTCTTTCCTCTTCGAAGTACTCAGTGTGGAGTCAGTGTGGTGGTAATAATCTCCACTTGCTCCTCGCCGATGGCATTTTGTAGGAAGAACAATATCAGGTGAGTTTTCTAATTGCAGTGCCGACAGAACACATTCAGTTTCTCGATGAGCGTTTTTTTTTTAAACACAAATCTGCAAACCTTTGATTGTCCATTGCCTCGGGACTGGGCAATCAAACACAAAATATATATATAATAATCCTTGCATTTGATATAGCGTTATATACATTATATATCATATATAATTATATACAAATACAATGTGTTGTAAAGATTTCTGTTTTGTTATTATGAAATCTACAAGATTTGAAGACTTGTATTTCTACATGTATGCAGTCCACAACATACTGAAATCTAAAAAAAATCCAGCAAAGGCATACCAATTTTTGCTGCCTTCCATAGTATTGAAAAGGGAGGAAATAAAATGATGAAATATGAGAAGCAGAGCCTATGAAGCTCTGTGATCATGTACTGAGCAATGCAATCTCAAAAGCTTGAAAGGGATATGTGGGAAAGAACTTTAAGCAGCCACATCTCCCACAGGTTTAACAATAAGATTGACAAAATTCATCTCCAGATTTCAAACAATCAACTCACAGATCTCTGCGACTATCTTCCCGTTTAATCTTAGCCTACTCACAAATCATCTGGCATCTATATATTTAAATTCAGAGCGTGCAATTGAGTCGCATCTGAAAAGCACACGTTCTAGTAATCGGCAGTTTGATGTTATGCAGAAGAAGTTTTTACTCAAAATTAAAGCACATGGTGGGGGGCAAAAAAAGAGAGAAAAAAAATTCTAATTTCTATCCAAAGTTCAACTGCCTGTTGGCAATAAATTGGTAAAGACTGCAACTTATTTTGATTATTTTTTAAAAAAAACTTATCATACACCATCAAGTTGAAGGTTAATATTTTTTGAAAGCATCATTAAAAGAAAAACATTTTTTTAACTGAACTTGTTATTGCAAAGAAGTCCGGTAAACAAGCACAGACAGAAGGACTTCATTTTGTCCATACACCTAATATTATAAACAGAGAAAACAGAGAGAGAGGGAGGGGGAGAGGGAACTAAAAAAAACACATGAAAATAATAGTCTCATTACTCGAAAATGTTTAATAGAATTCAGCTGGTGGAAAATTTTTAAAAATGGCAATAAAACCCATGAAAAATAATCAGTAAAAGGGCAAAAAAAGGATTTAAAATTTTCAATAACCATTATTTGCAAATGTCCTTTAAATAGACATCGAAATTCTTCAATTGAATCTTATTTTGGAAGCTCGGCTTGTTTTACAATCTGCAGGGAGGCTGGCTAAATGCAGCGATGCTGTGATATACAGACCCAGATACAGGTATCTGTTCGTCTCTCACCAAACCTTTTTGTTGATGATAGTATGGGTGGGTGACTGAAGGTACGGTCGAATGAGGAGGGTCTTGAGACGGGTCTTGATGGAGGCAAGGGAGAAGATGGTGTACAGTGAACTATGATGTCCAGGCAGCTTTGACCTTTGTACCCTTAGTAGGTTTGGAGGTGCAGGTAAGACCAGAAAATGTGGTCCTACTCCTTTTACAGTATTGCTTATAAAATGGAATGGACGCACTTTGCGGGTGCGTGTGTGGATCTATGCATACATACACACAAGATGTCATGCATTTCATCTATGATTTTCAACTCAGTTTCCCATTATGAACATGCAGAAGATAAATACTGACTATCTTTTACAATAAATTATGGTTATAGTTGTACTGATAACTTTATAGCTATCCTGGGACAATGTACAAACCAGTTAACGCATCAAGAATGTAACTTGTATTTTTATAAACAATTAAATTGGTTAATTACTTCTTCTAGGTTTTACATTCCCTTATTAATAGGACAGACATTAGGCCTCTCCACGCTCAAAATAATTCAGTCACGTGGCACAGTGGCATATCTAATATGCTCCGGCAAATTAACCAATTGCTGAAATATCTCTGTAATAAGATGCCAATTTTGACAACAACAGAAACTTCCCCAGATAGAAAGTGAATAAAAACAGTTGTTGTTACAGATAGTGCATCAACATGAATGCTTCAAACCACTCGACATCTCTCAGAATTGCAAGCATTCTGTGGTGGAGTGAATCTAAGGATTGCTGCCAGTCACATTCTAAACCACATCTACCCCTTGCTAATACTGGCGTAGATGTGTTTTTGCGAAACACAAAATGGGTAGATAAAATTCCTTTTTATGATTTTTTGACATTTGTTTTTAAACAAAAAGATATTTTATTCCCAGTTTTATATCCCTACAAATCTTTTTGTTCAACTGCCATACCAATCGTCAGTATTAGCAAGGGGTAGATGTGGTTTAGAATCTATTCATTTTAAAGAATGAGATTTTCCAGATTCATTGGTATGTGCTACAGGATTAAAGTGAGATGGTGAAGGGGAGTGAAAAATAAATTGCAGTCGATCTAATCACGCAGGACTGAAAAACACAGCTCTTCAGAACATGAACATAATCACAATACTTTAGTCACTGAAAGTTAACATTGGAAAAAAACAAGAAAAAGAACCAATATGCATTAAATATTAAAGGGCATTAACAGAGTCCTCAATAGTTTGTCAGTGGCAAAAACCTCATGTTTGTCAATTTGTAAATGCAACCGCCTTAATCCAACAACTTGCACTTTATAGCACCATCAGCACAGGGTAGCGTCTCAGACCGCTTAACAGTGGTGGAGCCTTACTCATAAAATAGCAACAAGCAACAAGGAGTTGAAGCTGAATACCTTACCAAGGATTCCATGTCTATTTTTTCCTGTTCCAAAGTGCTGAGATACTCAGAAACCCCGAGTGACTCTAATGCTTCCTGCAGAGTCTCGATCTCCTCTTCTTCCTTGTCTTTTAATTCATCAGAATCTTCAAGATCTTGGACATTCGGATTCGCTACATGAGTTGCCTAATGGTGCAACATTTCAAGAATTAAGACATTAATAATACTTGCATTTAATATAGCGCTCCATCAAGTCTTCGAGATCCGTTGATTTCATCTCAAATTGGCCCAGCATAATTAAGCAGTTTCACAGGACCTCCCGAGCACACACGTAAAAAAAAAAACTTACGTTTTCTCGACAATTACAACAAGAAGTATAAGTCTTGACCCCTGGTGGCAATATGCTGCCAACCGTCAACAAAAGCTATTAATGTTTGCCATGAAACATATTTAATTAAATAAGCTCGTGGGAAGTAACAGTGATTTAAAACAAAATGTGTCTCTCAAAACTATATACAATACTATGCATTAAATCTAAACTGTTAGCTTGGAAAGTTTCTCCTTTTAAAAAAAATGTTCAGTGCATTTATACTTGTGTTCAGTAACTCATCATTAATGTTTCAACAACAACTTGCGTTTATATAGTGCCCTCCACACAGGATAGCATCTCAGAGCGCTTAACAGTGGCGGAGCCTGATTCGGGGGGGGTGGGGGTGGCTGGAAGCACGGTCCAAGAGGAAGCTTTTCAGGTGGGACTTGAAAAAGGGTAGAGAGGTGGCAAGGCGGAGGGATTGAGGGAGTGTTCCAGAGTTTCAATACTGTACCTGAGCCTCCTCTGGGATTACAGAGTCTTTCATAGTCCCATTAGATGTTGGCTGTCCGTGATCGCCCAGTGAAGAGGGTCCCTTCTGATTTGCCAACAGATCAAACAGGATCAGGGAACCTACGGACAAATCAAACACATTGTTTATTTCCATCCAGCTGTGTGCCAAATGATTTATATATAATATATATACACACACACATCACAGTATACATTTTTTTCCCTGACCAAGTGTTCAGTTGAGGGACTTGCTCTAGTAATACACTGAGAAGGGGTGGAGGAGGAAGAGACTTTTAGACCCATGCAAGAGATTTACAGCTCTTAAAGGTCAATGTAAGGTCTGCATAAACTGTAGATATATATTATTCTAACAATAATTTTTCTTACATTTGATATAACGCCTTATCACATCTTCAAGATAGCTCAAAGCACTTCACAGAATATACTGTAAAATGAATTGACTGTATATTTTGTGGGTGAAACGCAGCAGTCAATTGCGCATGGTGACTAATTATTTTTTTAAAAAGAGTGTGTGCGAGTGCAGTGCTTTCTTAAAGTAAATGGCATTCTATAGGGGGTGACACCACTGACAATCTCATGTTTGAAAAGAATGCGGTTTCTATATCACTATATTTGCAAAGAATATCACAAACTATAGGGAAGATAGGATTGTATTTCCAATTATAAAAACATAGAAAATCTAGAACTGCAAAGGGATACAGAATTTTCATTATCTATCCATTTACCTGATCAAAGTTTGTTGTTTTGGAAACTTGTTTCTTATTTCACTCACGTAAAAGATGAATAAAATAAAAAACCTTTAGAATCCCATTTCCTTACACCAAAAGAAATGAAACCAGCATCAAAAGAACAGGTAGAAAGATTGAACGAACATCGATTCCAGCAATTGTGATTTTATTTCACAGCAGATCATTCAAAGTCATATAAAGAAAAAATGGTGAACATTTCTGGTGTGACCTTTTATCAGAACAATGAAAACTCACAACTGAAATAATTTTCCTTTTCAGATGCTGAATAAAGTGCAGTGTATTTTTAGGATATCTGTTTTACTGCAGATTTTCATCTTTTTTTAAAAAAACTACTCAATGAATATTGATTATCTTCTACCAGCAGCCCAGTAAATTGCCTGATAATTGTTATTCTAAATAATAATTTGTTCTTTTGCTTTGAAAACTTTAACCAAATTATCACATGAATCCCCCACCCCCAGCCCCAAAAAACGGATGTAGAAGATTTGGAAGTGATTTATAGAAACACATAAGGAGCGTTATTATCTGCTAATCACTGAGAATGGAGCTGCCTGATGAGGTGATAAATCAAACCGTGAAGTCAATACTCTTCAAGGTTATACCTAATTTGAGTGTAGCTCAAAAGCAAGTCAAAGACTATTCTATCAAAAATAGGGGAATGTACAACAAAGAAATCCTCGATTGCTTAGCAATGTAGAATACATCTTCAAATCATTAGGTTTCTCTTGATACACAGCATTGATTTAGAGCCACACAAACCGATATTCCTACGCTTTGAGGGATTTCATAAAACCTTTGATCTGCAGGAAGCTATAGTGGTGTCAATCTTCTGAGGGTGGGGATGAGTGGGGGGGAAAGCCACATTTTAATCAATCGTTATGGTAAGAACCAAATGCAGGAATTGTGGGCAACATTAAACAGCAGTTATAAAACTCCCCAAAAAAGCTGAAAGAGAAGGTATAGATTTCTTGCATGTTGATACACCAATCAACATTCCACTGTGGATTCCTGCTTTTATTACTTGAATCATGTTAATAAGGAATCTCATTGACCTGCAGTAAGACATTTTAAGTGGGGATTCAAGCCCTTAACTATCCATTATCTTTAGAGTACGCATGGCTGAAGCATGACATCCCAAATGTTAATATCACCTTAACATCCCTTTCTCTCAAGCATCTTTCTTCATTATTTTCTTCAGATGAGCAGCTCATAAGTTTTTTTTTAAAAAAAGCTTCTGAAATGGACGAAACAATTAATGCGTCGTTACATGGCATGAGAGCGCCAATCATTTATCCAGATCTTGCACTATGTAGTTGTGCCAGTCCCTAACATTCATGGGGGGGGGGGGGCATTCCAATAATGCAAATGTAATCTTCATACAGCATGTACAACAGCTTCACCGCACACACTTAACAGGCATTTATACCTGTAGTGTACCAAATGGTAGTGCGTACATCACTACATTCCAGCGTGCATTTAGTGCTGGTAGTACACATTCAGCATGCAGAGGTGGGAGCGGAACCTAACACAGAATGCGATACTAAACTCCCCGGATGGCATGAGGGCACCTCGCCAACTTTGGTTAAGTGGTGCGTTACCTCTGCAGTAAAACGGTAAATTAAACAAGAAAATCACAAGTAAAGAGTGGGAAGGGCAGACAGGAGAGGAGATCGACTCCATGTGAAAGTTCAACATTTATGGGTTTGGGTAGGGAGCAAACAAAAGTAAAATATCGATTGTGCAGATTTGTGAAAAGTATCTGATGAGACAAACCACTTATAATTTGTTGAGATCCGGAACGATTTAACTTATTACAAGTTATAAATTACTGTTCAAAGACCCGAGGCAAAGAAAGAAATATTCATAATGCACAAAATTTCTGCGCACCTAATCTTTCTGACATAAAGTGTAATTTGTGCACTCGAGGTCACTCTCAGCCAACCACATTCAGGCTTCTAGTCCCAGACTGCCCCAAATTATAATTTTTTTTACAGTAAATTAAACGTCTGTAAATTCACGATGTCCATGAATATAGCAAAGTAAATCTGACATTTTAGTTTCCAGCCTGTCCCACATAGAAGTTAGCCAAGAGTCTGATGAGAGAAAGTTCAATCTGAAGTTTGACGACAGTCTGGAAAAGGGTCTTGAATTATTGAGGCAAAAGTTAATTCAAGCTCAGAATATTTAAACAGGTGACTACACTGACAGCATGATCATTTAGAAAAGGAACCCAGGGAATGTAAGGATATTTCACTTAAGACTTAAGAAAAGAGCGTATAGTTTAGTGAAATCACAGAAATTAGTTTAAACTGGGGGGGATTTTCATCTAGTGATGGAGACATAGAGAATTCAGCATGTCCTCATTTGTAAGAAGTACATTGTTTGTTGGGAACACAACAGATGTAATTTGGTGGTTGTGGTGGTGGGAGGGAGGAAATCAATATTAATCGCAACAATTTCAGACAAGACAATAACTCAAGTCACTGGTCTTCTTTCATTCTTTTTTTGAATGCATTTCCCACAAATTCTGGTTGTGTCATTGATCAGTCTCATTTATTCTGTTTATCACCGATAGGTGAATGTTAAGTACTGCATTAAAGTTTATATACCGTCTGAGTATTGGGGATAAGAGGCTTAATCTATCCTTGTGCCAATGTATCCAGAAAACAGCATTGCTGGGGCAATACTAAAATCAGCTGGATCCTCAATGGTTTACCAATTTCTCTAAAATAAAACATATTTAATGAATCATTGCTCCTTTATCTATAACAAATTTTAAATTCAACATGCATGTGTATACACTGAACAGCATAGCAAGGCCACTTGCGTTACCTAGACTGTGTCCTGCCACTGAGACGCCCCCTTTGAAATCAGGATTTCGACTTAAGAAGAGAGCATATAGCCGATTGATTTCTGCAATCACTTTATCCACTATGGTCTGACAGTACGTAGGGCTGTTGTAGAAGAATATATCCAACAAAGTCTCATTGGTAAAATGGCGCAAGCGGCCTATACTTGGTAATGTGATTTTCTTGATACGCCTGGAATAATAGGGGAGAAAACACAATGCAAGTCAAACAAAGCTCTGAACAATTTGACAGATATAAACCTAAAATTTAAATTGGAGCCAGTTTTGATAAAGCTAATGCATAAATAAATATTATTATATAATGCATAAAGTCACTTAAGCTGCACTGATTCAACCTGTACTCAATTATCTCAAAGGACAGTAGTTTGGGCAAGTCAGCATTCTTTTCATTCCTGGATGCTGTAAACATCACCATTGGGTACACAGTTTATATTGAACAAATATTACATTTTAAAGCCACAAAATGCACAGAACCAGCATTAACAGCATCATATTTTTAGTTCAGAATAGGAATTTGGTGAATTTACAAAGGGATACTTGTGAAGGATTGGGGCAAACAATGCTTTTGCTGCCATCTCATGTCAAACAATCATTGCTGATCTCAATGCAAAGAACAATTCAGAAGATGTCCTGAGAATTGTTTTATATTGCAAAGCACATATTGAAGTGCCTTTGGATCTGACAACCCCAAAGCTGTAAGCAAATAATTCCTGCACAGAGAAACCAGAATGTAGCATTCCATTAGTATATTAAGAATGCTTAGATAAATACAATAAAAGTCAGAATACATTTAACAAAATTCCTATATTGTAGTCCACTTCTGGAAATGTCAATAAATACAACACATTTATTTTGATAACAAGTGGAGATTTACCTATCTACTCCAGTGGCATCTCCATGAAGAGCACTGTGCCAATGAACAGGAAGAAATTCAACTCGAGTGAGTTTTTGCTGATCCACTGCTTTCTTAAAATGTGTGCGCAGTAGTTTCAGAGAAACGGTTCTGAACTCATCGACTGGAAAAACAATGCACAATATTCAGAGTCTGCTCAGAGTCCAATGATTTTCTCAAATAGATCCAATACAAAAACAATTACACAGAATTTATGACTTTGCTGCATGCAAATAATCTTAAGCCAGCACAATCAAGTCTTCCGTGTCACCAAGGAAGTGGCGGAAGTGGAATACTATGGAATTTTACACAAAATTACAGACTTGGGAATAATGCAATGGAGGTACCTTTTCCATTTGCACTGAATAGCAGACAAAACTTAACTGTATTGTGACATTTGCATAACTAAGTTTAAATCTTTAAAATATCAATTTCTTCAATTAGATAAAATACAGGATTTAACACTTAACTATTGTGCAACAGGAAGTCAATCAAAGATTATTCTAATGGGTAGCAGTCATCTGCTCAGTATAAACTGTAAATGGCTGCAAATACAACTATGCTGTATCATTCTAGCTCCTGAGGCAAACTGAAAGAAACTAACAGAGATAAAAGAGGGTACACAACAGAAATATTTTTAACACTATACACACATTCACTCGTACAATTTATAATAAATGGACGCAATTTTTCCATGGTGTCTGATCCAACAATCCTCCAAATAAATCATCCATCTCATTGCTGTTAGCTCAGTGCATTTGACAGCAACCTTGTGAAACTTTATTTTAATGTTAGACGCTGTATCTATAACACGTCCCCCGCGTTGACCGGCCCACCATTGGCGGGAGTGCCTTCAGCCATTCTGCCCCCACCCTCTGGAACTCCATCTCACAGTCCATCCGCCTCGCTTCTTCCCTTGCCTCCGTCAATACCCGTTTCATTACTCTCCTCTTTGACCGTACCTTCAATCACCCTCCTTCTCCGCTCTGCCCTGCCCTCCACCCTCCCCCAATCCTGACGTGAGAGGCGCAATACAGATGTCATTTGTTGTTTATCGAAACGCAAGAATTATTAATAACGGGATAAACACTTACGAGGAGGAACGGTTGACAGTTGGCTTTATTTAGTCAATTCAAACATTCACTCTTCGATCATATTTATATTTTTATCCAGAATTTTCAGACAAAACCCTAATTATTTTCAAGGGAATTTACAAGTTGTTATTATACCATTCAAATCTTGTATGTCCACAGTGCCACCAAATGGCCGAAATGTGGTACTACAATTAGAAGTTGTCTTCCAAAGGCTTCCTTCACAAATACCTCTGGATAAACAGATCACTCAACAGATTAACTTCCCAGCCTAATGAAGATCAGACACTGAATAATAAACTAGGCTGTTAGACAAGATGTCAAAGATATGCTGTGGTTCAATTTTACTTGCCTATCAAAACATCAAATTGTAAGTTTCTCCGCAAAATCAATACTGTACATCAAACATTTCTCCTTGAAACAAGTTCCAAGAATCCACTTTCGCTCCATTTTACTTTGAGAAGTTGAAAGGCATTTGGAACATTATCCTTTCACCTCTCAACGTTGCCAAAACCTATCGCCCAAATGATGGGCAAATGTAGCATTTGTAAATTGGTCAACATTTTCAATAAAAGCACTAAACTGCATTTCCACTGAGGCAACTGGGTTGAAATTCCCAGAATCTTCGCTTTATCAAATTTAACAGCAGAGCTGATTGCAAAATGAAATCGCTTGTATCGACAGAGCCCTCTTGTGGTTAAGATACCAACGCCATCGGAAATTTCCATGAATGTCATCACGTTAATACAACTCAAAACACTAATCTACACGGTGCAAAAAAATTATGACTAACTTGGCTCAAGGTTCATAATTGGCCATAAAACACATTTTTAACTTAAGCCATTAGAACTGAGGTGCTTGAGGATTAATTTTTATTTCAATTGAAGCAATTTTTTTTAAAACAAAAACTCCTATTGCTCAATATTTTATATGAATTTCATTAGAGAAGCTCATGTAACTTTTTTGGATTGATCACCTGGACTCCAAAGAAATGCTCTGTATGGTCCTTCAGCCACATCTCATTGTGGTTCTTATTAGTCGGGGTTCAATATATTCCAGGAACAGACCAGCTGGCTCTTTGGCTGTGCTGTCAAGGCACTGCCATGGATCAGAGTAAAACAACGCGTAATAAAGCATGAGGAATGATCAGTTTGACAATAGCCTTACCACATTCAACAATGCTCCTGAAGCGCAGGTCACACACGGGTCCGATTCCATGTGCCATGAAAACCACATGATCGACTTGAGCCAGCTCACCTGGGGGGTGGGAAAGAGACAGAGAAGGCTAAGCCACAGATTTACAATTGCCTTGCCTAATAACCCCATAGCTATTCAGGTGCGACATAAGAACATTAGAACATTGTTAGAATAGTCAAAACTCTTCAAGGATCTAGATACCGTTTTTATTAAAGTATGTTCTTTCCTCTATGCACCACCCCCAGCAAACTATTTAACCCAGGAAATCTGTCACACCTGCCACTGTCCCAGCAGAGATCAGCACAAGATGGATTCAAACCTGGGATCTTCAGAATCAAACCAGTGGTGCAATGTAGTAAAGGTCAGCTGAATGATCAGACAGGTACCTTCAGGAATCTCATCGTGATCAGCATCGATCCCTCGCTTGACAACTCTTGGCCTCGTCTGCCCATCCTGTGTCATTCCCCATTCATCTGACATCGAGGAAGACTGGTACTGAACTATCACCTGGAAGCAATTGTATCAATCCATGACCTGGTTTGATTTAATTATAGCTTTTTACCTCTTCCCCCCCCCACAGGTTAGAGATAAATACTAGTGTACACTTCATCAGCCTGGATGATTGTTGGCAGGCTGTTTGACTGTGTGAGCTTCATGCCCAAACCTGATCCTGCCCTCACCTGATATTCAGTATAAAGTAGGGGTCACTGGATAGAAACCAGCAGGGGTAAACAAAGCTGATTTTTCTTTTCTGTAGCCCAGGGACACAGAAGCAATTACAGCATGCCAATGTAGAACAGCAAACACAGCGCAATTCAGTAGTCAATGCCTGGGTGGGTACGGTTTAGTTCCAACACACAGTGCCTTTCCTATGTGAGCCATCCAAGAGTTGTTGACTTTTTCAAATTGTATTATTACTAATAAGATTGGAAGGCAGATATGCATGCAGTAGAAGACAAATGCATTAGGGGAAATGGGATGTATAAAGTAATGCATGTCGAAACAATCCCTTGTAAAAGTACAGCTCAACAGAAACCTTTGCAACTTTCTCCCCTTTATTTGAAAGCGCACTGGTACCTCATCCAAATCCTCTTTCTTTACCGTTGAGCCTGAACAGTTTTTAGCGTTGTCAAGCTATTCTACAGTGGGAAGGTAGCACCCACAGATCATCTTTCCATAGTTGTTCAGCTACCAAGATTAACACGCCACAAAAGCATCCAGTTAATTATGTGGGGAATTGAAGTCGCCATTCCCTCTTGCTGAACAAATGCAGAGATCTTTTACTTTAATAATAATCCTTGCATTTGATATAGCGCTTTTCACGTCTTCGAGACGTCTCAAAGCGCTTCACAGGATATACTGTAAAGTGAATTGACTGTATATTTGTGGGCGAAACATGGCAGCCAATTGCGCACAGCAGTGTCATGGGTTGAAGTGACCAATTTTATTATTTTTTTTTCTTGAGGGATTATTATCAGGCGTTTGGAGTAAGGAAACCTGCTCAAGGTCTCTCGCTTGCGAGGCGACTGCTGTAACCACTGAGCTACAGGACTCCTCATGGTTAATGAGCAAGAATGCGTGTGATTTATGCAGACTGTACCTTGGGGTTGTGCATAACAATGGTTTCTCCACTTGGGAACTCTAGTTTTCTGTGCCACTGGTTGCTGGTTACGGTTTTTTTATATTCCGCCTGCAAACAAAACAGAAACAGATGTGAGGATATTCCCCAGTGCTTTCAGCTGGCTTTCCCCTGCATTCCAAAGTTACTTCAGGTGTAGATTGTGAATATTTACTCTTTTTCTCACTCGCTTTAATTTTAGTACAAATTTTAAAGTGACAGATTTTTCACTAAAGCATTTATGAAATATCCTCCCAATAAAACACAATCCAACATTGTTTAATCTCATAGGTTAAATATTAATTGTAAAGGAAACACAGTGCTTGAATATATGAACGTGGTATAGCAGTGTATTCTGTGGGTATCAATACTATTTCTACAACAACAACAAGATTCCGTTTATAGAGCGCCTTTCACGTCGGGAGGACGTCCCAAGGCGCTGTACAGTTGGGTCAGGACCCAAGCAGTGGGGGAAATGGTCAGGGTGAGAGCGAGGAGGGGGTAGAGAGTCGAGAGGGGAGCTGAAGGCACGGTCAAAGAGAAATGAAAATAAAACTACACACGAAAATATCAATTCCTTAGACTCGGCTACTCATCTGAAAGGCTAGCTTGCGTTTAGAAAATGTCTCAAGTATCAAAAAGATGGAAAGGATTGGGAGTTTTTGCCGCAAATTGCTACATTAACAGCATCAATCAAATGCCCCACTAAACGTGTGTTTTGGCCCGATATCAACAATAGCTTTCAAAAGGAAATTGAACAAATATTTGAAATAGAGAAATATTGAGGAATATAAGAAAATGGCAGGGTAATGGGTGGCTCTTTCGGAGAGCTGGCACAGATATGATGGGAAAACTGATCTTGTGTGTTGGAAATTCTCATTCTGCAAACAGGATGATCGAAAGCAACCTGCATTGTGCAACCTGCATTAAAGTGACACCATTGCATAAGCTGCGAGATGACGGCAGACACATTATGCATGCACAAAACGTTTATTTTAAACATTTACTGAAGGTAAACGTCAAATAGTTCTGCAACTCAGTGAATTGCTGATTTAATCGCTAACCAGACAACGGAATGGTTTAGCGTTGGTACAACTCGGTACTTGAATGACATCCTTCCATATTCCACGATGGCATTTATAGCAAGGTTGCACATAAACAAAAAAAATCAGCAGGATCCGAAAACTTCAGATTTGCTCATTTTCTCCCATCCTACAATCATTGGGGATCTTTCACTTGAACACCAATGTTAAAACAGAATAATTTAGAATTAGTTGCTGATATCAAACATCAAATTACCCAACAGTAATTACAGAGAAGTCAGAATTGGAAAGATTCATTTAAAATGCATTAATGTATACTGTATTCAAAAAATCCCATTGATTGGATAGAAGTACGGTATTGCTAACCTACATTTTACCAGGTAGGAATTCTGTGACTCATTAAAAACTAGACAATAAAGGATTATTTAGACAATAGATTATTTAGACAATTTTATTCCTAATGCCAAGGGATAAGTACCAATCAATCCATTAACATACAAGATATTAGGTGTTATCAATGGTTCAATCAATTCCCCAACTCAAAACTTGCAACCATTTGTGAACCTACAATTTTATTTTGAAACTTTACAGGGTTCTGTACCTCTAATTTCTCACTGAATTCCTCGGAGTAAGGAATAAATCTGCTGTCCGAGTCCCCCTTGTAAAACCAAGTGCATCGCCTCACTTCAGAATCTTCTTCTTCCCAATACACCGCACGTCTCATGCGATCGTACAGACGAACATCATAGCGACCGCCATCAGTACATACAACAACATTCTCTGGGTCCAGTTGTACTAGAAATTGCAATGCAAAAATGTTTGCTTAACATTTGTACTGAAAAGCTGACTGAAAGGTCACAGCAAATGGATGTGCGAGGAGGAAATCATTCTCCTACCAAATAAACTAAAGCAACAGTTAATCAATATTTTTATAAAAAAGCAACACGTAGGTGAAAAATAATTAACTGGCGAGGCTGCTTAATCAGAAATTTCTCTTCACCAAATAACTTCAACGGTGATGTGAAGTGATTTGAGAAGAATGCAAAGTGTGACAAAGGGATACAAGGATATATCAGAGTATAGGAGGGGTGGAGAATTGAGTAGAGTATGAACACCAACTAACTCACTGCGTGAATGACCTATTTTCGTGCTGTATCATTCTGTGCAGTTCTAAACCTCATGCTGAGAAACCGTGCGTGATATTTCTGAAGGGAATCTGCAGAATGTATCAACAATAGAGCTGCCTGGATTTCCATATGAAAACTATCAGGAATCTAGTTTAAAGTTGAGCCTAAACAGAATTAATCAAGGCTCCATTGTCGGCACCCTCTGTGGCTCGCAGAGATAGGAGTTGGATTCCCTTGTGGTATGTTCCTGCCACAATGAAGCAAATAACCTCCCAGGATGTCAGGAATGCCGATGAAGCACAACTCCTCAATCAATTAATTATCAATGTGGTAGAAATTATGCACAATAATGTTATTGAGAGAATAAATTGGACACAAAAATATACACACACATCCATTGAAAAGTGTACATTATTGGGCAACTTTACAGTAACTCCTGTGAAGCGCTTTGAGATGCCCTCCTGAATTGAAGATGCGATATCAAATGCAAGGATTATTATTATGTATCTAAAACTGAAAAACCATCTCGCTCGGCCCCTAACTAAGTTATGATAAATTAAGACAAAACCAATGTGAAAGCAGAAGAATGTTGCCTTCAAATCTGGTTTGGTAATCTCTCCCACCCCCATCACATTTCCCATGCTTCAATTCTCTTTTCTGAGTCTTCCAACCCGCCTACCTCTAACTCCTTGCCAAGATAATAATAATTCTCACATTTGACGCCTTATCACGTCTTCAAGATGTCCCAAAGCATTTCACAGAATATACTGTAAAGTGTAGTGACTGGATATTTTGTGGGCGAAACACAAGCAGCCAATTGCGCACAGCACTGTCTCACAAACAGTCATGGATGGACTGTACTGTGCAAGCAGAACATCTCACTTTAACCGACGCAGAAGGAGGCACTCTGCCTCAGGAGGGATCAGACTCCAGGGATGTACCTTTGTTTTGTGCCATACATGGATTCTAATCTCTATATACTGTTTTCTGTGGTCAGCTTTTGTTTCATATACAGTATTGATCCCATTGTTAATGGCACAAATGAACAATTGCAACGCTTACAATGAAGATTGAAGTAGAAAGATAACATGCTGTGGCAGCAATCAGCCAGACCAGGCTGCAGCACGGGACAATCGCACAACATTATACTGGTTAAATTGCTGCTTATTAGCAATCCTATCACTCAGGGAATTCACAGTGATTGAGTTAGAGTCCCAAAATACAACATTTGAAATACAATTAATATAATATCAATATTGGTTAACTATTAAAATGCTGCATTTTCAATCAGTGCTGAAAAAATAAAAACACAAAATTGCATTCAATTTCCAAAATTACTCAGCAATTAGTCAAAGCTTTAACATATTATACGATTGTTATTATATATTAATTTTGATGTTACAAATGCATTGGAGCACAATTCTTTTGGAATAGAAGATTCCACTTCGGAATACGAGTTTTAATATGATACAGTATATACAATATGTAAAGTGTGCTAAAGTGGTTTCTATTTTCCAAAAATATAAAAGTACAAGAGTCAGTTAACATCAAAACAATATATTTCTGGCAAAGGACAAGACGTAAGATATTAAACAATCTTAAACATAGATATGTTTAAAAAGTCATCCAATAATAATAATCTTGCATTTGATATAGCACTTTATCACATCGTTGAGACGTCCTAAGGCGCTTCACAGAATATATTGACTGTGTATTTGTGGGTGAAACGTGGTAACCAATTGCACACAGCAATGGCCCACAAACAGTCTAGGATTGAGTGACCAAATCAATCTCAGCCACAGGGACTAGCCTTGGGCAAGCAGATGGGAAGGGGGCAGGAAAAGAGAGGGAAGAAGAGACACGGCTTCCACTCTTGATCACAACCCAGCATTCTCTTCTAGAAGGTGTGCATGTGACCAACAGGTGATGTGGGCCAGACATGTCTGCAATTCTTCCATTACTCAAATAGGGAGGTAGGAACAGATCTTCCTGAACCATACGCCAGCATGAGCTGGCTCTCTCAGGAGGGTAATCAAAGCACTAACAGAAACTATTAATGCAAACATTCATTCTGCAAATGGGAAAAATGTCACTTACCATGCATTATCAAATACATGTGACAATGACATTAGAATCCTAGAAGAGATTTATTCTGTTCACAGTAGGTGCACTTTTTTAAGTTGCAGCAGTCTGACAGCCAAAATTGGGAAGCAGAAGTCACTTATAATGGTGCTAAAAGGATCTTGAAATGACATGTTTTTCTACTTACCAGAATTGAAAACTTCCTCCAGTTTCGTTGTGTCCAGAAAACTGAACGGCATCCAGACTGGTTTACATTCTACCAACTTGCAGAAGAACCAGTGCGGTCGAACAGCTTCATAAATGTTATAGGGCAAACTGAGCAATGGTTGTATTGCTGAAGATATGGGTTTAGAAACGGGGGTCAGAGCCATGCTCTCCCCTATAGGTGGCTGGAAAAAGAGATGCACCAATTATTATTTCTGAAAGAACACACAATAGGCAATTGTGAAATTGAATCATTCAAAACAAAACTCCAACAACAACTTACATTCACAACAACAACAAAGCTACATTCGTAAAGCGCCTTTCACGTCGGGAGAATGTCCCGAGGGACTAGACAGACAGAGTTATGGACCCAAGCTGGGAGTCGTGGAGTGTGGAGGGCAGTGGTGGAAGCAGGGAGATCGAAAACATGGTCAAAGAGGAGGGTCTTGAGATGGGTCTTGAAGGTGGCAAGGGAGGGGGCAAGGCGGACGGACTGCAGCATGGAGTTCCAGAGGGTGGAGGCAAGTGGCAGAAGGCCCACCTGCCAATAGAGGGGTGAGTGAGGCAGGGGATGTGAAGCAGACCGGAGTCTCAGAGTGCTTAACTAACCAATTTAGCTTAATTAATGTAAAACAATGCTACTTCCCAGAAAACTAAACTATTGTGAAAAAATAGTCAGCTTGGCAAAAATCTAGTGCCATGGAACAAAATATTCCTTCCACTCGTCAAACTTTTTTTTGTGTATATAACACAGCAGTACAACACTTTTTAGAATGAAGATATTTGGCTGCAATGGCATAGGAGAGGGCTCGTTGAATGAAATTCTTTATTTCAACTCTTTATAAGAAAACAATAAATTCAGGTCCATGAATTTTATGACAAAGGAAACTAAATTCAAAATGATACTAACAAATAGATTGCATTTTTAATTTGGGGCAGATTATTTTACACTGTAACAGAAATTCAGTTAGCACAACACACATGTACTCTATGGTAATTTAGGAGATAGCAGCTTGACCTACCTGTGGCAAGGAATGTGGTGGAGAGTGATACATTTGAGTGGGTGCTGCAGAAGGGTGATGGGGAGGCATCTGCTGGTGAGCTTGACCTTGTTGAAACTGAGGTGGGGCAATGTATGGGTTAGCTCGGTTACTCTGTGGATTTTGCCGATAAGGGTTATAACTCTGCTGGGTCTGAACGGGAGGAGGAGATGTGAAGGGAGTCGGTGGGGGGATCCCAGGTTGAGCATTCTGGTGAGTTGTGCTAGGATACTGTGAAGCCAAGGGACTTGCGTAACCTGGCTGAGAATGTGGAGCTTGAAATGCAAAAGGATCATGCCCAGATTGGGTGGTCGAGGCAAGACCAACTGCTGCTGGAGGCTTTGAGAACGAAGTTGTCGCTGCTTGTGATGTTGTCGTTGTGAAAGAGGGGCTTCCGATATTTGCAAAAGGATCATTGTTACTTATCGCCTGGGAAAAATAGCTGAATGTTGGTGGCTGGTTGCTAGGAGCAGAAGTCTGGCCCAGAAAACTATCCTCTTCACCAACATCTGTTGATTCATCTGCTGTAAAACAAATCAGCAAGACAGATAATGGACTGAATAACTTTATTGAAAGAAAACAATGTTTACTGGAAGATATATTGTAAAGTGGAATGACTATTGCTTGAGGGAACATGGCAATCAATTTGCAGATAGTAATGTCCCCCGAAAACAGCCTCCGGGACACTGCCCCGAGTGAAGGGCGCTCTATAAATGCAAGTTGTTGCTGTGTAAAGTGATTGACCAATTTTATCTATTGGCTAGGACACCAGAAGAAAGTCCCTTCTCTTTGAGTATTAGTCTGAAATCTTTAACTTCGACCTGAACAGCTGGCTGGGACCTCGGTTTGACGCCTCATCAGACGACAAGTATCTCCAACATTGCAGCACATCACACACCCAACACTGCACTGAAGTATCAACATAGGCTGTGAACCAAAGTCCTGAGTAGAGCAAAAATCCACCATCTTCTCACTCAGAGGCGATAGTCCTCCCAACTGAGCCAGACTGACACACACTTGAATTATCCCCAAAAATGTATGATAAATTTTATGCTAGTTATTCAGTGTTATACTTTTAATGTTACTTTGATGTGGTGTTCACAGTTATAAGAAAATTCCCCTCAATGCTACTGATATAATGATTTAATTGTACACAACTTTCCTACCTGCACAGGCAGAGAGGAGAATAATGGTAGGGAGAGGGAAGTACAATTGTGCCAGACTCTCCTTCACAACTCATATTTGCTTATGACTAGTTTTCAAAAACATACACTGTGCATATCTCTGCATATAAACCCAACATCATAAAGAACACAAAACCACAGGATCAAGAAAGCCCTTCAGCATATTTGAATTCATCCTTCAAGAAAATCCACCTTCCTCCATCCATTACAGCATCAAGCTGTTTTCTAAATTAATGGGTACAATGCGTTCACATGTTTGCCGTGTACACAGGGGCGATCCCAATTGTGTTAAAAAGGAGTGTCACAAAAATGTGTGCACATCCTGTGTATCGTGAACCTGTCCCCACTCCCCATAAAGGAGGGGGGCACAAGACCGACCTTGCAACTGCACCCTGTAAAAGGCGCAGAACCTCGAAGTGTGGAAGCCTTGGTCCCTCCACCAGTGTGAAGTGTGCAGAGGCAACCTCCCCGGCACAAGGGGCTGTTGCGTCCTGTAATGGGATAATAATGAGCTGCCTTTTTCTTTCGGAACGGTTTCCTTGAGATAAGTGTGCATATATATTCTATCTACAAATAAATACAGTATATACTTTGTTTTAAAAAAATCTAGCTGTTTTCTAAACGAATCCAACATCGAGGGCTCCACAACATTCTCCCAAAGTGAAAGGCACTACATCAAATACAAGGAGGATTATTGTATTCAAGGAGGTTCATTATATTATACACAGAGGATCAGCCACATTGTTCTCCTACATACTCTCTCTAGGGCCTCAACAGACCTCCTAAGTTGTGGCCTGGGATGGTGTTTGTCCTGCAGGTTGTCCATGCAAAGCTCGATTCCGGGGGCCCTTACCTTAGGTCCCTGGGCAACAAAACTTAGGGGTTGGATATCCGGACCCAGCGGCATGCCTATTGGCTGGAGGTCAGCTGGTGAGGGCCTGATCACGTAGGTTAGGTTGGTGGAAGGGGATTTCAATGAGTTTCACAATGGTTAGGGCCCCCTTGCTGTCTAGGCCCTGTGAACAGCATGTGCCTAAAGCCCTAGTGGTTGTAGCGGCACACATTGTATACAATACTCCAGGTACATCATTACCTGAGGACACTACAGTTGGATTATGACTTCTGGGGAACTGGAAGATTTATAATAATAATCCTTGCATATGATATAGCGCCTTTTAACGTTATTGAGATGTCTAAAAACACTTCACAGAATATACTGTAAATTGAATTGACTGTATATTTTATGGGTGAAACGTGGTAGCCTATTGCGCACAGCAGTGTCCCACAAACAGTAGTCAAGTAGCGGGCTCCAGCCTGCTTCATGTCCTCCACCTCGCCTGCTCCACCATTTGCAGACAAGCCTTTAGCCACTCTGCCCACTCCCTTCTAGAACTCCATCCTGCAGGCCCTCTGCCTCGCACTCTCCTATGCCTCCTTCAAGACGCATCTCAAGACCCTCCTCTTCGACCATGCCTTTGATCACTCTCGTTCCCCCCCGCCGCCCTCCACCCTCTCCAATCTCAACCCCAGCTCAGGTCCGAAACACTGACTGTCCAATGCCTTGGGACGTTCTCCCGACGTGAAAGGCGCTACGTACAAAGGTAATTTTGTTTTTAACAAAAACAGAAGTGGCTGGGAACACTCAGCAGGTCAGGCAGCATCTATGGAGAAAAGAAAGTGAGTCAACTGAGTTTTGACGAAGGGCCGTGGACCCAAAACGTTGACTCACTTTCCTCTCTCCATAGATGCTGCCTGACCTGCTGAGTGTTCCCAGCCACTTCTGTTTTTGTTTTCAGATTTTCAGCATCTACAGTATTTTGTGTTTTGGTAATTTTGTTGTTGTTGTTTTGATATGGTGAGCAATGACTTTGAGTCAATCAACACTCCAAGTTCTTTCAGCTTCCACTTCGAGATGTTCTTTCGTATCCACAGAGTATACATTCCTCCTATTTTTAAAATGTTATATGCAGTATTGTTCGTCTTACATGACCTATATAAACTGATACAGTATGAATTATATAAAATAACTCACTGGTTTATTGAAAGAAATAGTTTAGTTGAAACAAATGCTCTGATTTTACAGCTTCTAAAAAAATTTGCATGAAAGACAGCCCACTTTTTCCAGTTACACTAATCACGTGCTCTAACCCTCAACTTATTTGCAACGTTTAGACTGATTTTCTGCAGTCATCTTATTTTTAAAAAAAATAACAATCAGATTTCTAATACATTAGTCATTAAAAATAAAGGGAAATCTGGCTCTGACAACTGAATGGCTGAGATTTTTTGTTTAAAATGCAGTAAAACTAACCAACTAGTGAAAAATTAAGCCTTTTTTAAAAAGCGCAGAAACACCCCACAAAACTTGTTTGTTTGCTTGTTCTTTTTATACACACAGCATCAATACGAGCAGATCACACATTTCGCCCAGAAAAACACTGTCAAATCACTCTACAGTATATTCTGTGAAGCGCTTCGGGACGTCTCCGCAATGTGATACGGCGCTCTATCAAATGCCCGGATTCTTCCTCATTATTAAAAATATAATTTGTTAAAAACCTTACGCGAGAAACAACTAGACCATCAGACCGGAGACCAGAATAACTCACTCCCTTCCCCTCTCCCCCCTATATAAAAAATGTATAACTTTGGTCTCCAGGTCTATAATAATTTGGCCACTCGACCCACGGCTGTTTGTGGGACACAACTGTGCGCAATTGGCCGCCACGTCTCGTCCACAACACCCACGGCCGTTTCACTTTGGCAGCCAATTCCAGTACGTTCTGTGAAGCGCTTTGGGACGTCTCGAAGACGTGCTAAGGCGCTGCATCGAACGCCAGGATTATTACTTTTATCATTGTATATTATAATCCCTCGAGCGGATGCTTCCAGGGGTCTCCAACTCAACCATCACCGTCCCGAGCGGCGTAAAGCCTACGGACACCCCCACCCCACACGCACACGCGCGCGGCTGCGCCTGCAACAAATAATAATAATAATAATCCTTGCATTTGATACAGCGCCTCGGCACGTCTTCCGAGACGTCTCGAAGCGCTTCACGGGATACGCCGGTCAAGCCAACCGCCCGCACCTCCTGCGGAGCGAAACGGGGCAGCCCCCACCGCCCACAGCGCTGACCCCGCGGAGCGGTCGGGGATTGAAGTGAGACCCCCCCATTCATTGTTAGGTTTCTGAAGGAATTATGACTGAGAGAGAGAGGGAGAGAGAGGGAGAGAGAGAGAGAGGGAGAGAGAAAGGGAGAGATGGAGGGGATGGCAGTTTGAGGAGGGAATACGAGAGGTTTCCCCCCCGACCCCACCCCACGCCCCCACCCTCTTGGGAGGCAGGTCCCCGGGGTCTGAGGAGAAAGTGGAGGGGAGAGGCCGAGGAGAGAGAGAGAGAGAGAGAGAGAGAGAGACCCGCCATCCCCGGATACCCACCGGCTGAGAGGAGAGACGTGTCCGCCGGCGCCGCCGCCGCCTGACTGACGGGGATGAAGGGCACGGGGAAGCTGAAGTCGGTGTCGGAGGAGAAGAGCAGGTTGGTGTTGGGCTTCTTTTCGGCGGCCATGATTTTCGATCCGCCGCTGTGATTATTGACGAGCGATCGATCGATCGATTGATCGATTTGCCCCTCAAACCACCGCCGCCGTCGTCGCCGCCGTTTCTCCTGTGGGTGTGCCGGTCGGTCGGTCGGTCGGTCCAGGCCGCAGGAGGCCCCCCCTCTCTCCCTCTCTCTCTCCCCCCCTCCACCCCTCGCGAGCTCGGCTTTTTTTTTAACACGTCGCCAAAGCGGCTCCGCGAAGCCCCCGCTCAGGTCCGGCTCGCGCACGCGCACGCGCGCGCGCGCGGTGGTGGGTGGGTATATGGGGGGGGCGGGGCGGGGCGGGGCGGGGGAGAGGTCACTCGCTCGCAGCAACGTCACCGAATTGGGGCGGGTTTCGCGCCCCAACTGGGCGGGTTTCGCGCTCAAATTGGGCGGGTTTTTGCTGTTGTTGTTGTTGTCGTTGTTCAGCCCGGTCCAATCGCCAGAGCAGCGTGGCCGGGGGCGGGGGGGGGGGGCGGGTTTCACGCCCACATGGGGCGGGTATGTGTTTCGTTGCCGTTGCTGTTGGATACTGATATGTACGTGTGTGTGTAAAAAAAATTTTTTTTTTAATTTTTTAATTTAAATTTGAACCCGCAAAACTTTTTTTTAGTTTGGGGGTGGGAGGGGGGGTTCCCCTCCTTCCCTTTTTTTGGGGGGGGGGGAGAGAAGACTTTTTTTTGCTGACGGATAAACAGCACCAGATTTAAATGGGGCCCCCGCGAGGGGCGGGGCTACAAGCGGACGTGGAACCGCTGGCCGCCGCTGATTAGCTGAAGCGTGTGACGTGCGTGGCGGGAAGGGTCAGAGGTCAGCGGCGCTGGTGCGACGACGACGATGACGACGACGTCGTCGACGGCGAGGGCGACCGACGCTGGGCGTCCGGGGCGGTCCCGACGTCGCGACGTCCTGACGTAGGTTTTCCCGCCATTGCAGGAACCCGGAGTGGCAGCGGCACCGGGACCCGGGATAAAGTTCGCCCGTACACAGGGCGTGTGTCTGCGGCTTCGCCCCCTTCCCTGTCGGAGAGGCCCGCGCCATGCCGAGCCTGGGGGACTGGGTGAACAACCCGCTGAGCATTGTGCAGGGGGTATTCGGTGAGTGAGTGAGGGAGGGTGAGGGTCGGTGTGGCCTACTTTACTCCCAACTCTCCAGCCCCACCCCCACCCCCCCCCCAAAAAAAGGAGCGGGAAGGAGGGAGGGAGAGGCTGAGTGTGTCAGTCGCTGTGTGTGTGTGTGTGTGTGGGGGAGGGTCTGTGTGTGGGGGGGGGAGGGTCTGTGTGTGGGGGGGGGAGGGTCTGTGTGTGTGTGTGTTGAGGTAGGAGGTCATTAACTAACTAATTAATTAATAATAATAATAATCCTTGCCTTTAGTGTAGCGCCTGACCGTGTCCTCGAGACGTCTCAGAGCGCCTCACGGGATGCACCGCGAAGCGAGTATCGGCTCTGCACGTTGTGGGCGAAACGCGGCAGCCGATCGGGGGTACAGTGGCGTCCCCCCACCCCCACCCCACGCATGCACACGTGTGGGTTGAGTGACCGACTTGTGATTATTATTATTATTATTTATTTTGAAGGGTTTTTTGCCCCCCCCCCCGCAAAAGCGGTCCGCCAGTCCGCTAACAACAACCACCGCTGGTAAACAGGGGCGTGTGGAGTAAGGAAACTTGCTCGAGGTTTCGCCCCCTGTCCGGGAATCGAACCCCGGTCCTCTCGCTTGTGAGGCGAGCGCTCTAACCACTAAGATACAGGATGGATGGATGGATGGGCTCATTGTTGCTCTCACGCACACACACAAGTTTTATTTTTGTCGGCCGAGTGTCTGGTAAGTGCGGATACCCATCACCGTGCTTGAGAGTATCCAAACCAAACTTCAGAATTACAAGCATTCTCCCCCCCCCCCCCCCCCCCCGCTCACGTGGAAAGGAAATCCCACAGATAGACTGTTGGAACGAACACAAACGTGAAGGTCGAGGGATTCATCATCTCTAGTTTTTAATTTGAAAAATTCGAGCGTCAGCCAGACAGCCTTTGCTTGTTTTGCTTTTGCAGCTGCGAACGTGCAATTTTTCCCCACTCTTTTGTTTTTTTTATATAACTACTGCATATGTGTATTACATATCATAATTCTTCCATCAATAATAAACAGTAAATTGCCTTCAGATTTCAAATGATCTGTAAAGTTAATGCGTAATTGCTTGGCTGCATGGTTCCGGCTAAATCTGCGTTTGAATACTTTGAGACTGTACTGGGATTTTTTTTTTACTAGTCTTTGCCCGATTGTATGGATAGTTTTGGGAGAAGTAAGACAGTTGTGCCTTCGAAGATATTTGGGCGATAATCATTTGCCAAAAGATTTGTCAATGTTTTTCATTACTCTCAGTGCCTCAAAATGTTTAATCTTTGTCAAAAATAACATTGATTAGCTGGCAATTCGGGCGATGTATGTGGGGAAATGTAGATGATATTGGTGATTTTTTTAACTTTATAATGCCTGCCAAGCCTATCTACACTGTTTTGGGGTAGTTTCTTCTGTTGGAGTGTGTGAGAGACAGATAATCCGATAATGTAGTTTCTTGGGCATGTCACAACTCTGTACAGTAAATCAACCGTTAGTATGGATGCTATTTTGGGGGACTCCTCGTGGGAAAAACAGCCAAATCTCACTTTCACTGTGTATGTGATTCTGCGTGTGAGGTTTGAAAAGGATGAGCAGACCTCCTTTGCTCATGAAGCTGTCCATTTTTGCAACGGGTGGATAAAGTGCTCAGCTTTTGCCTGAAATCTTTACTCTTTTGAAAATATATTCTAGTATAATGCGGTATTGTGAAGCGCTTCGGGACGTCCTCCCGACGTGAAAAGCGCTATATCAAATGCAAGTATTATTATTACTAAAATACAAGCAAAACCTTTAAGAAAGATACAATTTACTTTTATGTAGCACCTGTTACATTGGGAGGATGTCCCAAAGCGCAACCAATTTGGTTTGGAGGAAAGCCATAATGTATTTTGTTTTTAAAAAGAAGTGTTGATCTCACCTTGTAGTTCTTTTCCCTCTGGGGTTGCACACATTTTCCACAACATCAAAAATGTATCTCCCGTATGTGTGTGTGTGTGTCTCTCTCTCTCTCTCTCTCCATGGCATTTCCCTTTCTGACTTTCTAACCCCTTATCAAGCTCTCCGCTCAGCAGATTCCGGCCTGCTCCATGTCCCCCTGCCTGGTGCGCCCTACCATCGACGGTCGGGCCTTCAGTCTGTCTGCCCCCACCCTCTGGAACTCTTCCCCTTCACCTTGTTCTTTCCCTTGCCTCCTTCAAGGCACGCCTCAAGACCCTCCTCTTTGACCGTGCCTTCGGTCACCTTCTCTGCCCTCCACCCTCTCTGATCCACACTGCGTCCCCCTCCCGCTCAGGTCCTAATCCCTGATTGTTCAGTGCCGTGGGCGTCCTCCCGACGTGAAAGGCGCTTTACAAATGTCATTTTGTATTGTACGTTCTTGCAGCTCAAAATGGTCCCAATGGTGAATGGGAAAGGAAAGTCGTGGAATATTTCACAGAGAAGCTGAAGGAGAACACAGCGACAAGTTGGGTAAGTGATGGTTTGTAAAAAAGCTATTTATAAACTCTATTTTTCAAAATACATATTGTTTTATTAAAATGCAGCAAGTGATATTTATGATGCTGTTGTGTTGTACAAGAAATATCCCTTGGATTTTATGGGGCATTATTTTGGTACTGACTGGGCGATTTCTGGATTGACATTGTGCCATGATAAATGCCCAAAGCTGCAAGCATCTGTAAGATACAAATCCATTTAGTTGCTTATATTAAATAGTTTTTCCCTGCATTCAGGTGATCTACTTGTGCTTTTAAAAAAAAAATCACAAAATTAATTTACTAATATACTTCCTCACACCGACTGTTAGAGAAGCAATTGACTTTTTGGTATTTCTTCAGGCATTATCTGCACAAAGTGAACATTAGTTTTAATTGACTAGATTGATATTGCACCAGATGAATCGCTACACATCTGTCACTAAAGTTTATCAAACTAATTTATTATTGGTGAGACTGGAGAAAGGGAACTTTTTGGCCTCGTAAAATGCCGTGCTTTGCATTGGTGGCCTGATTTCTAACGATTGTTCCATTTATTAATAGAGGAATAGCATTGTATCTTAAGTATCTTCTAAGGGGTATGACAGGTTCCAGATATATCTGCGATTGATCTTTAATTCTCCTTTGAGAGCCGAAATAACTCTAACTAATGGGTTCAAGAGATGGGAATCTTTCTGACTCTGGCATGTTGTCAGCTGGTTCAGAAGGCACCATAAGTACTTGATTTTATAGTTGAGGCTAAAGCTATTTGAAAGAAAATGAGCAAAAAGGCAATTGTAGTATTGTATATAATTACTTGCCAAAGACAGAATTTTACAAACATTTGATGGAGAGCATTTGGACAGTAAATATTGTAGACTGGGTGAATTCTAAGTCTATCTGGTGGGGAATGGAGGCAGTGGAGCCTGGCCAGAAAGGAATGATTGTAGATGTTTTGTTTCCCTTCTTGCCACCCCTCCCCGATGGGGCTAATTTCCTATTTGTATATTGTGTTAAACTATATTTGTGATATTGGCAAGATTATACCTTTGTGAATTAATTCCACATTTTCTTTGGGAATGATGTTCAATGGAATACAAGTGTGTTTGCTTTTGTTCCTACCAGGTTCCATCCTTGAATGATGTTCCACTGCATTACTTGAAGCCAAATAGTCTGGTCAAATTCCGTTGCATGCTCCAAGATATGTTTGATCCCGAATTCTATATGGGTGTTTATGAGACTGTGGATCCAGCCACTAAATCTGGAGTAAGTAGCCTATTTTTATATTAAAAGCAAGATAGCTGTCCAAGCAGCATTTTAGTGCAACTACATTCTTTTCAGAGCTTTGTTGATAGATTTTCCCCCAGATTTGCACTTATTGGGAATCTGAAGAAATAAAAGTCCTGAGTCGTAAAAATATTTACTTTTTTAAAAAAAATACGCAATTTGCAATGTAGTTTTAAGGCTTACAGTCAAGGGCATCTTTGGGGGTATAAATTGCTCTTTTTGATTACATGTTGGAATATTTCATAGATTTTGACACTCGCAGGACTTTTGAGGGATGATTGCACAACAAATGGGGAGTTTTGCTCTTTAAAATGTGCAACATCAAAGTGTTGCTTATTCAAGAAGAATTATACCAGAGCAGGAGAGAGAAGGGGGGCACCTCCTGCTCTTATGCTTCTTGCAGATACCACTTCGTTAATTATCAAGTCAGAACCAGGCAGTGAAGATTTTGGGACTCCACAGATGCTCTGTGGATGCTCTCAAACAAGACTTGTTTTGGTAGAGTGTCCTCCAGAGAATGATTTACTCCTATGTCATTTTCACTTCAATGTGCCATGAGGGAGCTCTTTCCAGCAGCAAAAACAATGGCAGTTGTTGTTCATGAAGTAAACTGAGTTCCAAACGACATGAAAATAAAAAAAAAGATTGATTGTTTTGCAGATGTTTTCCCTAAGGACACTTGTTGTCAGTGAAGCTCCTCCATTTTTATTAAATGTTCTGCTCATCAGCACAAGATACCAATTTATGCCATTGACTCTTTAGAGAAATAAACAGTTGTTCAGCACGCTCTATCAATCCGCTGGTTACTCAATCAATCCCAATCTGTTCCTGCTTTATTTAGAGCAAGTTATGATACTTGATCAGCAGTTGTGTATGATAATTTTTGAATTATTTTTATGAAGTATTGCCCACCTGGACTGTATGAAGTCTACACCTAAATTCCTACCTCTATGCTACATTGGTTCATACAATTTCACATATTTTAATATTGGTTATACAAAGGAAATGTAAACCAAGCATCTGCCTTTTTAAAAAAAACTGTAATTCATGTGGAAATAGCTAAGTTTCCAATTTGTTTTGTTAGGTCCTTCGTTTTGGAAAATACAAAGATGTTGCTGAATGTGGGGTAAGTGATTGGTATTGCTCTTTATAAATATGTTTACTGTCTTGTTTGCTGCACCAAGTACCATATTGCACTAATGTAAAGATTCTGGCTTTATTATTATGTACAAATAGTGGGTGAATTGCATAAAGTGACAGACCTGACACGGAGAATTGACTATTTACAGTGAAGACTGATTCGGATTCACTCTTAATCTTCATCCTGTTTTTTTCAGTTGGCTATCTACTGTACTTTTTGTATTATCAGTGGATAGACTAAGCTTCTGATTGACTGACCCGAGTTCCTAGTAAATACATGAATCATTCAATCTCAAGCAGTTTGTATAAGTGAGAAACTAAATGTATTTTGAAAAAAAATGTTACATATTTTGAAAAATATTCAAGAGAGAATTTTTGTTTACTTTCTGTAGCTTTAATATTGTAGAAACAGATTTTCTTAAGATTTGTTAACCTCCTAGTTGGGTGTGTGTGTGTGTATATTTATTAACCATTGACCAAAATAACTCATTACTCCAAGGGTAAAGGGTTGTTGACGAGTTATCCGGAGTGGTAAGTTAGGTATACGTATAAATACATAAATAAATGTGACTGGGATATTGATGACTTAAGTGGTAGTCATCAAGTCAGGGTTCAGTTATCAGGAGTTTACTGTATTTCGATTAATGGAACACGTTTAGTAAAGCGATGTAGTTCTGTATTCCAGCAGTGGATGGAGCTATTGATATTGATGCTTCCTTTGCAAAAGCCTGAAATGTTAAAATATTCCACTAATTAAAGGAAATTGTCCCCTTTAACTCTAAATGCTCTCTCTACCAAATAACTATATCCATACATCCATCACACAAAACATGTCTCCTCTTTGGAAATGCAGCTCATTTTCAGGTCCTCCGGTCCAAAATGTTGGGTGAACAGTTTTATTATGTTGCTACATTTCTTCTTGTTTGGGGTGGGGATTGGTAACTAAATGGTGTTAGAAACGTGTATTACATTTTTTTTTCTCTTTCTCCCCTCTCACCCCCGCGCCCCCAGACTCAGCAAGAGATTCATTTAAACTCAGCCAAGTCTGTCACCATGGAGAGGCAAACCTTTTACTGCATTCCAGTGCCCGGGGAGTCATCTTGGGTCAAAGAAATATCCTTTTAGTGCCAAAGATGCTTACCAAAGTTACCTTTCAATGTTTAGTTTGAGACACGAGCTGTACAAGTTTAAATTGCTTTTGTTTTGTATAGTGTCAGCTGATCTTATGAAATATAGTTGCAGTAGAGTACTTGCAGCACCAGTATAGGCTCAATGGGCCACATGGCCTCCTTCAGTGCCTTAATTTCTGTGTCATTGTCCTTAAATCAATACCTTACGCATACGCAAGTGCCTGCCCAGCTCGTGGCAATCCATCCACATCGTACACTCCAAGTCGACACAAGAGGAGTTACGAGGAGGATGAAGACATGGAAATGCATCCACCAAAGCAGAAAGAGCAGCATAGAGGTAGGAATGTGCATTCGAGAATCTTTGTTCATTCATCTGAATTGTCAGCAAGAGCTAAGACCCTTTAACTGCCAGATTGGGGGAAAAAGTTGTAAGTTTACCAGCATTTTTTTTTGGTCAGTTGGGTGTCTTTAACAAGTGAACACCCATCTCCATGCTTAATGCTTTTACCAGAATCTTAGACTGAGAGGAACAGAATTTTCCCTGTGTCTAGAATGGAATGCATTCCCTTAGAGGGACATATCCTGCTTTCCTAATTCCAGTTAGTAGATTGGCATAGGTTGGTGAGAATCAAGGTTTGGGAATCCCAGAGTTTGTGTTGGGTACAGTTGGGAGTTTAATCAACTAAAATTACATAGCTTGCCATAATAATATTTCTTGCATTTGATATAGTGCCTTACCACGTCTACGAGATGTCTCAAAGTCCTTCACAGAATATACTGTAAAGTGAATTGACTGTAAATTTTGTGACCGAAAAGCGGCAGCCAACTGCGCACAGCAGCGTCCCACAAACAGTCGTGGATTGAATGACCAAATTATTATGCCATTCAGAGCACTGTCTGGCAAATTTCACTCTGTTTGTCCAACTTGGACCACCCTACTTGGTTTTGCCTTTCAGGATCAACCAGGAGCTGAGTGTGAACAATCTCTGCTCCTAATTACTGCTCTTGGTGATGAGCCAGGCTACCTAGTCTGTCATCATTAGTTCTTTTGAGGACTGCAGACCTGCCTGACTTGGGAACCTGAATAATGTTCTTCACTGCTGCTGTGTTGTTTTTTTTAGATCAATTTCCAGTTAGGTTTCTAATTTGTGCAGTTAGCCTACAAAATTGCAATGCTGTCTCTTGTGGTTTATTGATTTTTGTGTGTTTGGCAGGCTCGTCTGGGTGCAGTGGATCACACGGATGTGGAGACTCGAAACGCCTTGAAACCGAAGCGCCTGATGCACATCAGCTTTCGCCCAATTGCACAGCCTCGATCGATCTGAACTTCCCCTTACCAGGAGAGAAAGGTCCTGCCTGTCTAGTCAAGGTAATCGTAATGTTTATGTGGTGAATTTGGAAGCCCCTATTATAATAATAAAAATAATAATAATAATCCTTCCATTTGATATAGAGCCTTAGCATGTCTGAGATGTCTCAAAGCGCTTCAGACAGAATATACTGTAAAGTGAATTGACTATATTTTGTGGACAACATGTGGCAGCCAATTGCACACAGCAGTGTCCTACAAACAGTCGTGGATTGAGTGAGCACATTATTATTAATTTTTTTTGAAGGGGTTATTACTTATATGATTGGAATAATAATAATAATCCTTGCATTTGATACAGTGCTTTTCACGTCGGGTGGACGTCCCAAAGCGCTTCACAGAACACACTGTAAAGTGAATTGACTGTATATTTGTGGGTGAACGCGGCAGCCAATTGCGCACAGCAATGTCCCACAAACAGTCGTAGATTGAAAATGACCAATTTATTATTGTTTTTGGTTTTGGAGGGATTATTATTAGGCTCTGTGTGGAGTAAGCAAACTTGCCCAAGGTTTCGCCCTCTGCCTGGAATTGAACTCAGGTCTCTCGTTTTCAAAGCAAGTGCTCTAACCACTGAGCTACAGGACTCCACAGGGATCTGTACTGCCTCCTTAATGTCCACTCCATAGTTCTAGGATTCGAGTTCTACTGAATAGTCATTCACAGATATTGTGGGATATTAGTGATATTGTTGTTCACTTTTTGGAATTTACCTTGCACAACGCTTGCCGATTCAGTAGGGGGCAGAAGAAGGTTGCACATTTTGTCTTGTGGGTTGAATGCCATCATCCTTTCTCAGCAAAATGAAACTGTATCAAAGCAATATAATTTTTGCAGTATTTTAAAATCTTTTCTACAATCACAATTGACTTTGTATACTGTTGGTGCACCCTTAAAGTTGTTAGGCAACTGTGTAAATCGGTACCTATTTAATTACAAGCCCCTGTCAATGCTGGATCCATTGAATCATGCTTCAGCTATGCATTATTCTGTCTTGAAAGTTTGTTCATTGATATTTTATTCTGTATTTGCAGGTGTATGAGAACTGGGATAGATTCAAAGTGAATGATATCCTGGAGGTTTATGGGATCTTATCAGTGGATCCGGCACTTGGTATAATAAATGATGAGAGGTAACTCTTACTTACTTAATCATTAACACAAACTGATTGCTTTATTGCCCTTATAATGTAAAGGCTGTTAATACGCTTTGGTTTCTTTAATTTCCTGATAAAGCCTTTGGCAAACAACATTCAGTTCAGAACTGAAATTAAACTCTTGTTAATAACTCTTGCAAACCTTGTAATCAAAGTCTAGGTTTATTAGGACACTTTGCTTTTTCATTCTACATTATTTTGAATAAAATAATTGACTTTTCTGTGGATTTTCCCATCTGAATGTTGGTGATTAAGATGGTTAGTGTTAATCATTTAATGTTTTAAAGTGCAGTAATTCAGTGTTCCAAATGCATTATACTTGATCTTCGTGTTCTGTGTGCAATACACTTGTATGTTTGCACTGCTTAAAGTTTTGAAAGAAAAGTTAAGGAAACTGTATAAAACTATTGCTCTGTAGTTTTGCACTTCCCTGTGAAATTTCACCCCATTGCATTTAATTTTTTTCTTGCCAGAGTTGGAAAGCTTTCCTTCCTCAAAGATTTCCTTATAGCACAATAGTTCCACATATGTATAACATGCCACATCCATTGAATGTTATGCTATAGGGTGTGATTTATTTTTAACGCAAGAGTGCCAACATTTCCGGTTATTGGAGTAAAGACAGGCTGCAAAGGTTGATATTTACCTTGAGGTTTTTATTTTCTTTCTTTTTCTTGTGGACACAGTACAAAGGATGGCTCTTCAATCCTAGATCCTGCTGAGTGCATGGATACGTTGGAAGAACAGCGAGTGCACAGTCCTCCACCTTCGCTGGTACCTCGTCTACATGCCATTGTAACTCACAAGCTGCAGCACATTAATCCATTCCTTCCAATCAGGCTACAGGACAAACAGAGCAAGGACTGTGAGTTTCCAACTCTCCCTTTGTTTTCCCCCCCCACACACACACACACACACACACGTCGGCATACAAAATGTTTGGTCACAGAAGTTTATTTGCGGGAAGTCTGCTAGCGGTAGCAAAATAGGGATCAACATTGTGTTCTTGCTTATGGGGCTTTAGCTCAAATCCAGCGTGGACAGATGGAACAATGTCTGAGAAGGTCTCGAGTAAGATGTTTGGACAGTTTGAGCACATTTCTTCGTGACAATGTCACTGGAGTTGGGAGTTGATTGAATTGGTGCTTACAGGCAATTTGCTCAGAGGCAAACAGAATTGCTGATTTGGGCACTTCAGAAATTGACACTGGTGTAGTGACAGGATGCTCTTCTATGGTTGGGACAGAGTAATATGATTTGAATCTCTGATATAAAATAATAAATAATCCTTACATTTGATAGTGTCATCACATCTTTGAGTCGTCTCAAAGTACTTCGCAGAATATATTGCAGAGTGAATTGACTGTATATTTTGTGGGTGAAACAAAATACACTGATCCCTAACACTGACACCTCCTTGCCCTGACGGGAACTTCAATTTACCAAATCAACGTATACATAGATTTAAGTTGAAGAATATTTTATATTGCGAATCCAGCCTCACACCGTCTTCACATTAGATATAGGTAACCATATTAAGGCGGATTGGTCTTGATGCTTCATCTACCATCAGCGCAGTAAATGTCATTGGTACGAATGAATGTCTGGAAAGACACATTTGCAGCTTGATTAAGGAGTTTATTTTCCGTTAATTATAGATTCAGTGGCTTTCAGACCTGCAAAAACCTCAGGCGTACTGATGCATGGTGCATTACAACCGTGCACTAGATCACCATGTTGTGCCTATTTTTAAAACTGTATTGACTTGCTGCAATTAAAATAAGATTTAATATTAATCTAAAGTGGCGTAATTCCTAAACATTTGTTTTTATGGTTTGTTGCAGATATAAGCAGTTTTTTGCCTGAATTGTCGTCGGTGCGAGCAGAATTACTTGGGTTCCTAACGAATGCGTTACTTGGGGACAGCCTTGCTGCTGAATATCTCACACTGCACTTCCTATCTACCATGTAAGTTGGATATTAATTTGTATAGTATCCATCAGATCAAGCTGGATTCATTTTTAAGTATGGTTTAACCTGTGGCAGAGCAAATATTCTGTAAATCAAGGCTTTCCTTTTCTATTTCCTCCAATTAATTCCTCAAGGCTATTCAAAGAGGGGAAGTTGTGAAATATTGTTTTACATTTTCCAGTGTTTTTTGGGGAGATGGGGTGTGGACCCAGTAATTGATTGTCAATAAAGCATTATTTTCCCCACATCATTTCCTGGCAAAGCAGGCTGAGTGCAGAGTTTGGCACTGACTGATAGATTGCACTGGTTCTCTTTCTGGTCCTGTAATAGTTACCAGGAAGTAAATGGCAGGTCCGGATTGATAATGTTATGGGTAGGAGTAGGTAATATTAAAGGACATCTGAATCATACGATTGACGTAATTCCAGAGTGTCTTGTTTTTGTGTTTCAATAATCTGATTGTTAAAGCATTTATGACCTATTGACCACTGTGACCTGTCTCACTGCTGTGTCAGAACGGATGCTGGTGGATTAAAGATACCATTGTTGAATTTATCAAAAATATTTTACAAGCAGTTGCCAGGAAAAATAAAATGGGTATCCGATTCTGGCACGCATTAACTTGTTTTTCTGAATGTTGCAGATACTCGAGACGAGATGTTCTTCCTTTGGGTAAATTTACATTGAATTTAAGTGGCTGCCCCAAGAACAGCAATTACACCAAACACCTTCATCGGTTCATTCAGCAACTGGTACCATCGGTGAGTGATTTGAAATGTAGTTTGGGATATAAAGATCGAAGGCACTTAAGTTTTGACAGTGCCTTCTGACATGCACTTCACAGGTAATTTCTGTCAAGTGTAATGATTGTTTACGCAAACTATATCCATGAAAGACTCTGATAATGCGCAGGATTGTTGGATCGAGATGCTATGGGTCTCTTCAATTAGTGGCATGGGATCTTTGTAGGCAGGTGCGACTTCAGTATAGTTTTAAGCTCTCTGAGACGCCGCCCGGTGTGGAGGGCGCTATATAAATACAAGTTGTTGTTATAGTGTCTTGTCTGAAAGCCTCACCTAATAAAATGCAACACACTCCAGCACTACACCAGGGCTTCAGCCTAGACAGAGCTCAAGTCCCACTGCAACCTGAACCCATAACCGTTTGGTGGTTATTTAGCCCATCCAGTCTGCTCTGCCACAAACTATTCCATGGCCCACATATTACAAACCTCCCCTTATCCTGTCTTCCTGCCATTTGCACTATTATATCCATCCCTCTGAAAATCCTGGTCCGAATTGTCATCAAAGCAGACAGATAGAATTTGCTCTTTATTAAATCTATCCAAATGTTCCTGGTTTGCTCATGGTTGTTGAATCTCTCTTTGTTTTCAGTCTTATTGTCTCCCCATGACCCTCGAGAACATGAACACCATGCGGTTCATCCCTCAGAAAGATTACACTGCTAATCGCCTCCTTGCCGGAGTCCTCCAGTTGCCGCATAGCACCTCACTGATGCTGGATGAGACTGCGATGGAACCAGGGCAACTGGACACTACAGGTCAGGACTGAATTGTAGAGGAAAATAATCTGCTTAGCTTCTGAGATTCTTTTGTTTCTAGGATCAACTTTTAATGGCAAACCTTCTTCGGGTATAAACATTCGTGCAATGAGGATCCTGTGGCTTGCTGGCCCTCTAAACTGTACAATTAGGCACAGATACATGAAAAAAAGGGCAACGTATAATATGTAAAGGTTAAGCATCAAAATTTTGCTGCTGTTACATGCAAATGCCAATTTTTTCTTGTCAAAGACGCATGACCTTTTCTAAACTGACACAAGATATGTAACCGCTGTCTTTTGTCATTTTAATGTTGAAACTTTCAACAAACCAAATTTGGTCATAACATCACTCGCCGGAGGGAGTTGGGGGGGGAGTCATTACAAGGTCTAATTTCTTTTCTCATCTTCCTTGTTTTTGGATGGCTGGGGTAGTTAGTGAGCTTACATGAGTGACGCTATTAGATTAATGCGTTCCTTTAATTCTCCTGGTCTCTTTATAATGGACCTATTAGTGATGTGTGAGGTGGATAAACTAAATTGGATACATTATGCTGTCCGTAGATGTAGCACTTTAGTTTATTAGCATCACTCTTATCTGCTTTCTATTACACATTTTATCGCTGCATTCAGTCTCCAGCCAATTTCTGTTGCTGCTGCTGTTTCACATTTTAGTTCAATGGAATCACACATGTGGGTGACATTATGCACATTAGGGTCTCGTAAGGACAAGATGAAGCTCAACAGGAATTGTTGCAACTTTAGTGACTGAACAAGGGCATAGTGTTTGTGCAGCTGTGATGCACCCAAAGGGCTCATATTATTTCATAAATCAGGAGGATGAAATTTGAGCGAATGTCACTCGAGCCCATGCAGTTTTACAACCTTGAACATTCACACAGACTCTTCACAAGAATGTGAGTTTTCTTTGTCAATTTTAGCCATTGGGGGATTCTTTCTGCTATTTGGTGCTTGTAATTCTCCATAACATGATGAAAAGAGCCATATTTGACTGGAAATATCTTTTAACGTTAAATGATTTATCATCAAACACAAACTTCAATAAATAGAACCTGGCACTGTATTTGGAACATAACCACAAGTAACTCAAGTTCAGTTAAATCCAGTTGTTTCCAGCTCAGATTTAGGAAAATAGAAACACCAGCTCAAACATGGATTTGACAAGCAAACAAGTACCAGAGATGATGATGTGAAACTGTTGTTTCTGGCTGTTTGTGGGCAGAAGAGAATATCTGCCGTTTTCCCCGATCCAACAATCCTACTTTAGTTCTTTCCTAAGGCCTTGTGGACAGCAGGTGTAGCAGAAGCTCTGGTGTTTGTTATACCACAGGGCATGGGCACAAATCTCAGCCTCCTTATAAAATTGCTCCATCTCATTCCAAGCACGTCATGAACCATCTGGTTGCTTTGCTCTGCTAAGTCTGTAAGAAACACGGGTAGAAGTTGCACCGCCATTGAAATCTCTGAGGAGTTATCTGCTGAAATGGCAAGGTTTGCATTTCACAGACAAGGGTCACTTTCGTGCTTTCTCTTTCTCTCCCCCACCCCCGCCCAAAGGAAGGATTTATTTGTTGATCTAATATATGTAACATCACTTGCCCAGTGGGAGGGGGAAGTATCATTTCAAGGTCTAATTTTTCCCTCATTTTCTTTGCTTCATAATGGTTTTGGATAGGACTGGGCTAGATCATGAGGTTTCAATGAGCAAACCTATTAGAATAATGCATCCTTTAATTCTCCCAGTCTCTTAAAAATGGGGCTTTGCTGATGCGTAAGGTGGACAAACTAAATTAAAAATGAGGAAGGCCTTGAAGGCAAGTAAATTAAAATTCAGCATTTATCAGAAGAAATGCCTAAATAATTCAGGAACAGGGCAGTGCATAAATGCAGTAGTAATATTGCTTCAGAAGGGCAGCATGATTGGGTTACGTGTGAAAGAGCTATTGGGGGGGAGAAAATGACAAACCTTTTGAGTTTTGTTTAGAAATCAGATTGCAATTGCAAGATGGCAGATAGTTTTGCTGCAGCTATTTCTTTTGACTGAATGTTATCACATTCATGAATATTTATGCTTTACCAGCGTTGGCTTCCACAGCAGCATTAACTGACATGCCATTTTAAAAAAANGTTCAATTGACCATGATTCCTAATCTCTTGTCAATCTTTCACAGGCTTCCAAAACATGGCAGCACTTGGTAATCTGATTATTTGGCAGAAGGTTGACTATGACTTCAGCTACCACCAGATGGAATTCCCTTGCAATATTAATGTTCTCATCACCTCTGAAGATGTATCATTATTACAGGTATGTGTTCCTATCTATCTGCATTGTTTATAGGTGTATGGTGCTCAGCTTTTTGTTTTAAATGAGACGCTTTATTAGATGGTAAATCCCCCCCCCCCCCCAGTATCACATAATGGCATTAAAGGTATTATTCTAGACCATGGTATCTATTTTGCTTCCAGCTTATTGCTCCATCAGAATGTTTTTTTCCATTATGTTGGATTGTACTTTTCTTTAAATGCTTTCTTTGAATCTCGCTGAAATAAAATTATTTTTCTCCTGTTTAGTCTGACTGCGAAGTTCACCTACGGCCCCAGGTGGTTCCTGACAACATAGAAGAATACATGACCAATTTACAGACTGCTGTTTTGCCTTCCATATTAAACAAATTTCGCATATATCTGAGCTTACTGAGGCTAATGGACTATAGCATTTCTGAGGAAGTAACCAAGGTATGAATTTCTGCCTTTCATTGAGAAACCTTTTTTTTATTCTGTCAAGGTTTATGTGAGATTCAGCTTTTATTCTATTCATCTATTCCAGGCTGTTGAAGAAGACTTTGTGGAAATGAGAAAGAACGATCCTCAGAGTATAACAGCTGTGGATCTCCATTGGCTGCTTGTTGTAGCAAGGTAAGCAACAAGGTTTTATGGCTGAAATTAAATTGAGCTTTATATGCTTACTGTTAGATTTCTATTGGTATTATCCATAACCATCAATTTTAGTCAATTACTCATGCTTTCTCCAATGTGATAATGTTAGTTTAAAGCTTATTTTAACTACTAGAATTCATTGTGTAGAAGGTACATGAATTTTGAATATGTCCTAGGCAAGAAAAGTCAGAAACAAAATTGAAACCGAACCTCATTGTTACAAATTTGTCAAAGAAGTGCAGTTGTTTTTATGATGCTCAACTCTTAGCTTCTCCAACTATATAGTTTCAGCTGGGACTGAAAGAGAGTCTGTAAAGATGAAAATGTGAGGTTTTTAATTCCAGACCATTTCCTAAAGCAGAAGTGATCAGATGTAAGTCTTTGTCAGCATATTCATTTTCCACACTCCATCTCACGATGCTGTCTCAGTGATGGGTATCCTCACTTTCCTGCTTCATAAAATATAATTTTGATTTTTGTTTGAAAAATTGTTGGAACTGTAATTTATAAGCTCTAGATGATTTGTATAAACCTGCACCACAACTTGTGCTTGTTGTTCATAAACCAAAAGTACTTAGCTGAAGTCGTGCAGTTGCTGAAATTACAGTTTGCGATCATTGTTTTTCCCGTTTTTGTCTCGCAATAGATTAGTCTCCCTGAGCGCTGGCCAAACCACATTGTCACGAGATAGCTGGCAGCAAGCAAAGCAGCTTGAGGGTCAACGCAAAGCCAGGTTAGGGCGGCTCACCCCTCTCAATGGCAACGAACCTTGACAGTGGACTCCTAACTCCGACAGAACTTCATAAGGGACTTGTGTGTTAGTGGACATTGTGTAAATTTGAAGAGTCACCATTCCTTCTCCCGTCTGCCAAATTATCAAAGCTCTCATCAAACTGGAGAAGAGGAAAACATTTTTTTCTATTTGTGGATCGATCGTGTCAACTTTTCTTACATAAAAAAAATCTTAAATCTCACATACGCCTACTTTGTTTACAATGTCCCTGGTGCTGAAACCTCTTGTGATTTTTTTTAAACCTTGGTGTGCAGTTAGGTTTGTGAAAATATCTTCAACATTCCTCTCCAGAAGCGTTCTATGAACTGTAGCCTTATATGAAAGATATTTTTGTAAACTGCATTTGCATAGTGTACCTTTGTGTCAAATTTGTTGTTTCTGTGTGTGTTGGGGGAAAAAAACATCCAATTTCGGATTAGCAATTTGGTTTGAGAGGAATTTATTCAATGGTGTGTCCGATATCAGATTTCAGGCTGGGATCTGGAAGTCGATCAGCTTCTTTACAGCTTTAAATGTTCCCAGATTTTTAAACTAGGATCAATTAACAGTGAAGCAGACACTCTGTTCACCTACATTTGTCACTGCCAGAGAGCTGACACATAATCAATATTGCCTTTCCTTTGTATGTACTTGTGAAAATTAATTTTAATTCAGTAATTGGTGCATCGTATCTCATTGCAGGTGGCAGTGTAAGATTCTAGTACCACTTCCTATGGTATATTTCCACAACTAATAATAAAATGGACTTGCACCCATTTTGGGGGCAGATTTTACACTTTTAAATTACGGGCATGATGAACTCAGGGTTTCTGATTCCAGGTTTAATATAATGCAAGGGAACAAAGCTGATCGCATTCTTCACAGACCCTGAAATTCATTTGGGATTTTGAAATTATGATAATTGATGTCTGCGTGGCATATTAAAGTGGACACATGCTCACGGTTAGCAGAAACCTCCACAGGGGTAACTTATAATAATTGTCACGGGATTTGAGCTCTTTCCATCAGTTGTGCCCAATACTTTAAAATTAATTACATGTCGTGTGATGTGGAAAGCGACTGTAACCGACCAGAAGAATGTCAAAACCAAAATATTGGGATTGTAATATTTAAATTCTCCATATTGGGATTCCTGGCATAGAAAGTTGTAGCTTTTGTGTGTGTGTGTGTATGAGTAAAACCAATGGGGACAGACCATTTTAAAACTTTGCCAGTGGCTGCCTTAATCTTGGTTTTTAATGTGCAGGATATCAATTTTGTGGGTAGTGAACTTTTTGAATATGAGGTGCTTCCAGCCTTGATATTTCATTCCCATCCCCATTCCACCCTCCCCCCGTGATGAATGCTATGTTGGTGAATAAGTTGCACAGGTGAGCAAACATATATTCGGTGAATTCATGACTTGAGTTCTTTGTAAATTAATTGCTGTGGCAAATCAACCATGAGTTTTTCTGTGCTGCGTGAATTTTAATGGGCAGCTGCTAACTTCTGGAATTCAATACATTTTAAATCCTTCTCCATTACAGTACATTTTGAAATGGTTCAAATGTGGAGGATGTTAATATTGGGTAAATGTTCTCTTAACTCACTGCCAGATTGAAAACTACTTTACTCCTGACCCACCAATGTTCATCAATCCCAATTTCAGGATAGAACCCCTATTTCAATGTATTTTTTCTTTATTCTTCTGCCCTTTTGATTTAAATTACCAAGTGGTACCACTGTAGCCAGATGTTTGCTTTGGGTCTACATCTGGTAGAAATTCAGTTCATATAGCAGGAATCCATTTCATATACCACTGTAATTCTACACAGTGCAATGGATTTGCTTGGTATTTATGGCACTGATTTGAAGATTAGTTGCAGCCAACATTTATCTGTCTACTCGGCTGTCTCCAATTTCATGACCAATTGAGATTACAAGGAAAGTGTAGCTGTATACAAGCCATACAAATATTCAATAGCTGAATTTTATTGCATGGCTGTGCACAAACTGCTATTCACCAACAAATTAGTGAACACTACAGTATATCCTGTGAAGCACTTTGAGACATTTGGTGTGAACGGTGCTATCAAACGCAAAGATTATCAAAAACTATCACAAGTATCTTTAGTTGGGGGTAGTGCTGTTGACATCAGTACGATCGCACACATTCCTGGCTTTTTCCATGAACTGCCTGAACAGTAATGAATTTCAAAACCCAAATTAAACAGAAAACCACAGAAGTACACTGCACCTTTTGAAGTCTTGTACCCTTTGAGATTGACATTGTGTAAGTTACAGATCCAAGAGCCCATTAAACCCAGTTATGCATTAGAATTCAGTCCTACTATTTAAAGAGGAAAATATGCTTCTCGGTTCTATTTCCCTGGATTATAATTGACTTGTGAAAGATGCACAAAAGCCTCTCAGGATCACTGATGTTCTGTTAAAACAGATGTGATTTTTAGAAGGATATTGAGACTGACTGTTGCCAGAGGCATTAAATATCTTGCGACCTAATGTTTCTGAGCAATGGAGCGTGCCTACACTTTCTTGTCATGACATTAACTTAACCACTAATGGTACTTCATTCTAAATGGAGAAATACTTTAATTTACTTTTGATACGTTTTACAATACCTCCTTAGAAATCTACCATTTCTATACAATTGTAATCTGTGAAAGTCAATGCCATAAACCGTTTAAAAATTCAGCAAAAATTGCTGAGCAAGGTTTCTTTCAAAGATTTTAGTTGGACATGGTATTTACATGAATAAAATAATGGGTTATTTAAATAGAAGGCCTGTATTTATAAAGCAGATCAATTCTTCATTGGTAATTTAAACTTAAATGTGCAATATTCTTTCACAATTGTTTTACACTTGTAAGTTTTTTTTAAAAAAGGGACTCCAGTACAATTAAATTGAGGCAATTTCATGATTGATTGCTATGGTGGGAAGGAGAGAGCAATTTCAAGTCTTGCACTTTTAATAAACTTGTGCTGATAGTGGCTGTTCATGGCCTCCATCATTGATGACTGGCAATGTGCATTCCCAATACAGAGTATTTCTTCATTGCCATAGATGTAATTGAAGTAAATCTGAAGCCGGTTGCAACCCGTTCAATGTAGAACAGATGACTCAAGGATAGGGAATGATTAATCCCTAGTTTGACGAGACAGGACAAAGTTGTTGGCTTGGTAAATTGAATGTTTCTACAGTCAGCGTGAAAGAAAAGGCTCCACAGTATTAAGTGGTTGTTGTTGGGGGATGGGGGAGGGAGAGAGGAATAAATTAAATTCAACAAGTCTTTGAAACCTGGATGGACATTCTCTCCCAAACCCACAATTTAAAGGTCGGATGAGGTTTTTTTTTACGAGGGCAGGTCTCAAGTTATACTCTTAACTAGAATGAATGATTATCTCAGAATCGGTAAGCCTTAGTCCCAGTCAGAAATAAGATTTCATTCAACACTTTTTATTAAAATATTTCCCATATACATCCCTTGGATGTTGATACAGTGGAGTACATTTACTTTGAAGTATAGCTGGAATTTTCAAAACAATCTAAAGAAACCACAGTACTGTGACACACGTGAATAAATAAGCACATTCAAAAGGTATATTACCAGAAGTCAATTACTGGAAATGGAAAACGTGCAGAGAAAAATTCTCCGCAACATCGAGGAGGCTGAAGATATTAAGACTACAGTTAAGACTTTCAGGGAACCAAAAACACGGAAGCACTGTCTATGGGAGGATACTACTGCTAACAGGTCAGATCAATTTCAAACTTGCCTTGGGCCCCTTCACTTGCATTGCATCAACTACAGAACGCAGTCATTCAGTCCCTGGCAAAAAGATAGAATAAGGGGGGAAAAGAGAGACTAATTTTTCTTGGTAGATAATGGGATAGAATACTGGAATAGTTGGAATCATCACTCAAGTGCTGTCACAGTCCCTTCCAATCGACTTCAACTGCATGGGCTTTGTTGCTCTATAAAAACATAGATGCAATGAAAAATATTTTTTTAAAAAAAAAAGCTTTTTGAGGAGTGCTTCATTCTGATGCAATCAGAACTCAAAACTCCCCAAGGCAGTTTCCCTGTGAAAGAAGAAAAATCTGAATCCTGTGTCCCACAAACTAAACTCACTGCAAATACAATCTAAGTATGAATTTTAAGTTGTGTCGCACTGCATATGCTTCTAGTTACACAATACATCCCGATTCCTCCTAGTTACACAATGGAGGAAACAGTCAAATGAGGGCAAATGAGCCCATAAATTAACTGGGGTTACAATAACCCCCAACTTGATAAACTCTCAGCAGTTATTGCACGTCAACCTTTTCAAATAGCCAGTGCTCCAGTAGATTCGTGAAATAATTAAGGATTTACCCAGACTGGCGCGTAACAATCATTCATCACCAAAATCCTGAACCGTTCCATTCAAATAAGGTTGTTAGTTAAGACTGGGTACAAAACAGTAGACATTTTAAAAGGGGCCTATGGTCATAACATTTGTAGGGCAGTTCTCTTAGTTGAGGTGCAGATCGGAGCCCACCTTGTGGCTAAATCTGTATGATCCTAGTCTGGCACTGTGTAAACATGTCCTTCAGGTGGGGTTGTTCACCTTCATTTACAGCGCTATCGGGGGTCCGCTGGACCTTGGCCACAGCAAAGTTCACTCCCTGGATCAGCCCTGCCTGCGTCAAGTTTGCAACCTGCACCATAGAGCTTCGGATCTTAGCAAAGGGGGAGACAGCCCTGCTGCCCACACCATCTGCCGGCGAAGGTGTTGCATTTGAACAAGTCTTCACTTCGGGCTGGTTGGATGAAGAGGCTAGAGATTCATCAGCTGGTATGGTGGGACTTGCTGGCTCCACTGAGAGAGAAGCTGCAGCCAAGTTAGCTGAAAGTACGTCCAGCTTGGAAGGTCTTGACAAAGGTGGTTCTTTTCCTTCAGATTCAAGTCCATCTTTAGCAGGTTCGTTGCTACTATCGCTTTGTATGTGTTGCTCTTGTTGGACCGGACGGTTTGCTGCGAGAGCTTCTGGAATTTTGCATTGTGCGTCATGTACAAATTTGTGACAGTAAACATCAATAGGAGTGTCAAAATCAACTAATAGGTCTGCATCAGTACCTTCCACACAATCATCATTAATCACAGCATTGCTTCCTGGCTCAGTCTCGCACTCAGTCACTAGGATTTCTGCCAGATTCTGGATATTGAACTCAGTGCTGCACACAGACTGTGACCGGCTCCCTAACCGTGGACGAGGGCCTGTGGCCACAATACCACAGCTCGGGAGAATGTAGTCGTGCTGCCCGACACCGTCTGAGTCCATGATCTGACATTCATCGTCTGACTTGGAGTTGGTGAGGAATTCGTCAGATTCATAAGAGTCGGTGTCCGACGAGATCTCGGCGTCTGAATCTGTCTCCTCTTTGGAGATGACCACTGGAGCCTCGGAGGTGCCCAAGCTGCTGTCTGACTTCCACAGGTTCACTCGGAGGTTTGGTTTCAAAAAATTGACCTTCATGTCAGGCTTTGGGAAGTTGCTGAGCTTCCCCAGGTTACGAAGGTTCCCCATGTTCACGTTGGATTTGGTCTGTTTGACTTTCTGATTGAGGGAGGAAAACTTGTTGATCAGGTAGTTTTTGCCCTGGGCCAGGCCTGTGCTGCCAGGAAGCTGGCTCTTCGATCGGATCCCAAGGATGTCTTCATGTGGTTTACTGCGTTTCCTGCAACAAAGACAGAAAGGTTCACTCCAGGCTTCAGCTATACCGTTGGTCCACTATGGTAAAGGCCATTGCTCTATAGAGAGAAAGTATTTCTGGTGCCATTATAAAGTACAATCCATGAACAATAGAGGCTTACGGTAATAAAAGCTTTATTCATGGTATTCTGGCAAGGAGTCAGGGAGCTTTTTAAATTGGTTTTAGTTTCTAATAAAACTGGAAATATTCACAGCAGTCCCCAAAAGGGTTGTCATTACTCTAGAGCATTCCCTGCTCCCATTTCCATCTCTTTAATGGCTCGCACAGGCAACATTAACAAAGGACCTTGTATTATTGAATTCACCTCTCGAGCTTCTTCTCTACCACAGACACATCAAAATCCAGGGCTTGCTTTGTAAGCTGAAGCATCTCGGCGATGCACTGAAGGGTGTCTGTAAAGCAATTGAAAGGAGTGAGCCAACGTTCATCAGAGCGGCCTTGAAAACTATTCAATTTCTCTTGAAAATATACATCTCTTGTTGGTTTCCCCTCTCACCTCCACCTCATCCCTAGGGCACGGTTTGAAAGGTGTCAGTAGGCCTCAGCTACGTGAGCATCAAAACAATGAGGCCAGTTGAATTGATGTTTTCTTTGCCCAATTATCACCTGTGGGCATATAGTGACCAAACAGTAAACCAAACTGGGACCCCCCCCCACCTCCACCTTTCCCTCACCCCTGCTAATTTTAATCCTTTCCTAATGCAATGATATTGAGACTCTTTCACTTTCAACTCATTCCCCCCCCCCCCCCCCACTCAAGCCCACTCAAGTTGAGAATAGAAACCAATGATACAGGCATCTCTGGGTATCAGTCCGACAACCTCTGCACCCATTTCCCAACGGAGCTAAATAGTTTATCAAGTATTATTGGACATATTTAAATAGAGGATACCTCTCTGCATCTAAGAGAGTAATGATCAAGCAGTAGACGAGAATGAAGAGCACTGGTAGGAGACTGAGACATGAGGAGATTGCAGAGGTAGGGAGGGCAAGATCATGGCGGGATATGAAGGCCCTCAAACCTCCGGAGTAATAAGAGCCAATGGCAGCTGGTGAAAATGGGGTAGTATTTTAATAATAATCCTTGCATTTGATAGAACCCATTTCATGTTGTGGAGATGTCTCAAAGCGCTTCACAGGATATACTGTAAGGTGCGCTTGACGGTGTGTTTTCTGGGACAAATGGTAATTGGCGTGTGGGAGAGAATACAAGCTGTGGTGATTTAGCCAGAACTTCCAGAAAGTGAATCGTGGAAGGAGAGGGTGGGAGAAATCTGATGACAAAAAATACAAATAAAGCTGGTTGGGGGTTAGATAGGGACGTGAGCAAGCAATGTCCCAGGGAGGTGGTCTTAGTCAAGCACCAAAGGTAGGGTTTGAAATTGAAGAGCAGGGGGTCGGACACAGTAAGACTACACAGTAAGTCGGTTAGCTGGAGCATCAGAACAGAGGCAAACAGGATTGAGTCATTTTTCCTTTTCAGTGACAGATCGCTTCAGGAAGGATGAAAGCAAGAGATTAATATCTAAATATATTTCAAAGCTACAGCTGCAGTCACTTTTTTTTAAAAGAGAATCGTTGGAAAAAAACAATGTAACGTGCAACCCGTTAAAAATTCATCTAGTTGCAAATCATTGATTTTTCAAATGAAATGTCACTTCCGAGAGGGTTCAGACTCTTCTGCAAAATTAGCAGCCCTCATTGACGCATTCATTACATCGAGGCTTGACTCTGCAAACTCCCTCTGCTTGTCGGCCTCCCCAACTCCTCCCTCCATAGATTGCAGATCATCCAGAACTCTGCAGCTCATGTCCTCTCCCGCACCAGGCTCCGTAACCCTATCACCCCCATCCTCGTCCGACTCTACTGGCTTCCCATCACACAGAGGATACAGCTCAAGATCCTGGTCCTCACCTTCAAAGCCTTCCATGGTCTTGCTCCCCCCTACCTCTCCGACCTCCTAACCCCCTACCATTCTGCCCACTCCGTCCGCTCAGCAGACTCCGGCCTGTTTCACGTCCCCCGCCTTGCCCGTACCACCATTGGCGGGTGGGCCCTTCTGCCACTCTGCCCCCATCCCCTGGAACTCCATCCTGCAGTCCCTCTGCCTCGCCCCCTCCCTCGTTAACTTCAAGACCCATCTCAAGAACCTCCTTTCGACCTCTTCGGTCACCCTGCCATCCACTGTCCCAGATCCCAACTCAGCTCGGGTCTGAAACGCTTGACTGTCCAGCGCCTTGGGACATCCTCCCAACGTGAAAGGCGCTACACAAATGTAATTTTGTTGTTGTTGTTGTAGGAGCTGTAAGTTAGTGAGAGGCAATGAATCAGCATCAAGCAGCACTGAATTACAGAGAGCAGCCAAGCATGGACTACATTGCAATGTTCACACTGCCTCGATAGACATGTCACGAACCTCTGAGAAAGCAGAAGCCATTTTAGGATGTTTGCTGGGATTCTAGAACCCTCTCACCTTTTCCGTCCTCCTCAGGGTTGCGGATCACGGCTCTCAGTGTGTGAAAATACCCACTGGCACCGTTGTGCTTATAATGCAGCCTCATACACGTAAACTTTGGCTTCCCAAAGAAAGTGGGTTCAGGACCTGTTGTGGGGGACAAAAAAAATGTAATGACAATTTTCACTCATTGCCTTTCATGTAAGAGCATTTCAAAAGTGAGAGAGAGAGTGAGCACCAAGCCGGGTGGGTGGGAATTTTTTGTGTGGTGGGGGGAGAAGAAAGGATAAGGCAGGAATACAACAATTTATCACACAGCTAACAAGACTCAATAGATATAGGAACATTCAGAGTCAGGTTTTAAAACATCTGAGGCACTATATTCTACCTAATCTTAACCTGTTGGGACTATTTTGCCTTAAAATTTAAGATTGCGAACAGTTCTTCAGCTGCCTTTTAATTTGGAAACCAGTTCCTTGAAAGAACTGCATTAAAAAACTTGAGATCCTCACCTAGTGGGCCCTTCAGGAATGGGGGCAACTCTATTTTCAGACGAACAGTTGAGGTAGTTTCTTCTTTTGCCCTAGACTCACTGGGAAGTCCTCCTGACCTGAAGGGCACTATACATCCTAATGTGGTTTATTATTGTTGAGGACATCTCACTGATATCACCGATGGTCTGTCCCTGGCAGTACGTCATGCAAGCCGCTAGGCATTGAAGGCACATTAACAAACTCACCAATTTCAATCTTCTCCAAGTCCTCCAGTTCCAACCTCTGATACTGATTCACTTTATCCACCTCGTCGTCGTAGCTGTCAATTAACAAGGGCAGAAATTCAGGAGACGAGAGCAAATTACATTTGTATAGCGCCTTTCACATCAGGAGGACATCCCAAGGGGCTGGACAGAGAAGCTTTGGCTTCTTTGGGAAGCTAAAGTTGACAGCTCATGATTTGTTTCATAACAGAATCGACGCGATCTTAGTCGGATCAGTTAAACAATCCCAGGTAAGTTTTGAATAAGAAGCTGCCTGTCTACTTACTAGGCCACGTAGTAGGCACAATTGGAGAGAAGCAGGAGAACATCCACATCTCTGTGGGTCGCATCAATAAGGCTGGGGGAAAAAAAGGGCCACATTTAAACCAAGTGTCCTATAAATAACATTTTAAAACGCAGTTTATTTCCTAGACATTTAAAATGCTAAACTAGAAATTCCTGATCTGACTTGAATTTTTTTTAACATAAATCCCGATGGCTCAATATTTCAGTTTACACTTCCTGGCAAGCACATAAACAAGATTTGGTTCACTAGAGTGTGTCCGCCTCAATATTCGCACTCAGAACACCTTCCTAACCAATGTTAATAGCGCCGTTTGACTGATTCATTAGGACAGTGCTTCAGTCTGGCCAACGACCCTCAGGGTAAAATTTGGTCTTTCACTAATGGCTGTTTGTGGGACATTGCTGTGCACAAACTGGCTGCGAGGTTCGCCTACAAATACACAGTAACTACACTTTGCATTAAATCCTGTGAAATGCTTTGAGGCATCACAGTGATGTGATATCAAACGCAAGATTGTTTAGTGATGCCAGACACATCCATTCCTGCACAGGCTCCCCTAACAAGACTGAAGGCTACCGAGACTGAAGACTAATCCCTAGAGAAAGCCCACGTACAAAGATCAGTCCAGGTGGAAATCGGAGGACCTGGTTTAAAGGAAGTAATTGAAGTGATGGAGTCAATTTTAATGAGGGAGGTCAGTGTAAGATTTATTAAAATGCTGTTCACCACCACCAGACACAAGAAAGTAGAACATCTCAGCTGTACTGCAATACTCCTCCCCCAAGAGAGCAAAATAAAAGTTTCCAGGATTCTGCCAAGGCTGCTCTTTAACCAACCCACTTCACATGCAAGTTACCAGACTATATGTGAAGCCACTTTTGATTGCATCACTGCTATTTGCAATAGGTAATTAATTAGTGCAGATTAATCCCTCTGCCTTGCCCCCTCCCTCCCCACTTCAAAGTCGTGCCTAAGGATCGTCCTTTTCAATCGTGTCTACGGTCACTTCCCCCATACCCCCTCCTCCCTCCCTCTCCCCCTGGCTCGGGGTCAGACTCCGCCACTGTCAAGTGCTCCATCCGCGTGAAGGGGCGCTATATAAATAAAAAGTTGTTGTTGCTGTTGCTGCAAGCAGCACCTGGAGATTTATCAATAGTTCAATCAGAGCACAATGGGAACCTCATCTCACGGGTTTACTGTGGATACAGACCTCGGGTCACAATCTATCAGTGCCCAGCCCCCGTGGAATTTCTCATCACCAGGCAACAGCAGCTTCATGTAGTTCTGCAGGAGGAAGCTGATCTGCTCCTGCTGACTCCGCTGGTTCCGTTTCTGCAATGCTTCGTGCTCCTTCTCTTTGCTGAAGATGGAATAGAGGTCTTCAGTCACTGGGCTGCCCTGCATCAGGTCTAAAGGCAACCGAATCAACAGGAGGATGGATTACTGCACAACCGGCCAAGCAAAGGTACATTTTAGCATAGATTAGCATCAAAGCAAGCCACTAAATGGAAAATCAATACTCGGTGATGCTTTATTAATGGCCAGGACAGACAGACATAGGCTGCTCAGTGGCGTTGTGCAGACAATAGAGACCATTCATCATCAGGTTAAGTAACTAACAGCAGAACAACCCTTGCATTGAGCACCTGTGACCTGGTAGCTAGGTAACTGATCGACATGTACGCCACTGTACACTGGGAGAGTGTTTCAGGATGAAGAGGAAAAAGCCATATTACACTGAAATATTATTTAATCCTGTGAAATATTGGGCTCCAAAGCAAGCGAGCTGCAGGAAAGCGAATCCCAAAGCATCTCAAGCTGAGCCGGCAGACTCCACTCAGCCTCTAATCTCATTCTGGATTTCCACGAAGATGAATTGCAGCCAAAGGGGGATCAGCTCCCAGCAATCAGGGGGATTTCTAGCGGGTTTTTCTAAGACACAAGCTGAAGAAACCACCATTTACAAATGTTTACTGGGAGCAGGATTGTTCCCACTCAGCTCCTGATATCCCTGCAAGCCAAACCCCAACCAGGTAGGGGGTTCTTGTTCCTAACTGGACAACCAGTGGGAGAACTTGACGGGCTGTGTTTTCAATGGCAAGCCATGCTGGTTTAGCTTGGCACTTCCCCCAAGCCTTAGCTCTCACCAGCTTGTGTCTAATGCTCTGCGGAATCAGGTAAGCAGATTGTCTCGCTCCAGGGAGAGAGAGCGCATTTCATTCCAACACATGGGACTTTCCACGTGTCGGTGGCAAGAATGTGTTGGTTTGGATACTCCTAAGCGTGCTGAAGGGTGTCTGCATGTGACAAGACACACCACTGACCAAGAATAAAAGCAAATATAAGATTATCGGAAATTTCCTGCAATGAGTTCCCATACAATCCACCTCCCAGCTCTTGCCTTAAGAGTCGACTTGCCCTATTTCTGTTCAGTTTACTTTACAGTTCACTGATAACGGGAGAAGAAACTGAACAAAGGCAAGCAGACCGCGCGTGTTAAACTCCGCTGACAAAGCACAGTTGGAGAACACAGACATTGTTTTGGACTGGGCGAGTGTTTCAAGTCTCCCATTACCACACTGAGCGAGCGTGGGGACGGGCACCGCTCCCGAGGACAGAGTTACGACTGTTTGTTACCGATCACAGCTTGTCGATAGGCATCACGGAAGCGGTTCAGGTAATAACGGTTAGCGGAATTGTAGCCGTCTTTCATCACTCCCGCAAGCCTCCTCTCCCCCGTTCTCGTGAAGTCTCCCTGGAATTCAAAACGATTGGGAGGAAAATGAGATGAAGCTGACACAGCCACCCACACATTCACTCGCTCGCTCACTCACTTACTCAGGAACAATTTAGGATCAGCAAAGAGAACACTGAGCAGCTTAGGTCTGCACTTCTCCTTATTGATCGTGGTAATAGGGAGATTAGTCACCAGATACAGGCATTTTGGAAGATACTTTCACAACTCTTCCCCAATCCAGAAGGTAAACCTATAAGTGGAGTCCTGCAGCTCAGTGGTTAGAGCACTCATCTCACATGCAAAAGACCTGGGTTTGATTCCCGGGCAGGGCAAAACGTTAAGCAAGTTTTCTTACTCCACACGCCACTGTTTACCCAGCAGTAAGTAGGAACTTGGTTGTTAGTTAATTGGAGGATCGCTTTTCCAGGGGTAATAATCCCTTTTAAAAAAATTGGGTCACTCAATCCACGATTGTTTGTGGGACACTGCTGGCCGCAGCGTCTCACCCACAAAATATACAGTCAATTCACTTTACAGTATATTCTGTGAAGCGCTTTGAGACGTCTCGAAGACGTGATGAGGCGCTGTATCAAACACAAGGGCTTATTATTATTAGTGAATGTGGGTTACCTTCAGGGCAGCTGTGCCAGCGTACTGTCTGCTGATGGTGTCTCCGTTGTTGGCCCACATGATCTGGTAAATCCTGTAGCATTTTTGGGGCAGTGGCTGCTCTGGGGGCATGACACCCAACTTCTTCAACTGAAAGAGGAAAGATTTTAATTAACGGAATATTCACATCCCACAGACTACTATAACCACAGCATATAAATGGTTCAATATCTTTACTCTGCAGACGAGAAAGTCCTAACAGATTGGAGGATAGATACTGAGGGGCAAAGAGAGAGGATTGGGGTGGGGGGTGGATTTTCAGCACAGACAGCAAGTGGCAAGTTTTTCAGAGGGTAAAAAGGGGTGGTTGAGGCCAGGATCTTGTCTTGTGTTTAATAAACAGAAGCTTGTTGCTGTGGTGGGAGGATTAGTGTTCTGGAAGGATGAGATCAAATAGGCCTCAGGGCCTTCTTCATCCACATCAATCTTGTGATCGCTGTAATGTGGTGGAGAGGTTGGAAAGGGCCCGATCTCAGGCACTTACTTTTGTAAAGGTTTAAAGTTTAAAGTTCGATTCTCGCAGTCAATTCCCAGGAATTTTGGGCATCTATTTACAAATTCTGCAACCCCGAAGCCCACTGAATCATTAACCCCCTTATTCAGGAATAATAATCATCCTCGCATTTGATATAGCGCCTGATCACGGCCTCGAGACGTCTCAAAGCGCTTCGCAGAATACACTGTAAAGTGTAGTGGCTGTATATATACTGTGGCTGAATATTTTGTGGGCGAATGGGAGCGGGGGAGTGTGTGGAGGGTACGGACAGTTATATGGGAGTCTCTGCTCATACCTGCTGCTCCATGACCACCCGTGCAATGGCAGCTTGAACCACATTGGTCCGATCCAAGCAATCCATGCAGTTAACCCTGAAGATTCCTTCCTGCTTGCAGATCTCTCCTGCCTGGTCAAACCTGCATTCAAACACAAGAACTCGTTTGTCTTCCCTGGAATAATCAGCGCTGCCCCCAGATGATAATAATAATCCCTGCATTTGATAAAGCGCCTTATCACGTCTTCGAGACGTCTCAAAGCGCTTCACAGAATACACTATAAAGTGTCGTGACTGTATATTTTGTGTGGGGGAAACGCGGCAGCCAATTGAGCACAACAGTGGCCCCCAAACAGCCATGGACGGAGTGACCAAATTATTATCGTCATATATATTAAAGATTCATACAATGATTTAAAGAGCCCCACCCCAGCCCCGGCTGACATGACGATTAAAAATAAAAATGAGTTAAACCGTTTCAAATCTGTGCAGAGCTCGAGCGCTGTGTCAAGCTCCAGCAAACCCACAGCTCAGCAGTCCTGGGCTTTAGGAGGAGAAACTCCAAGCATTTTTTGCTCCGAGTGTTCTGAAATGGGTAATGCTTTGTTCCATTGCAGGGATGCCCAAGCTTCCCATTCCCTTCCCACGGGCAGGACATTGGCTCAGAAATTGCCCGGGGTGTGTGTGTGTGTGTGTATGTGCGTGTGTGAGGGGGGGAAGGAATCACAGCATTGTTCTTATTTAGCAGTGAATACTCTGCAGGAAAGCTTCACCATATAGCTTGAAAAGCCCATGACAGCTACTGCAGGAAGGGGAGCAATGACTTGTGGACGGAGTGGTTGTTGGTAGCAGGCGGTAAGAAGGACAAAAAGGGCTACTGTCAAATTTCTGTACAATTTACTGTCAATAGGAAATACTAATAAACCCACCAAGATTGACCTATTTACTGACAAATGGAGAATTGCCACAGTGCAGAGGTAGTGAAAAGCAAGGAGTGTGTGCACACACACCACATAATAATAAAATAATCCTTGCATTCGATATAGCGTCTTATCACGTCTTCGAGACGTCTCAAAGTGCTTCACGGGATATACCGTAAAGTGAATTGACTGTATAGTTTGTGGGCAAAACATCTTAAAAATAAACCTTACCCCATCAACTCAAATCTGGGACGTGAAGGTGGGGGTGGCAATGGGGGAAGGCATTTTTAAACAAATCCATTTCCAGAATTAGGGTCCACCTTAATATTGCGGGGTTTGCCACCCCGCCAAAAAAATAAATAAATCCACACGCGCCTTAGATTCTGGGTTGATTTTATACAATCTGTAAACCTCCCGTTGCAGCCAAGGCTGACCGTTGACCAAAGAGAAGCTCAGGTACTGACCAGCCCCACTTCATGTCGGTGATAATGTCAGCAATGGCGTCCGTTAGGGTCTGAACGTTTTCAAACTTCATCCCTCGACTGAAAAGAAAAAAAGAAGCCAGCCTCTCAATCAGCGCTCGCCACAACAGTTTTAAGCTAATTCAACACACGGGCTACTTTCAAAGCGATAACATATTGTGTATGTGAACGAGGAGACCGACACGTTCTCCTCTAGTTTCCTTTGGCCGGATTCTCCTGGAGCATTTTCCTATCCCCTGCGCTCCCGATTCAATGCCTCATCTCAACGTCCTCCTCAAGGTGAGAAGGAGGCACAACTTCACGATAAATTCATAAATGTTGCCTAAAGAAGCGTGGAAACCGATTTCCATGCCGTAGCCTGAGAAGCAACAACAACAAGAAGTTTGCTTTTACACAGCGCCCCTCACGTAGTCCCAGAGAGTTTGACAGTGATGGAGCACGACGCTGAGCTGGGGACGAGGGGACGGGAAGGTGGCTGTAGGCACCAGTCGAAGAGGAAGGTCTTCAGGCACGACCTGAAGATGGGGAAGGAAGGGGGCAAGGCGAAGGATAGAGGGAGAGTGTTCCAGAGTTTCGGGGCCTAGTGGCTGAAAGCACAGCCACCAATGGTGGAACGGAAGGCATGAGGGACATGCAGGAGGCTTTTAAGGCCATCCATGTCCTTGCTGCCTCCTACCTCTCTGACCTGCTGACTCCCTACCAACCTGTCCACTCCCTCCGTTCAGCGGGCTCCGGCCTGCTCCATGTCTCCTGCCCGACCCGCCCTACCATCGGTGGCCGGGATTTCAGCCTCTCTGCCCCCACACTCTGGAACTCCATCCCACAGTCCCTTCGCCTCGCTTCCTCCCTGCCTCCTTCAAGGCCGGTCTCAAGACCCTTCTCTTCGATTGTGCCTTTGATCTCCTTCCCACCTCTCTGCCTTCCCTCACCCCTACACCAACCCTCCCCCATGCTCAGTCTCCGACACCTGACTGTTCAGCGCTTTGGGAAGTCCTCCCGACGTGAAAGGCGCTCTATAAATATAATTTTGTTGTTGTTGAGGCCGGATCCAGTCGAGTGGAGAAACTGCAGTTCAGTTTACTTTGAAGTAACGCTATTGATTTTGCTAGTAACCAGGACATCCATACACTCAGTCTCTGCTTCCTTACCAGTGCTCATGGAAATCAAATGTCACGTAGGTGAGTTTTGGGTTATTGTACAGCAGAACTTGTCGAAGGAACGCATCCCCAATTATTTTCTCTCTTCCAGTCTGATCCACTAGACTGATAATAACCTGTCGGCATTCAAACACACCAATGTAAGTGAAAGTAATGCTGCAGATTAGGAATGGCTCCTTAATAGTGATAAATAATAAGCTTTGCATCTGATAGAGCAACACATCACATCATTGGAGACGTTTCCAAGGGCTTCACCTAATTTTACAGTGAAGTGTAGTGACTATTTTATAGGCAAACGCAGCAGCCAATTTGTGAGTAAAAATGTCACACCACCAGCTATGAAGGAAATCATCAATTTTATCTGGGGGCCAGGACATCAGGAGAAACTCCCTTCTCTTTTCAAGTAGTGCCACTGGATCTTTAACATCTACCTGATCAGGCAGACAAGACCTCGGTTCATTCAACCTCTCAACCGAAGGACGACAACTCTGACATTGCAACACAATCCCATTTAACTGGTGCTGGAACCTCCACAAAGCATTGAAAGAAAAATGGTATTTCAGCAAAGCTCGCAAAAGAACATGAAAGAGATAAGATGGCACAGGACAGCAGCGATGGCTGAGTGTGCTGTAATTTCAAATGTTTGGAGATCTGTTAGTCTGGCTATTAGGGAATGCTCACAGTAGGAATCACCTGGAGCGCCTGACAAACAGAATGGAAAAAAAAAACAACATAAATAAATTAAAAGATTCATTAAAATCTCAACAGGCTTCTGCAATCGAAATCAAAGCAAAATGAAAACCTAAATGGAAAGCATCGCTAGAAGGCTCTTCGAGAGTGAGCTCAGTTAGGACCCAGTTAAGTGATTATAATGCTTGATGCACATCATGGGAGTTTTATTTTATTTCAAAGCTCATTCGACAATTATTAACTAATGAAAAAGGGAATGGTTTGCGCAGATTCTGTGCGTAAAGCTATTCCTCCTTTACTATAAGTGTGTTTAAGAGGAAACGTAATTCATACAATTAGGGGGAAGGGAATAGAGAGCTACAGGAGACTAAAGTAGAGAGTTCATGTCAACTACACACTGGCATGGACCAGTTGGGTCAAACATCCTGTATCATTCTACGTGTTTCACTCTATTCAGAGTCATTGTTGAGGCAATAGTTGAATACTTTCCCAGACACCAACTGTGAGAGACAAATTCCCATCACATCAATAGATGTACAGCTGGGATGGGAGAGGGAAGAAAATACTTTGAGCAAATACTATTTTCGAGCAAAAGAAAATAAAAAAATCGATGGGATTTATTTTTGTAATGTAACTACCGTCTCTCTTCCTCGATCCCTCCGTCTTGCCCCCTCCCTCCCCACATTTTTGGCGATGGGGGGGGGGGGGGGTAGGATTGCAAGCGAGCAGCGGAATAATTCCTTGCTGACACTACTTTTATCGACCAGGGACAGACATATTATTCACGTATTGTCTTTGAAGAGTGGAGTCAGTCAATTTGGGAACCACTTGGGGGCAGAATTCCAATTGGAACCAAAGTGACAAAAGGTTTTCAGGCTCATCAAAGAGCTCACCTGCTTCCTGTATATCTTCAGCTGCTCCTGAAAGTGATCGGCAAAACTGCTGATCGTCTCCTTCTCCGCTGCGCAACACGGAACAAGGACAAGTTACCAACAGTAGCAGGTACAGCGACACAGCCCTCAGCCTCCGCAAACAACAACAACGAATTACATTTGCAAAGCGCCTTTCACGTCGGGAGGACGTCCCAAGGCCCTCGAACCAGAGAGCCCAAGTGACAGTTTCTTTATGATGCAAGTCTTGACCGTGATTGTCGGCGGGATACTTTGACTGCGGGGGAAGAGGGAAGGTGTGTGTAAAAAAAAAAGACACAGCTAAGCTCGATGCTGTGCTCACCCGGACGTCCACATTAACACTTTTCAGTGGGTGTCTGGATAGCGATTAAGAGTGGGAAACCTTAGCAACAATTTGACACTCTTCCCATCATTATTACAGCGTCGAGCAAGTTTTTCTTAAAACGAGTCCAGTGCCCCTCGATTCAACTACCTGATAACCCATTCTGGCTGTCGAATAACCTCCAGTTAAGGAAATACTTGCCCTAAAGTTGCCCTTCACGAGCCCAGACCCTGTGCATCAAGTTGCTTGGTTTCTATACAACAACAACTTGCATTTATATAGCGCCTCCCCATGTGGGGTAGCGGCCTGGAGTGCTTACACAGGCAGGTCCTCGAGCTAGGGTAATTAGCGTGCGACTGTACAGGAGATAACTGGGCTTTACCCCCAGGAGTGTGTACTCGAAAGGCACTTGGAAAAGGAAAAGCTTGCAAGGATGTGGGGAGAGAGCCGGGGGGGGGGGGGCGGGGGAGTGAGACCGATTGGGAAGCTCTTCCAAAGAGCCGGCACAGGCCGAATGGCCTCCTTCTGGGCTGCAATATTCTACGAGGAACGAGCAGAGCCGCTCTCAGTGCTTACGTTTGTCCAGCCGTGGGCGAGGGTTATACCGATACCCAACCTGACTCCAGAAGAGGGGCACTGAGCCCCGAACAATGATGAACGACAGAGTGTGGCTATGAACGTGAATCAGCTGCTCCGTCTCCACGTAATTGGCCACTTTCCCGCTTTCGTCGACGCCCCGGCGCTTGTAGCGCATTCCTGCGGAGAAATTAAAAGTGGATTCAAAGGGGAATCCGTCAAGTCAACACTGAAAGCCAACGCCAACTCAATGGAACTCCGAGACTCCGATCGCACAACAAAACCTTCGTCGAGGTTTCTTTTTACAGATTTGTGTTGCAACACGACCGGAAACACTGACCTCCAAAAGCTTCAACGGTAAATTGCAATGCATCGGATCAACGCTCCTCAATGGATACCCACTGGGTATTCACTCACCAGTCATTGGAAATATCCTATCAATTTGCCCTGGTGAAAAGCATTCACCAAGTTTTTCGCTTCTGTTTTTGCAGAGGTGGAAAAACCTTCTGCCCCTCTTCTCCAAACACAATCCCGTACTTTTCCAAGTCTCCCTGCCCGACTATCACCTTTCATCCTAGGTGTCATCCTAGCCAATCCCCGCTGTACTCTCTCTCTCTCTCTCACTCTCTGTAGTCCGTTCTGCAATGGGAATCTCCAAAACTGGCTGCGGCTTTCTAACCTACGTCTTGAACGTGGGCAATGGTTTAAAACGTTTTGGATAGAGACAGTCACACCACAGATAGGTCATTCTTCTCACAGCCCATCCAGTTGCAACACCTCGTGACCTTATATGCAAAGCAACTTAATGTGGTTACACTAAGGCTCGCAAGAGCAACAGAAAGTTGGAAAGAGGTCTCTGAACCAACCCTGCACCTGCCGACAAGTTTGTTAATGATACATTCTCAGCGACAGGAGAGAGAGAGAGAGAGCAGCAATCACATTTGCAGTGCACAGAGAGCACCGTCTAACGAGTAATGAGATGCAATTTCTTTCCTCAGGGAGGAAAGCAATTGGAAAACATCAGTTTGGGGAGAGCGAGAGGTAAGGTAGTGGCATTTCATTTGCATACAATAAGTCGGGCTGCTGACACACAGACCTGGAGTAAACCATCAAGTCAACAGAGTCCCTCTAGCCAGCACAATGCAGTGTCCACTGAACTAGTCAGGCTTGATTTTCACAGATCATGGTCGCTGTTAGGCACATATATCCGAGCTGTATCCGAGCGCACATTATTATTATTCAAGCAGGAACTACATTCCCTCCTGAACGCCTGGTCGGCTGCATTTAAAACCCTGACAGAAGCTGTGAAATATACTGAAGTGTCACTGACTGCTGCCTCCCTCACGGGGAAACTACAAACAGTCACCCAGAGCTCAGTTGACCGCCCGGTGCTGCTGTATTGGGATATTCATAGCAACTCAAAAGAGAAGTTTCAATAGATTTGGTTGAACCTATTTCTCAGTGAATAGGGCTAATTCAGGACTTTCCACAATGTTAATTTTGTGTGGGTCGGTACTTGCTGCTCTTTGTGCTAGTGACTGTATGTGTGTATACATGTGTGTGTACGTGTGCACATGTAATGTGTGTGTGTGTGTCAGTACCTGCTGCTCTCTGTGCTAGTGACTGTGTGTGTGTGTGTGTGTAGAGTGTGTCAGTACCTGCTCTGTGCCGACTCCTCCTTGAGATAATGGCCACCAGGAAGCGAGGCTGGATGTCGTCAGCGCACATCTCCTGGGAGGGGGTCTCGGGGCTGCTCTTCTCATCGTCTGACGATTCGTTGTAATTAACCACCAGCTCCTCGATCTGCACAAACCCCTGGATGATCGGGATGATCCACAAATGTGCACTCGGGTCCTGAAGATACAAGATTTTAGCTTCATTCCAACGGGAATCCTTTTTGATCGTGCTTACGGTCACCCTCCACCCTCCCTCATTGTCAAGAGTCCGCCACTGTCAAGCGCTCCAGGGCGCAACCCTGCGTGAAAGGGCGCTACATAAATTTCAAGTAGTTGTTGTTGTTGTTGGAAACGGTGGCGGGCATAATTAAAACCCCCAGACCTCAATTAAATCCTGCAGACTTCTCTCTGAGTGTCAGCAATACCGTTTAACATAAATTCTTGTGTGGCACACACGGCTGGGTTTTACAGGTTGCTTTAATCTAATAGCCAGGCTAGATTTAGTTATTTTATACTGGATAATAATAATTATAATAATCCTTGCATTTGATACAGTGCCTTATCGCATCTTCGAGACGTCTCAAAGCGCTGCGCAGAATATACTTTAAAGTGTAGCGACTGTGTATTTTGTGGGTGAAACGCGGCAGCCAATTGCACACGGCAGCGTCCCACAAACAGTCGTGGATTGAAGTGACAGACATGAAAACTTTCGCTCCCAACAAGTCTTGTTTGGGATAGCTTTTAAGAGGCCAATGTAGATCGCCCTCTGACCTCACACCAGCTTGTCTGGTAGCTTTGTAGTTCGAGTGTTTTTTAAGTTAAATTAATCATTCAAATTAGCTTCAGTCAGAGCTGCAGGAAACACAGGGTAAACATGTTCAGCAAGTTACTGCATTGAACCTTGCATGAAATAATAAGAGCTCTGAAGATAATTGTCCGAAGCTTTGCTCTGACCCTCTTCAACCATCGGATACACAAGAGAAACAAAACACAAAACACCGCGGATGCTGGAAATCTGAAAACAAGAACAGAAGTGGCAGGGAACGCTCAGCAAGTCAGGCAGCATCTACGGAGAGAGGAAAGTGAGTCAACGTTTCGGGTCCACGACCCTTTGTCAGAAACTTGGGGTCGTTCTGACACAGGGCCGTGGAAACGTTGACTCACTTTCCTTTCTCCGTAGATGCTGCCTGACTTGCTGAGCGTTCCCAGCCACTTCTGTTCTTGTTTTTGACGTACAAGAGAGCTACGCACAACATGCGCAACAACACTTGAGAAATTCTCGAGCAGGTCAATTATAACCTTGTAAATTTTGCAGAGTGCTTTGGCAGCGCAAACAATCCATACACTTACGTTCGATTTTACCAGGTCATCAATCATATGCTTGTTCCAAAAAAATCTATCATCAACCTGCAGTAAAGAGAAGAAAGACATCTGTCCCATTAGTGAGTGAGCAATAAGCAAATGGCAGTTATATTCCGATTCAGGTTATTGTGCCGTGTTTTAAAACAGATTATAACAGAGGCGTTTTACCCTTTGCCACAGCGGTAACCCTTTCTTTTCAGAGGTGCTCTGTCGCTGGATCGAATTTGTAAGGTCGTAGGTCAGACTATAGTAAAACGAATCCGAGTCCACAAACATTTTGATCAGTTCCTCCAATAAGCGTCGCTCCAGCTTCTCCTTCTCCTTGTTTTCCTTGACCTGCAAAGACACACGCAGAGAAAGTCAACACTTTGTGATACGGACACATACATTGTGGCCATCTTGATCCTTGTGCCAATAACAGAAAGGAGAGAAAAAAGGAGCGACAAGAACAAGCAAACGACAGTGGCGGAGCACGATGCTGAACCGGTGGGGGAAGTGACCGTAAGCACGGTCGAAGAGGAAGGTTTTCAGGCGCAACCTGAAGATGTGGAGGAAGGGGGCAAGACGGAGGGACAGAGGAAGAGTGTTCCAGAGTTTCGGGGCGTAGTGGCTGTAATCGCGGACATTTTGAGCGCAAGACATCAGCCGGTCTGCACCAGAAGACACGGATTCACGTGGACACCTTGTTAAAAGCAAACCCATAGTCCAGCTAGCGTAGTAATAATAATAATAATTATGACTTTGTCTTGTATACCTCAATACAGCAGTAAGAAGGTTACGAGACATTTATTCTACGAAATTAAGTACACAAATAAACATTCTCAGGGTGACGTTACAATGGTTACACTCAACAAATTCACACGCACTGGGTAGTGAAGCAAGTTGGTGCCACAGTGCAGGAGTAGAGATTAGTTGAGGTTACATCAAGCAAACCCAGCCTCCCATGCGTAGAGTTTCTCCAGAGCAATGTGAGTGACTCATTTCCCAACGCAAGCAGTTAAAATAAAACACATTCTCAAAGACGACCCGGAGAGCAACTCCGCCAGACAGAAAATTATTTGATAAATCCCTGGATTAAGCAAAGATCAGAAGGCGAGGCTTTTAAGAACTGCTGCGTTGCCCGGCTCACGTGCACCAGGATTACCTGCAATAACTGAAAGACATCAGAGCCCATTTCATCAATCTGTGAAAACAAGAGATTTCTAAAGCAAACCCCCCAAAAAAAATCTAAGGAAAAATGGAGGTGGGGAGGGAGGGGATAGGGGGGAGAAATAGAGAAATCATACAGATATCAAATCAACTCGTTTGTTAGTAAAGTTTTGGGTTGAAACTGGTGCATTGGGCGAACGTCACGCTTGGGTTTTGAAGGTGCAATGCTTTATATTTGGCCAAACGGGCATTTATTCGCCTTATCGTTTCACTGGCCGGCAAATAATGCAACAAGTTACGCTTGCAGACGCTGCGAGTTAGACCCCCCCCCCCCCCCCCCCCCACCACCACCCCACCGATATTTAGGGTGCTCCGTCAAGAGAAATATAACGGTCATCGGTTATTCTGCACTCGGTGTTACTTGTTGTTGAACAAAATGACATGTATAAAGCGCCTTTCACGTCCCAAGGCGCTGAACAGACAGTGACGAACCCGAGCTGAGGGGGGAATGGGGAGGGCAGAGGGGGGTGAAGCTGGGAGATCGAAAGCACAGTCGAAGCGGATGGTCTTGAAGGTGGCGAGGGAGGGGGCGAGGTGGACGGACTGCAGGATGGAGTTCCAGAGGGTGGGGGCAGAGTGGCGGAAGGCCCGCCTGCCAATAGTAGATTTTTCACACAGAGGTCGACATCTGAACGGCAATATAGTCCATTCAGATGATTGACTGGATATCAATATGTGCATTTGATACAACACCTTTCACATCAAGAGGACACCTCAAAGCGCTTTGCTCTGGGACGCCACCCCGTGTGAAGGGCGCAAATTGTTGTTGTTCATACGATTCACTGTAAAGTGCTGCAAGGATATTCAGTCACTTTTAGGGTGAATTGTTTTGGTTGAATTGGGACTGAATTGTCCCAGTGTTGCTCAATCTTGCAGGGGTTATTTATTTATAGAAAGCCTCTGGTAAGTTGCACACACTCTCACCTTCTTCTTGATGGGAGCTGCCACGTTGGATTTGATCTGACTAAAAGTCTTGAGTAAAAACTTGGAGTCGTCGGGAGATTGGGTGATCTTCTCCGTCTTGTTGATCCCGAAATGATGTTTCTTGCACAGCTGCAAATGGGAAACAAAACCGAAGAGTATAAATCCAATCAGTCACCTTCACTCTTTCTGACACGACTGCCACAGGTTACTGTAACATTCGTTGATAGCGACAGCATTTTGAGGAGCCCGTTTGGGCAACTCAAGCCTTTTGTGCCGCTTGTTACAAGCACAGCCCGAAAGACTTTGAGATGGGCCGTGTTTCTCGTCCATTCGGTTGCAATACATCAGAGATGGGCATGGCAATGCTTAAGAACGAACATCCAACAGGCTCGAAGAATGAGCTTAAATGCGCAGTCTCAGAAATTAGAATTTGCCCGAAGAATCCAACACTGCAGTAACATCATGCCCTAAAGTTATTATTCTCCACCGACATAACTATCATAAGTACTCATTTCAGCAATAGAGTCTATAATTGATGAGGTATATATATATATATATATTTCTGTGGTAGGAACATCGACAAAGTCTTTACCTCAAGTTCCAAATCCTGAGGCTCTGCTTCGGAGAGTGGGATCACGGCGATCTTGGTGATTTTGTACACTTGATGCTCCCCGAGGAGCTTCCCAACCACGGCTTTCTGACGTATTAGGAGGAGCCGCCATGGAAAATCTGGAAAGGAACCAGAATCACTTACAATTCCTGCGTTTGATACATCACCTATTAAGTCCAGAAGGTCTCAAAAGCACTACAAAGTTTTGGTGAAATGCCGTGACTATTTGCAAGCAAATGGGGCAGCCAACTTGCATACAGCTATACGCAAATGCTATCCACAAAATTCTTCAATGGATTACAAGGATTTTGGGTCGCTCAACCTGGTATCATCCTGGTTTCACCCACAAAATATACAGTCAATTTACTTTAGAGTATATTCTGTGAAGCCCTTTGGGACATCTCGAAGACGTGATAAGGCTCTATATCAAATGCAAGGGATTATTATATTATTCTTATTGTATCATCATCATCATCATCATCAAGTAAGCTGAAATTCACCATAAAACTATGATGTATCACGTTACAGTACCCTTGAATGTGCTGTGACCTGAGAAAATTCACTCTACATTCTTTATGGCTCCCTGAAAGTCAGAGGCATACAACATGCCAGAGTGCTGAAGCTCACCAACGCTCAGTGAAAATTTCTAGCTTTGGCCTAAATTTCTAGCCTTGGCCTTTTGGGGGAGGAATGAACAAAGAGAGGTGGTGTTCGTGCTTCCCAACAGGGCAGCGATAAATCATCAACGAATCCCCAAATAGTTTGGTCGGTGATAGAGGGGAGTTAGTCAGAACAGCTCACGCACCAAGAGCTTTTCATTATGCACACCAGTCACTCTACAGTTTGACCACATTAGCAGCCACACTGGCAACAATGCCATCAGCCGTTGAAATAAAAAGCACTGAATGATGCTCTTGTGAACATCACTTCACCAATTGTTGAACGACAGACACAGAGCAATTCACTTTATCGCAGGGCGACAGGCACACAAGAGAGACGGGCGCACACAACTCGAAATATTTAGAGATATTTATCCGGCGCTGCCTCAGTTTTGATGGAACTGAACTCCTTTTGTAGTCGTCTAAATAGAGAGATTCTTGACAAACGCTGGGCTGAGAAGTTAAGAGACTTTTCATTCCCAGTGACACTCAGTTCCTTCCCTACCCGTCCACAAGGTGGAGCATTAAATGCAGTTAATGCAACTATATGGGGCTTCTCCCACAAAATACACAGTCAATTCGTTTTACACGAAGCGCTTTGAGACGTCTCGAAGACACGATGAGGCGCTGTATCAGATGCAAGGATTATTATCATTATTGTATGGAAAAAATGATGCATTCGTCACTCTTCTCTCTCCTCAAGATAACCAAAGGTTTGCTGAGCGCTTGATGAAGGCCAACGGTCCTCTCCATCCAAAGGGAAGTCCAGTAACTAAAAGTATCAGTCCACCCCCACCATCGGATTTTAGTTGGACTTAAAGCCCTCAACCGTGCCCAAAGCAGCAGCAAAAAGTCAAACGGGTTCCTGAACTGTACGACTAAATAATAATAATAATAATAATAATCCTTGCATTTGATATAGCGCTTTTCACGTCGGGAGGACGTCCCAAAGCGCTTCACAGAACACACTGTAAAGTGAATTGACTGTATATTTGTGGGCGAACGCGGCAGCCAATTGCGCACAGCAATGTCCCACAAACAGTCATAGATTGAAAATGACCAATTTATTATTGTTTTGGGTTTTGGAGGGATTATTATTAGGCTCTGTGTGGAGTAAGGAAACTTGCCCAAAGTTTCGCCCTCTGCCGGGAATTGAACTCAGGTCTCTCACTTGCAAAGCGAGTGCTCTAACCACTGAGCTACAGGACTCCAGGATTACTGTATATAGCTCTCGTCCCACCCAGGCCCTTGAATCACTGCAGAGGCGACCAAGGGTTTCAGAAGATTGAGCCACAATTTTTTTAAAAAGAAGTTAAGGCTCCAGCCCATACACAGAGGGTATATAATACTTTCAGCAGTCATCGAAAAAGGTAAGAGCAATGCTAAAATAGCTGGCCACACAATCACCTCGGGCAGACTCAGGATGTTAAAAGATGAGAGGATGTTCAAATTCCTCACATTCCCAGAAGAGAGAGAGAGAGAGAGAGAAAGTACGTCATTACATCGTTGCTCAGGACAACAGTTCCCAGCTGCCGACCACGACACGAACATCTCACGAGCAGCCGGCCTTACCCTGACCAGGCAATGGCTGAGCTAAAGTGACAGCTCCAGTCTCTGCTCCACACGTTTCCAACAGGAAGCTTTCCCCCACACTCCCAAACCCCTACCCACACCCCAATTGCAGTGTTTTTAATTTTCTTTTAAAAATGGTATTCCAATGAACGGAATACGTTCAGCCCTTTGGTGGTTCCCACCCCCACCCAGTGTGCAAACGAACAGAATCAAACAAAAGGATGAAAGGACATCGACTTTTGGGATTATTTATCCTTTATTATTATTACTACTACTACTACTACGTTTGGATTAAATCAGGTCCAAGTTAAAAGTGTGAGCATCCTAACTAACGTCAGTTTAATATTTATCCAGGAGCAGTGAGCGCCACTCCACTCAACATGAACACTTTACGAGGTCGATAAAATGACTTCCGTGTCAAAAATAAAAGCCTTCGGGTGGACGAAGGGGTTTGCAAGCGATTAGTCTGTAGGTGATTTGCGTATTAGAGTAGGTTACAGCTACATTAAGCAGTGAGACTGTATGAATCAAAACTTCCTCACTTTGTAATGCGGCAAAAATGACCTCAATGACCGCAGAAAGCGGTTTACTACAGTGCCACTACCTCATTTCCTTCGAGTATAGCACTGAAGGCTACCACCAGGCTTGAGGCAATGATTATTCAGCGACCCTTTCAAGCTCAATCCATCGTGCTTTACCAGATGCTGCTCTGGCCTCCTGAGCAGTTGCACCATGTTCCTCTTATTATTTGAGATTGGTCAAGGCTTACCCTACTATTAAGAGGCTTAAACCCCGAGGGTGAAATCCCTTCGCCTCGCCCCCTCCTCTCTCGCCTCCTTCAAGGCATGTCTCAAGACCCTCCTCTTCAGCCGTGCCTTCTGCCACCCTCCTTCCTCTACCCTCCCTCCCTGGCCTCCACACCCGCCGATCCCAAACCCAGCTCGGGTCCATATTCCTGACTGTCCAGCACCTTGGGACGTTCTCCCAACGTGAAAGGCACTGTGTAAATGTAATTTGTAGTTGTTGTTAGTAATCTGGGTTATACGCTTAAGAGAGAGAGAGAAAAAAAATTTGGATAGTAAAGCTATTCAAGGGGTTTGGAGAAAGAGCGAGACTCGGCGATTAAAAGATCTGACAAGATCTAATAGACTGGTGGAACAGGCCTGATGGGCTGAATGGCCTCCTCCTATGATCTTAACACTAAAGGGTCCCATCCATGCTGGGCCCCCTTTAAAATGCAAGTTCTTTTATTTGCCCCCATTCAACTTCAGAACTTTAACCAATGCATTCTGGCACCAAATGTATAGAACCTGATAAGTCACTGAACAATTAAGTCATTTCAGAACTGCCTGGCACCCATTCCTACAGAGTTTCATTGCCATTAACATTTGTGGTTTCTTTATTGACAGACTTGCCAACAACGTACGATTATAAGAAATCCTGCCCAAAGCTGAAGACTTTGATCTTTCTTGGTTAAAGATGAATTATTTCACTAGACCTTCAAGGGATCTGAAATTCAATGTAAGTAATGATTACCTTATTGACCTTACTCTGTGCTACAACTTTCTGATCTCAATCTGTGCGTTATCTGGACTCTACAAATCAGGGTGTGGATGCAACTCAAAACCCATTGTAATGCTTTTGCTTGCAGGTTGGCTGTGTAAATTTCTTTACAGCTGGTTGAATAAGGTCTATGTTGCTCTCTGACCTCGAGGTTAAAATCTGATGCAGACTGTAACAAACATCTCCCTGGCAGCTTTGAGTGTCTCAAAGTGAGACGTGTTGGGAAATGTCTCCAGCACAAAATAGTGTAATGTTAGTTACTGTCATGAACTAGGCATACAGTGTTCTCATTTTCCAACACAATCATGCATCTAGATTGATCATGTCGTCAATCCTGCTCTGCTGGATCGGCTTGAGTTTACATCGAGGGGAATAACTGGGTTTGATTTTTACGGGGGAATTCTCTGGGTTAAACTGGCGAAGCAGATGTGGGCGACAAAGAGAGGCAGGAGTGCAGGAAGTCAAGACAATGTTGACGACGATGAGGCAATGTCAACTGTGTTGCGGGCAGCGTGCATCATCGTTACAGGCCGACAGACACCTGTGTGCACACGCTCATCAAGCTAAACGGCAAACAGTAACGGGAATGTGTCACCGGCCTTCGCCGGAAAGAAGACTTGATCATCAATACATGGGATTTAATTAGGGAGCATCCTATGATGGAGTGACTGCTGCATAGACAGGGAGTGCTGGGAGGAGCATCGCTAGACAGAGAGGATCGGAACTCAAGCCCCCAGGTTCAGGCAAGCTAGAAAAGCTCGAGAATGTTTGTCTCGAGTATTCTTTCGGCAGCTCAACGGGCAAAGGACTAACCGACTTCAGGAGGCGGTTAGCAGACTTAAAGGGGCTAACTATAACCCTGTTGAAACGTGATGTGGTTCATGCAGACGTGTGGCAAATGTGTGTGTCGATAGTAATCCCTCAAGAAAAAAATTGGTCACTTCAATCCACGACTGTTTGTGGGACGCTGCTGCTGTGCGCAACTGGCTGCCGCGTTTCGCCCACAAACATACAGTCAATTTAATTTACTTTACAGTAGATTCTGTAAAAAAAAAGTGCTTTGAGATGTCTTGAAGACGTGATGAGGCGCTGTATCAAATGCGAGGATTATTATTATTATTAACAGTCACTTCAAAATGAGATAAAAGGCAGTCATAAACCTTCTGGTTTTGCTTCTCTCCCAGAGCAGAGATTTCCGGGAAATCTAAGCCCCCTATTAAAATAGTGCCTGTCGGCTTGCTGCTGATGGGCCACAAGTCAGGTTTGTTAGAACCCACGCAGATTCCAGAGCCCAGACAAGTCAAGTCTCCACAGGAAGGCAATGA